AACATTTCCCCACTTTGATGATAGCCCTAAACATTTCCCCTCTTTGATGATAGCCCTAAACATTTCCCCTCTTTGATGATAGCCCTAAACATTTCCCCTCTTTGATGATAGCCCTAAACATTTCCCCTCTTTAATGATAGCCCTAAACATTTCCCCACTTTGATGATAGCCCTAAACATTTCCCCTCTTTGATGATAGCCCTAAACATTTCCCCTCTTTGATGATAGCCCTAAACATTTCCCCTCTTTGATGATAGCCCTAAACATTTCCCCTCTTTAATGATAGCCCTAAACATTTCCCCTCTTTAATGATAGCCCTAAACATTTCCCCTCTTTGATGATAGCCCTAAACATTTGTCCTCTTTGATGAAAGTCCTAACATTTTCCCCAATAATAACGATATCTCTTCTTATAAGTTATACTTATTTTTTTTTATTTACACTTTAAATTATAATTTTGTATTCCTTTTTTTTTTTTTAAAAAATACTTTTATTTACAATTAAAACAAGTAACATCAAGATGCGTGTATGTGCAATTGTCTGTAGTAACAAATATAAGAAGTATTGTATTCGATTTAATATTTGTTATATAGTTCTCGCTATTGTGCAATCCGCTTGCAGATTGGGCCTGTTTATTTGTTTATTTATAAATATACTTACAATAAATTTAACTAGTCATTGTAGCCTAATTTTGATTATGAGTGGATTTAAAATTCATTCATAGTTTCTTGTAGCTTTGCTTGTACGATAATTTAATTATATAAATTTTTTTTTAATTCCACCAGATGCCAAATTTCTAAAATGCTTTCTTAAGTTTTTGTTTCCTAATTGGTAAACTGCGGATGTCTTATTATCTTGATGCCTTTTCTTTAATTAGCTCGCAATTAGCCTACAAACACACGATTTAACAAGAACATTTTCTTCTGATCAGCAACCATAACTGGAATAAAAATCACATTGGTTTGTTTGTTTACCTTAGTTACGTAACGTTGCGGTTCAGAGAGATTTTTTTTAACAAGGTGAACACCTTTTCTCTGATGTAGGCCGAGGCTAATTATGGTAGATTAAATTACGCCAATTAATTTTAGTTTGGTGTTCGCTTTAGCGTGGCCCTTTTAATAAATTAGTTTAGTAGGTTAGGTTTAAACGATCGTGTACAGAAAATTATGTAGGAATGGAAGTGATTTTTTAACTTGCTAGTAAACACTCAATAGTTACGGAAAAACTATACGAGACAGCCTCAATCTGCAGAAAACAGTCCAGTTTATCCACGAATTTGGACTTGTCTAAATCCTTCAAAATAAATACCATAAAGGACTCAGAAGAAAAAGAAGAAAGAAGTTAAATAGAAACTAAACACGGAGTGTCTAAATCTTCTTGTTCTGCTGTCATCTACCTCTTTTATTCTAGACACCAAACATCTACTCCATCCCTACAACCTAGACACCAAACATCTACACCCTAGACACACCAAACATCTACTCCTACCCTGATTATAGATTTTTTTTAATAGCGCTCCCTATGTACACACTAGACACCAAACATCCACACCCTCTTTACATCCTAGACACCAAACATCCACACCATCTCTACACCCTACACACCAAACATCCACACCCTCTCTACATCCTAGACACCAAACATCCACACCATCTCTACACCTTAGACACCAAACATCCACACCCTCCCTACATCCTAGATACCAAACATCCACACCCTCTCTACATTCTAGACACCAAACATATACATCATCCCTACAAACTCGACACCAAACATCTACACCTCTATAAAAACATAAAAGACCTACTCCCTCCCTATCCCTGTACATCCTTCATACACCCAAGACACCAACAGTACGCATACATATCTCCTTAATAGGTCATACCACACCCACACACACATCTTCTTTATGCATAACTGCCTCGCTGTAAAGGTTTTTTATGGGGAAATTTGGGCAGCATCTGGTCTGAAGTACGTAATGTATTCAGACTGAAGACCTAGTTATGCTGATACTCTGCTGGTATATCCCCAACTTTGACCAGACTACAACAGAATTTTATGGAAAAACCACGATCAATACGCCAATTAAATCATAAAAAATAGCAATTTCAGAAGTTAACAAGAAAAACGCAGACACATTAAATTGAAAGTTCCGGTAAAATGTATTTTATGAATTTAAAATGCATAGAATATTGAAAACCATTTTTATTCAGACTCGTTATACATTTTTAAAACTTCCTCCATATGCCTTATTCAGTTGTTTACGCGATATTTTTTGTAGCAAGTTTTATAAAAAATAAGAACTGGACAGAACGAAAGTATTTATTGTTCGTGAACGTAGAAGCTTCCTGTGTTCAAAAGTCGTTCTCCGTCCTCTTATCTTAGTCTGACCATCGACTTACTACCTCAGTATTAGGACACTCACAATGTTCTTAAATGGGAGTAACTAACACAGAAGTGGTGTGAAAACTTGTTGCGGCTGCTGTTGTCGTTTAGTTGTTGTTTTGTTGTTATGTATACGTTTGTGTCAAACGCATATTATTTTCTGGGATAACCTACCTAACCAAGGTGATGATGTAACATTTGTCGTGACGACATGGAACGTGAGAATAGGTCAGTGAAATGTGACGAAAGGTCACTGAAATGTGACGAAATGCCAAAGAAACGTAAAGACTGCAGTAAACGATTAAAACGTCTGTAGAATTTGTGGGCAGTATTGGTTTATGCGTCATTTTTATTTAGTTTGGTTAATCTTCTTCTTCTTCGTTCTTAATTGTAGTCAGGGATCCTCTCCATCACAATTAAGGATACGTGTCAACTGGTTATGCGCCAATCAGGCCATTAACTCCGATTTCAGCCTGCTTTTCTTTTTGGATTTCTTTCCATAGCCTTTTTCCAACCAAGAACAAACTACAAGGCAGCAGTTGTTTGATTTTGGAGTGTTTGGTTAATGAAAGTTTTTGTTATTGAAAGTTTAGGTTATTGAAAGTTTTAGTTCGTGAAAGTTTCTGTTAGTGAAAATTTTAGTTAGTGAAAGTTTAGGTTATTGAAAGTTTTAGTTCGTGAAAGTTTCTGTTAGTGAAAGTTTTAGTTAGTGAAAGTTTAGGTTAGAGAAAGTTTCTGTTAGATAAATTGAATGAAGACATGAAACTTATTGGAAAGAAATGTGGAAAAAATGTCAGAGAACAGAAAAGTATGGAAGGATGTTGCGAATGGCATATGCTCTTATGAGAATTGAAATAAGCGAAGAAGAAAATTATTTATTTAGGGGATTTATAAAAATACATTCCTTTCTTTTGTGTGGATGATTGCGTTTTCTGGTGGTAGAATGACACACGTTATGCTTGCTCTACTTGACGGTCCATGGGGCAGGTGAAGTAGAGTTCATATGTTTCGGTAACCTCGGCATATGAATGAATAGTGTGCTCAGAACTATGCCCAGTCGCCTTTACTTTTCCTAACGTAAATCAGGTACCCATCAGATTTGGGTTGACTTATGGATTTTGTACTGACACGAACCCAGGATTCGAACTCGAGACGTTTGGGTTACCAGTCGATCACGTTGTCTCATTTGCTCTACTTGTGCCACAGCTAATTATATTGAGCCTAGCCATCTTCATCTTAGTTAATTAGTTTGTCAACATCTTCGAGAGAACGATATTCTGGACGAGTTTTTTCCCCCTGTGATTAGCTCCCGTTCATAAAGGACATAACGAATCGACGCTTTAATTATAATTAACGTCGTCTGCTAATGTCCGAGTGACGCAGCTGGCCTATATATCACGTGATAGAAGATGTTAACTGACTGCATCTGGGTTAGCTCAGTTCGGAGCTTAAAGGAGTTTAAGCTTGCTTTGTTTTGATCTTACTGGAGTTCTTTATAATGACTTGTTTATTAACAATAAACAAATAGGCGCCTTTGTTAACTCATTTAAAAAGCGCTCCAGTAATTGTAAAACTCGATACTCATTTTAAAGTTAAGGTTTGCTTTTAAAATTTCAAACTAAATACCAGAATCATAGTCCATTACTTAGTATCCATTTTTTTAAAAGAATTAAGGGGTCGTCCATAAATGACGTCACACTCAAAGTGTGACGATGTGTGATGAGGGGGAGTGGGGTGGTCAGAAATTGTGATGTCATATTGTTGCTTTTTTTTTTTTTTAAAAAGAGTAACGATGAAGGCTGAATTTTAGCCATTATTTTTTTTTTATTTCTGTTTTTGTAAATTGTATTATATATTAATATACACTATATTGAAACAAATCTGGAAAATTCTATAAAGAAATTGATGTTTAAAAACAAAATTAAACTGCAAATTTAGGGGTTGTAGGCTGAGATGTGACTTCATTTTAAGGTGGGGGGGGGGTCCTTCTTTTTGTGACAATGTGTGACGGTGGGGAAGGGGGAGATAAAAATCGCCTAAAAAGCTTGACCACTAAGTATATACTTCAATAACGAGGCGTTTCTTGCCGCACTGTGTCACACTAATGACCAGGATTTTCACAAAAGTGCGGCAATTTAATTTTTTTTTTTAAAGTACATCCTACCGTTTCATGTCTGACACTCCAAATATGGCATCGTTAGGGGGTAATCTTAAAGTACGTCCACTTTTTAAAAACTCTTTTCTTCCAAATTTAATTTCAGAAATTAACTTCTCAGACTAATTATCCGGTGATCTAGTTAAAAGGTTCAATGTTTATTATCGGTCTTTTTCGGGTAGAACTCAACGGAAAATTTGATTACATTTTTTGAAAATGTTGACGTGCGATTGAAGGGTTGAACACGGTGCTAATATGACGAATTTTATAGTGAGCGTCCGTGTGGGGGTAACCACACGGAATGTTGGTGAGTTTAGCATTGTGGGGATGTTTAACAACAACACCATCGATGGGTTAAACGACAGCAACACCATCGGTGGGTTTGACTTGACGCCACTCTCAGGTAGATAGTAACTTCTAGCGATAATATGCCCTCACAGTTGATATGTTTTCACATTTTAGGGGCCGTCCTTACATGACGTCACACATATGGGAAGTTGCGCCTTGGACCTGAGTGATGATCTGTGACGTGTGACGAGAGAATGTCACGTCACCATTTTGCATTATAAAAGGTAATTTTTAAAATTCAAATTTAATGTTATTTCGCATTTAAATTTTTTTTTAACTTTTCTTGAATTGTAATAAAAACTGTTCAATTAACCTAATCAATCAATATTTCATAAATAAATTTGTAAATTAATATTTTTATAAATTAATCGCATTTTTTTTAAATTGCGCCTTTAAAAAAAAGGTTTGTGTGTTGTGTCAAGGCCTAAAATGTGTCGAAAACGAGACGCCGCCAGTGGACGACACAGTAGAAAAAAATGTGTGTATAAATATACACATACACTTGACTTTAAAACCTTTCTTTTTAATTCCATTGTGTTAAAAATAAGGGCTGTGTGTGTGTGTGTATGTGTGTGTCTGTGTGTGCGATAACATATTTTTAAGTAAGTTGTAAAGTAACACCATATTAATTACAATGCGGATAGAAAATAAATTTTTCTTTGCCTCAACAATGTTGATTTCAGCAAATTTTCCCAACAAATAATAGTATTTGTCTTAAGTTAATTCTTAATGAGGGTAAACATCTTAAAACAAATTCTCTAAGGTCTGACCTGCTCCCGCCTAAATCCTGAACTACTCCCCACAATTACCTGATCTACTCCCCACAATTACCTGATCTACTCCCCACCTGACCTACTCCCCCACCTGACCTACTCCCCACCTGACCTACTCCCCACCTGACCTACTCCCCACCTGACCTACTCCCCACCTGACCTACTACCCACCTGACCTACTCCCCACCTGACCTACTCCCCACCTGACCTACTACCCATCTGACCTACTCCCCACCTGACCTACTCCCAACCTGACCTACTCCCTACCTGACCTACTCCCCACCGGACCTACTCCCCACCTGACCTACTCCCTACCTGACCTACTCCCCACCTGACCTACTCCCCACCTGACCTACTCCCCACCTGACCTACTCCCTACCCGACCTACTCCCCACCTGACCTACTCCCAACTTTTACCTGACCTACTCCCCACCTGACCTACTCCCCACCTGACCTACTCCCCACTTTTACCGGACCTACTCCCCGCCTGACCTACTCCCCATCCGACCTACTCCCCACCTGACCTACTCCCCGCCTGATCTACTCCCCACCTGATCTACTCCCCACCTGACCTACTCCCCACCTGACCTACTCCCCACCTGATCTACTCCCCACCTGATCTACTCCCCACCTGATCTACTCCCCACCTGACCTACTCTCCCACCTGATCTACTCCCCACCTGACCAACTCCCCACCTGACCTACTCTCCACTTTTACCTGACCTACTCCCCACCTGATCTACTCCCAACCTGACCTACTCCCCACCTGACCTACTCCCCACCTGACCTACTCCCCACCTGACCAACTCCCCACCTGACCTACTCCCCACCTGATCTACTCCCCACCTGACCTACTCTCCCACCTGATCTACTCCCCACCTGACCAACTCCCCACCTGACCTACTCTCCACTTTTACCTGACCTACTCCCCACCTGATCTACTCCCCACCTGACCTACTCCCCACCTGACCTACTCTCCCACCTGATCTACTCCCCACCTGACCTACTCCCCGCCTGACCTGCTCCCCACCTGACCTACTCCCCACTAAAACCTGACTTACCTGATCTACTCCCCACCTGATCTACTCCCCATCTGAGCTACTCCCCACCTGACCTAATCCCCACCTGACCTACTCCCCACTTGACCTACTCCCCACCTAACCTATTCCCCACCTGACCTACTCCCCACCTGACCTACTCCCCACCTGACCTACTCCCCACTTGACCTACTCCCCACCTGACCTACTCCCCACCTGACCTACTCCCCACCTGACCTACTCCCCACCTGACCTACTCCCCACCTGACCTACTCCCCGCCTGACCTACTCCCCACCTGACCTACTCCCCACTAAAACCTGACTTACCTGATCTACTCCCCACCTGATCTACTCCCCATCTGAGCTACTCCCCACCTGACCTACTCCCCACCTGACCTACTCCCCACTTGACCTACTCCCCACCTGACCTACTCCCCACCTGACCTACTCCCCACCTGACCTACTCCCCACCTGACCTACTCCCCACTTTAACCTGTCCTGTCCTAGTTTAAACTCCCCAATCTTGAAGACGCTGTAAACAGCCTGGCGATGTTATTGATTTTATTCCCAGTGTGCTGACTCTCCTCGTCCTGCGCGGCCTAGCCACGCGGCAGTCAACAAGTTTTCACAAAACGTAAACATTGGTCAAACTGGCACACGATGACCAGCGTCCACTTCAACTCACGCTCGTCGTCTGCCGTGAGCCGGCAGATCAGGGTGGCGTGATTCAAGCGTGTCTGTCTGATAGCAGGTCGCTGTGACCAGTCTACTGTTGCCGTCTACTGTTGGCGTCTGCTGTTTGGGGGACTATGTGTCGATGAGGCTGAGACTATGGTGTCGCTGCATCTGCTGTGTCTTCTGCTGATCGTCTGCTCGACCCAGGGGGCGGGCGTGTCCGCGCACCTGATCGACAAGAGGCCGGACTGTTTCAAGAGCTGTTCGGTGAGTGTCACGTTCATGTCACGTCAGTGTCACGCCAGTGGTCAAACGTATTGTCACACATTTTGTCACGTCAGCCATTGTATCTCTTTAAAAATTAGTATCTAGCTATTGATCAAACCTTTAGTGACGTCACTGGTTAAACGTCTACTTTCAACGTCATTTTGTCACACCCAACAATGTATTACGTAATTCGCGTGACGCGTATGACGCGACAATGTATTTTTAGAGCCACGTGAACTTAATTACGTATTCACCCCCCCCCTTTCCCCCCCCCCCTTTCCCCCCCCCCCCCCCCCCCCCCCCCCCGCCACTAAAATCTTAACTCTGATTGAATTGACATTATTGTCACAACTCACTCTACATCGATCCGTCTATTTCCAGCAGACGACATATTTCTTTAGCGCGTGGATCTATCGTCTGCTTCTCTAACCCCCAACTAGTCATAATGACCAGGAGCGTTTTCATGTGTCTATCTGTAGCTGTGTTTATCATGCTAATAAATCTTTAGGCTAATTAGTGAGTGATATTTCCGTAATGAAGACCTTCCTATATCCCTATGTAGAATATAGAGATTTTATCTAGGTAATGCTATCACCTACCTGCCTATTTTAAAACTACGTATATACAGTGCCAGATTAGGCACATTTAAAATGGATGTAGAGGTTAAGGATAAGTTAGGGATATGGTTGATGATAGTGACATTCTAGATGAATTAGGATAATTTTAATATGTATTCTTAAGGAGGGTGGGTGGTAATTGTCCGTGGTGTGTGTGGGGGGAGGGGTGTAATTGACCATGGTGATGGGGGGTGGGGGTGAGGTGGTAATTGACTATTTTGGTTGGGGGGGGGGAATTGACCGTGGTGGTGGAGAGGGGGTGATATTTGACCGTGGTAGGGGGAAGGGGGGTAATTAACCATGAGGGGGGTTGTAATGCCTGTGATCCATCATCGGTTACTCCAAACATAATTTTTTTAAATCTTTCAGCATGACGTTGAGTGTACCATAAAGATCTCTGACACAATGTGTAGTTACGGTAAGTGTGTTCTTTACACACTGACATATGGCACTGACACATGCCACACTGTTATATGACACACTGACATATGGCACACTGGTATATGACACTGACACTTAACACTGACACGTGGAACTGACACGTGGCACTGATACACTGACACATGGCACTGACACATGGCACTGATAGACTGACACATGGCACACTGGCACTTTAACTCATGACACATGGCCCACTTACTTATGACCAACTGACATTTGACACTGGCCCAAGGTAGTACTAAACAATACAGACAAACCCCACTGACATGTCAAGTGTGACACTTGACACTGATATGACAACATTAAACTAGTTTTGTCACTAGGCTTTGTCACAAATTACTGAATCACCATACAGATACAAGACTGACACTCGAAAATGACGTTTAACGCATGACAAAACATTGAGAGTGACACAACATTGTGACATTTGTCTTTGACATATGACACTAAAACATTGACAACTGAGACATAAAATCAAACTTTTTGTCATGACATATTTAACACAATGTTTAGATTCCACCCCACACCCCTTCCACCCCATACCCCCCTCCACCCCAAACCCCCTCCACGCCATACCCTCTACTCCACCCCACACACCCCTCCACCCCACACCCCCCCTCCACCCACACCCCCTTCCACCCCACACCCCTTCCACCCCACACCCCCTCCACCCCACACACCCCCTCCACCACACACCTCTCCACCCCACCCCCACCCCTCCACCCCACCCCTCCACCCCACACCCTCCTCCACCACACACCTCTCCACCCCACCCCCCACCCCTCCAGCCCATACCTTGTGACAAAAAGTAAACCAACCCACCTGTCCCCAGTTGATGTCCATGATCAGGCCAAGGGTGGGGACACCAACATCGCAGGAAGGATCTGGAACTTGACCATGAAGACGTCAACAGATGAGAAGTACCGCTATGTGGACCTGGAGTGGGGAGCACCGGATGACGGTCAGTAGCGTGAAGACTTGACCCGTGTATGTTGTTCCATAACAGACGTATGTGGACATGAGAGCCCTGTAGGACATTAGGGATGGGGGGGGGTAGATGGTTGGAAAACCTGTTTTTATATAGTGACTAAATTATCACAAAATTAAATATTTAATAACATCTATTTAATAATGAAGATCATTTTTACAAGCTTTTATTTAACTCACTTCCTCGTCAGTCGTAAGTCGTCAGTCTAGACCGAAACGCAGGAGTGAAAATTTGGACAGTTCTTCTTGACCGATACGATTCAAAGTTGGCACGTGGGTCAAGACATGAAGACAATGCAATCTGAAACTAAATTTGACTTAATTGGATGCCTAATTAATTTTTTATGAATTAATTAAAATTTTAAATATTTGTATTTAATGTATTTTCCTTAATCGTACCAATAGGCAAGTTGTTTAGAGTGAGGAAAGAGATAATGTTTAAAATAAATTTTGTTTTTGAAAGATTTTCTTTTTCTGTAAGATTTTATTTAATTAAAAAAAAAAAAAAATTCATGATTTAAGTCACTTATATACTACATTACATTGTTAAAATCAACTTAAAAAAAAAAAACCAGCAAAAGCTATTTTTTAATCTCCTTATGTCTATAATTGATGTCAGCTTTCTGTTATTGCCAGATATTTGTCATTAGTCTCTAATTGCTTCTGTCCACATGCAGTGTGTGATGACATCTGGTTGAAATCAGTGTTTCTTCCAGACTTTTTTCTCTGAGGGGGGCACTTGAAATTTTCAGGAGGGCGGTAGACTTTCTTTAGGGGGGGAGGGGGCGGACACAGTTAAAAGTATATATTTTCTATATAAATTATATAAATTTCATTTCGTTTGGGGGGGGGGGCAGTAAAAAATGTTCGGGGGACAAAGAGATGGCTGGAAGAAAATCTGGTTGAAACAATGTCTCTCTTCTCCCATCCCAGGATCTTATAACTTCACTTTCTCCCATCCCAGGATCTTATAACTTCACTTTCTCCCATCCCAGGATCTTATAACTACCTGACTTACTTTCTCCCATCCCAGGATCTTACAACTTCCTGACTGGCTTCCTCCTGAGCATCAGTACAGTCAACCTTGACAGTGACAAGTTTTTAACCCCACAGCTGGAATGCTTCAACCTTGACCTTGGCAATTGGACAGCCCCTCACCGCCAGCTACTTTCAACGCGTGTATGCTATTAATCACATATTAAGTTTTTATTAAAATCAAAATGCTAATTAGCATTAAAATCTAATTTAATAAAAATCTAACTTTTGTAAACAAAATATAATTCTAATAAGCACTTTAGTTAAATAAATTTAAATCTAACTTCTACTAAGAATTAAAATTTAATTTAATTAAAACCTAACTTTAAAATTAAAGTTGATCAATATAGAACTTTTGTTCAGCATTAAAATGAAGGTTGATTAAAACCTAACTTCCGCTGCGCATTAAAATTGTATTCAATAGAAATGTAACTTTTACTGCTGTGATTAAAATGTGCTTCTTGTGTCTGATTGATGCAGTCGTACGGTGCCCAGTTTTTCTTCAACTGTCTGCGACTGTCTCGCAACATCTCCAGGGAGGTGACGGTCATCATGCACAGCCAGCCAATCAGTGAGAAGCTACCCAAGCTGGTGCAGAAGTCATTCAAGGTTCCAAGTGGTAGGGCTTTTATACTGCTGGGGACTGTTACACCTGTATCAAGGCTTTTATACTGCTGGGGACTGGGTTACACCTGTCGCTAGGCTTTTATACTGCTGGGGACTGGGTTACACCTGTTTCTAGGCTTTTATACTGCAGGGGACTGTGTTACAGCTGTATCTAGGCTTTTATACTGCAGGGGACTGTGTTACACCTGTGTAGACCAGCTGTACACATTTGTACTGCAGGGGACTGTGTTACAGCTGTATCTAGGCTTTTATACTGCAGGGGACTGTGTTACACCTGTGTAGACCAACTGTATATGTTTTATACTGCAGGGGACTGTGTTACACCTGTATAGATTGTAGACCAGCTGTATACATTTATATCTGCTATCTCAAGTTCAGATCCTGAGCTTGATGACATTAATATATCTGTGACATTAATATATCTGTGACCACCCAGCTCTGATGGGTATCTGATCAAATATGGCAAAGTGGTGGCTGGGCTTAGTACTGACCACACTATCACTTCATGTTAGATCACAGAAAAAGGTGGACTCTACTTCACCTAAATTATGGACTTCAGGTTCTTATGTTTCCTTTAGACTGGAATCTAGAGTAGTGCCTAGCCTTTAAGGTATGATACCAATGTTAGAACTTGTTGTTTAGGGACTTCGAAGAGTGCATATCACTTAAAAAAAATTAATTCGTCTAATTATAATAGATATGTAGACCCATAGATTACTTCTTAAAACATGCTCATGATTTATTTTTCTGAGGCCTATATTTATTTTAATAAATTTTAATGTTTCCACAAAGTCTTTCATAGTACAAAATACACAGTTTATTTTCCTTATTGGAATATCTTTTCTAATATAATTAGGACTGGGAAGACTGTGCTTTTTTTCTGGCGAACTTGCTTTTGTTAAGTTGACTTTCAGTACCAAAAAACATGAGCATTTTTTAAGTATAAAATTTATTAAATGCTATTCAAAAATTCTGTCAAAAGAGGCTTTTTTGTTATAAGCCCTGTAACCTAAACCTGCCACTGTTTCCCTTTGATCTAAACCTACTATTGTTTCCCTTTGAATTAAATCTACCAAAAGTTGTTTCCCTTTGACCTAATATATTATAAAATAAAACATTTACCTTTGACCTATTCCTGCCATTTATTAATCCCATGTGACCTATTGTAAAATTTTAAGCACCTTAGAGGTAAACTTTCCATAAATTGATTACCCTTTGACCTCCTGATGAGATGTTCCTAATTTGTACACAACCTCACAGCCCTAGAGGACCAGTACACCACGTACTTCGACCACAAGCAGATTGGTCTACTGCATGTCATCATCCACAAGCACAAGAAACTGACGGACCAGTTTCAGGCAGTCTTGCATGAAAGGCAATATCCCTCCATTGTCCGCTTCAAGCAAATCTTACCACTGGTGAGGTTTTATGTTATCTAACGTCAGACTTGTCTAAAAAACATCTTGCATGAAAGGCAATATCCCTCCATTGTCCGCTTCAAGCAAATCTTACCACTGGTGAGGTTTTATGTTATCTAACGTCAGACTTGTCTAAAAAACATCTTGCATGAAAGGCAATATCCCTCCATTGTCCGCTTCAAGCAAATCTTACCACTGGTGAGGTTTTATGTTATCTAACATCAGACTTGTCTAAAAAACATCTTGCATGAAAGGCAATATCCCTCCATTGTCCGCTTCAAGCAAATCTTACCACTGATGAGGTTTTATGTTATCTAACGTCAGACTTGTCTAAAAAACATCTTGCATGAAAGGCAATATCCCTCCATTGTCCGCTTCAAGCAAATCTTACCACTGGTGAGGTTTTATGTTATCAACTTATCAACAAACACAACCACATGACATCACTGTTGTAACTTATCAACACCAGCACATGACATCACTGTTGTAACTTATCAACAAGACCTCATGACATCACTGTTGTAAATTATCAACACAACCACATGACATGTCACTGTAATTTATCAACACAAACATAAGACATCACTGTTGTAAATTATCAACACAACCACATGACATCACTGTAACTTATCAACACAAACATAAGACATCACTGTTGTAAATTATCATCACAGAAACAGAGACTTTTCTAAAAAAAAAAACTAACCTTATACTTATCTAAAAATTCACTTCTGACTTGACTTGTCTAAAATCTAACTTCAGACTTGTCTAAAAATCTAACTTCAGACTAGTCTAAAAAAACTAACTTCAGACTTGTCTAAAACCTAACTTCAGACTTGTCTAAAACCTAACTTCAGACTTGTCTAAAAAATCTACTTCAGACTTGTCTAAAAACTAACTTCAGACTAGTCTAAAAAAAACTAACTTCAGACTTGTCTAAAACCTAACTTCAGACTTGTCTAAAAAATCTACTTCAGACTAGTCTAAAAAAACTAACTTCAGACTTGTCTAAAACCTAACTTCAGACTTGTCTTAAAAACTAACTTCAGACTTGTCTAAAAAACTAACTTCAGACTTGTCTAAAAACTAACTTCAGACTTGTCTAAAAACTAACTTCAGACTTGTCTTAAAAACTAACTTCAGACTTGTCTAAAAAACTAACTTCAGACTTGTCTAAAAACTAACCAGACTTGTCTTAAAACCTAACTTCAGACTTGTCTAAAAAATCTACTTCAGACTTGTCTAAAAACTAACTTCAGACTTGTCTAAAAACTAACTTCAGACTTGTCTTAAAAACTAACTTCAGACTTGTCTAAAAAACTAACTTCAGACTTGTCTAAAAACTAACTTCAGACTTGTCTTAAAAACTAACTTCAGACTTGTCTAAAAAACTAACTTCAGACTAGTCTAAAAAAACTAACTTCAGACTTGTCTAAAAACTAACTTCAGACTAGTCTAAAAAAAACTAACTTCAGACTTGTCTAAAACCTAACTTCAGACTTGTCTAAAAAATCTACTTCAGACTAGTCTAAAAAAACTAACTTCAGACTTGTCTAAAAAACTAACTTCAGACTTGTCTAAAATCTAACTTCAGACTAGTCTAAAAAAACTAACTTCAGACTTGTCTAAAACCTAACTTCAGACTTGTCTAAAACCTAACTTCAGACTTGTCTAAAAAATCTACTTCAGACTTGTCTAAAAACTAACTTCAGACTAGTCTAAAAAAAACTAACTTCAGACTTGTCTAAAACCTAACTTCAGACTTGTCTAAAAAATCTACTTCAGACTAGTCTAAAAAAACTAACTTCAGACTTGTCTAAAACCTAACTTCAGACTTGTCTAAAACCTAACTTCAGACTTGTCTAAAAAACTAACTTCAGACTTGTCTAAAATCTAACTTCAGACTAGTCTAAAAAAACTAACTTCAGACTTGTCTAAAACCTAACTTCAGACTTGTCTAAAACCTAACTTCAGACTTGTCTAAAAAATCTACTTCAGACTTGTCTAAAAACTAACTTCAGACTTGTCTAAAAACTAACTTCAGACTTGTCTTAAAAACTAACTTCAGACTTGTCTAAAAAACTAACTTCAGACTTGTCTAAAAACTAACTTCAGACTTGTCTTAAAAACTAACTTCAGACTTGTCTAAAAAACTAACTTCAGACTTGTCTAAAAAAACTAACTTCAGACTTGTCTAAAAACTAACTTCAGACTTGTCTAAAAACTAACTTCAGACTTGTCTTAAAAACTAACTTCAGACTTGTCTTAAAAACTAACTTCAGACTTGTCTTAAAAACTAACTTCAGACTTGTCTTAAAAACTAACTTCAGACTTGTCTAAAAACTAACTTCAGACTTGTCTAAAAACTAACTTCAGACTTGTCTTAAAAACTAACTTCAGACTTGTCTAAAAAACTAACTTCAGACTTGTCTAAAAACTAACCAGACTTGTCTTAAAACCTAACTTCAGACTTGTCTAAAAAATCTACTTCAGACTTGTCTAAAAACTAACTTCAGACTTGTCTAAAAACTAACTTCAGACTTGTCTTAAAAACTAACTTCAGACTTGTCTAAAAAACTAACTTCAGACTTGTCTAAAAACTAACTTCAGACTTGTCTTAAAAACTAACTTCAGACTTGTCTAAAAAACTAACTTCAGACTAGTCTAAAAAAACTAACTTCAGACTTGTCTAAAAACTAACTTCAGACTTGTCTAAAAAACTAACTTCAGACTTGTCTAAAAAACTAACTTCAGACTTGTCTAAAAAAACTAACTTCAGACTTATCTAAAAAACTAACTTCAGACTTGTCTAAAAAAACTAACTTCAGACTTATCTAAAAAACTAACTTCAGACTTGTCTAAAAAAACTAACTTCAGACTTATCTAAAAAACTAACTTCAGACTAGTCTAAAAAAACTAACTTCAGACTTGTCTAAAAACTAACTTCAGACTTGTCTAAAAAACTAACTTCAGACTTGTCTAAAAAACTAACTTCAGACTTGTCTAAAAAAACTAACTTCAGACTTATCTAAAAAACTAACTTCAGACTTGTCCTCAGGTGTACAACAAAAGTGAAAAGCTTATGGTGGAGGAAAAAGATGACACCATCCACTTTATGATTCCAGGCTTGAAAAGTTTGACAGAATACAACCTTTATGTGAGCCCCCGTATTTCTTGCTTAAAGAATCATTTATGGAGATTAGTTCATGTTTTAATCATGCATATTCACATTTTACAAATACTTGGATATAAATTCATGATTTTTGTTGAGGTGAAATTTCTAATTTGTAGATTATAGTAACAATGAAGTAGTTTAGCTTCAGGGGGATTTTTTTTAAATGCCTATTAGATGGTACTTTGATAAAAACAATTATATTTATTGTTTATGTTTACAAAGATAAGTAACATTGATATATATTTTTCTTTTATTTCCATAGCTAATTTTTACCAACATCCAATTTTCTCTTATTTCCATAGCAAAAATTAAATTAACATAATTTTTCCATTTAATTTTGCCTAATTTCGCTATATTGACAACTAATTTTCCCCTTATTTTCATAGCTAAACTATATTGACAACTAATTTTTCCCTTATTTCCATAGCTAAGCTATATTGACAACTAATTTTCCACTTATTTCCATAGTTAAGCTATATTGACAACTAATTTTCCACTTATTTCCATAGTTAAGCTATATTGACAACTAATTTTCCCCTTATTTCCATAGCTAAGCTATATTGACAACTAATTTTCCACTTATTTCCATAGTTAAGCTATATTGACAACTAATTTTCCCCTTATTTCCATAGTTAAGCTATATTGACAACTAATTTTCCCCTTATTTCCATAGTTAAGCTATATTGACAACTAATTTTCCCCTTATTTCCATAGCTAAGCTATATTGATTCCAACCATACAATAAAGGAGCTCATGACTGTGTTGACAATAAGTAAGTTTTTTTTTTTTTTTTTTTTTTTTTTAATTTAAAAAAAAAATTTTTTACTATTTATTTTTTAAAAACATGAGCCCATTGTTAAAATCCCAAAAAGACTTACGTTATTAATTATAAAACCCATAATAATTAAATATCCCACATATTCTTTTGTTCGGAGATTGATAGAGCTTGATCAAGTCGCTAAAAACTTAAGAGTCAGAAACTGGGTTTTAAACTAAGCACAATTTTGCTTTGACTGCCATATTGGCTACATACAACAAATCTTATATGATGTGGTCATTAACAAAATATTTTACTTTTTTAAACTTATTACAGAAGACATAATTATTAGTATGTTCATAAAATTGATTGAATACTAACTTTGTGCAATGATGTACCTAAAATTGATTGAATGTTAACTTTATGCAATGATTGTCATATGATTGCAGACACACCAGAATTCAAAACAGAAAAAGAAATTGATGACAACAGATTAATTATCATCACCGGGTGCTGCTTGACCTTCACCTTCCTCGCCCTAGTGATCTGTGTCATCTGGAGGGTCAGGGTGTGGGGTAAACTCAAGCTCTGGCTAAATACCTCAGCTAAAAATAGAACTAACAACAACAAACAAGGAGAGCCTCGCAGTATGAATTTTTTTTTCATTTCACCAAAAAAAATTGTGTTTTTAAATGTTGACTTTCAATACAGCCTTGTTTTTACAATATCCTCTGTCACACCATCCCTTCAAATGTTGAGGTAAAAAAAAAAGATGAACTTGACCTAATCTACTCTTCATCATTAGATCAAATTTTAAACTAAAATAAGTACAACACCCATAGTAATTCATGAAAAAAAAAATTTATATTGAAAAACTAGGTGTAATTTTGTTAAAGAGAAAATTTTATTTCACAATTTGACAATACCACAGAAAGGATGAGCTTAAATCCTGGTGAAAACCTAAGATGAAACAAGCTGGGTAAAGTAGTGCCCAAAGGCCACACATTTGCATTCCATACATGACCTTTTTAAAACTGATGGACTTTACCTATCTGCCTTGCTAATCATTAGATCTAGATCTAGCATGCTAAAACTTACATTTCAAGAATCGATTTCAACAGACTTATAACCTGTACTTTGATATCTCCACAGTACTATAGATTTCAACAGACTTATAACCTGTACTTTGATATTCTCCACAGTACTATAGATTTCAACAGACTTATAACCTGTACTTTGATATTCTCCACAGTACTATAGATTTCAACAGACATAACCTGTACTTTGATATTCTCCACAGTACTATAGATTTCAACAGACTTATAACCTGTACTTTGATATTCTCCACAGTACTATAGATTTCAACAGACTTATAACCTGTACTTTGATATTCTCCACAGTACTATAGATTTCAACAGACTTATAACCTGTACTTTGATATCTCCACAGTACTATAGATTTCAACAGACTTATAACCTGTACTTTGATATTCTCCACAGTACTATAGATTTCAACAGACTTATAACCTGTACTTTGATATTCTCCACAGTACTATAGATTTTAACAGACTTATAACCTGTACTTTGATATTCTCCACAGTACTATAGATTTCAACAGACTTATAACCTGTACTTTGATATTCTCCACAGTACTATAGATTTCAACAGACTTATAACCTGTACTTTGATATTCTCTACAGTACTATAGATTTCAACAGACTTATAACCTGTACTTTGATATTCTCTACAGTACTATAGATTTCAACAGACTTATAACCTGTACTTTGATATTCTCCACAGTACTATAGATTTCAACAGACTTATAACCTGTACTTTGATATCTCCACAGTACTGTAGATTTCAACAGACATAACCTGTACTTTGATATTCTCCATAGTACTGTAGATTTCAACAGACTTATAACCTGTACTTTGATATTCTCCACAGTACTACCGATCTACTGCAATGAAAACGCAAACTTTGTGAAGGCAGTAGAGAGCCACGTCTCCCTGCTGTGTCGCTTTGTTGACGTCCTGTGTATCAACGAACAGTCAGCCCTCAGGTGTTTTATATGTGGCTCCAGCACCAACGACCATTCATGGGTGGACACCCAAATCAAAGACAGCGAGGTTCTAATTTATCTCTCTCCACGTCTGGGCCAGTTGCTGCGGGGGGAAATCGAAACAGCTCAGATTTCACATTTAGACACTCTGTGTATGCAGTCTATAAACTCTTTACGTGAGCACCAAGGTCTAGGTCATGGATCACTACCTCATATGGTGACGTTTGACTGTTTCCAGCAAGCGGAGCTTGACTGCGTACACGAGTTCAAGAATATCTTGTCGGTGAACCACAGCGCTGAACTGGCGGGGCCGATAAAGCTGGCATCCTTGGGCCCCGATGGCTGGCAGCTGGAGAATCTGGACATCTTGCTGTTCCGGCTCTACCGTCTCTCTCAGCTTCCTCAGAACTTTTCTCAAAGCTTCAGCGGGTGGCGCCAGTCAGATCAGGCCAGCTATGTCATCAGATATTTAGAGCAGTTCACAAAGTCCAGCTCATTAGAAAACCTGGCCACAAATGTCTTGCTTGATCAGGGAATCTCTTTTGAGACTGTTCACAATTCAAGCTTGGATATGTTCACTGAGAGGCACCCTGCCAGAGCAGCTGCCTCCCCGCCCAGTTACCCAGCTAGAGGGGCTAATTCAGGAGGTGGTTTCAGGGAAGATCCTGTGGAGGAGGAAGAACAGGAAGTGACCTCTGACATGCCTCTGATGTCTCTGTCCAGTGGCTTCATCAGCGCTCCCTACTCCCATGACGACCCACACTCTGTGGGGTACCCCGCACATCCTCAAGGTCTCAGATACCCCACACAACCTGCAGATGACCCGCACTCTGTGGGGTACCCCACACATCCTGCAGATCTCAGGTACCCAGCACAATCTGGAGATGACCCGCACTCTGTGGGGTACCCCACACATCCTGCAGATCTCAGATACCCAGCACAACCTGGAGATGCCTACCCCAGTGACCCCCACTCCAACAGATACTCACCAAAGCTCTCAGATATTTCCATTGATCAAAATCCTCTCCAAATGCCTTCAATGAAAAATTGCTCAACTGAACCAGAGACCACTAGCATTACAGGTGGCCTCTCCAACCTATCTGAAGAAGAAAACACTGACGTTGTTACACTCTACACGCCAGCTAAAACCCTGTACCAGGAGGATGCTGTTATATTTTGGCCAAGTCCTCACTACAAAAGTGACGTGTTTTCGTTAAGTAACCAGCTCACACCGTTGAGAGATAAACATCGCGATGGTTACCAAAATGGGGTCACTGAGAGCAAAAAACTCAACAAGTCTGACAGCGAGTGGACCGTCCACAATGGCCATTTATTTCACGCCCAGTCCATAATTCCACCCACTCTGTGTATAAGTAATACGACTAGCACAGACAGTGTTTACGAGCGGATAAATAAAGTTAACGAAAACGTCAATTGGAGTAATCTAAGCTTGGCCAAGTGATTATTGGATTTTTATTCCTGGAGACCCTCTAGAAAAACATTCAGCATTTAATTTAAAATGAGATGTCTTTGACCTTAATAAAATGTAATTTTACTGAATATTTAAATCAAGCCTTGAAGGTTTTTGTCAAAAGTTTTTTGCTCTACTTTAATGTCACATCACCACTTGCTCTGTTTTTTAACCCAACTCTGAATCTTTTGAATTGATGTTAGATCTGCCGTCACACCATAGCTACATCTGTCCAATCAAAATATGTTAAGTATAAAAATGTACTGTTGATAGGGTTTACAGTAAAAAATAAATTAGGTATTTTATGTCCTGATTTGAATATTACAAAAGACCAACTATTTTAACAGTTTTTTTTAAATTCAAATCAGTCAATGTAGTTGACTGCTTGGAAGAAAGTTGGCTTTAAACTGACCCATTTTCTTGGCTTTTAATTTTTAATAAGTACGAAGAAAAATATTTAATTTAATCAAAAGTTCAAATTTATAGGTAATTAACATTTTCTAGCAGATATATATAATATATATAATATATTTTGGCTATATATATATATATATATATATATATATATATATATATATATATATATATATATATATACACACATATATATATATATATATATATATATATATATATATATATATATATATATATATATATAAACAAATTATCCTGGCTACTTTATTTCTTGTACACCCATGAAATGAGGTCAGCATAAGACAACCAGATAAAATTTAAGCCACCCCACTCCATATTTTTATTTTAATCTTACAAAATAAAGCTACCTCCTATTTTATAAAACTAAGACAGCTGTAAATGTGTGTGTAGCCTATATAACAATATGATTTTGGCAATTTATGAAGCATAGGCATTCTATATAACATGTTGATTTCAGGAAAAGTAAGAAATATCTATATTTTATAAAATGCCTAGACATTCTATAAAATGATAATTAATCTTCTTCAAAACGTTCAGATTGGAAAGGTAATAATTTCTTATGAAAAGAAATAAAGAAAACCGATTCTGAAATGATTTTTAAATTTACAAAAAGAAACTAAACAAATACTAATTGAGCAACAAGATTTTCTTAAAGAACAAAGCTATCAGAAGATTTGTAACTTATTATTTGCTGCAGTAAGGAAGGATAGGAAGGCATAACTGCCAATACTTTTCTTTTTGAAGCAAAGGCATTTCTTTTTTAATTTCTGGCAATTTTTATTTACAGAAACCACAAAAATATTCATTAGCTTTGTCTTGAATCAACAAATTGAGGTCTTTGGTTGCCATGCCAATTTCTAACTTGTGTAAAGACATTTAGACATACTAGTGATCTAACAATGAGCTGCTTCAAAATTCTTTGCAATATTCAAAGTTGGCAAAAGCTATCTCAAGTCCCATTCTTTGTACCATTCAAAGTTGGCAAAAGCTATCTCAAGTCCCATTCTTTGCACCATTCAAAGTTGGCAAAAGCTATCTCAAGTCCCATTCTTAACACTGTAGGGCCTATATTTTCAATGTCTGGCTGTTGTGATGATTCAAACAACTTTTAAAGCTAGTCAGCATTCCCAACATTTGTTTGACTGTAATGTCATGGTGCTTTAAGCAATGGTTCAATATCTATAAAACTATAAGCTACTTCCTCTGCTGTCTTTGATTGCAGAGGCTGAAGAATTACACATTTTATCTTATGATATGGTATACTAATATACATTGCATTTCTTATCATACTAAGACTGAGATTTTAAAAAGCACCCTAGGTTTCAGCAAAAAACTTTTTCGTATAAGAAAAAGGTTGTTTTACAGAATGCCTAGGTAATGTCTGGAATGTAAATTATTTCATATTTTAAAATCTAAATTAACTATTTTATAGAATGCCTACACTATAAACATTAAGATTTTTCTCAAAACATTGAAATTTTATTTTATACATATATATTTTTTTAGCGGGGAAACCACTAATAATAAAAAAAAATCTAGGCAAACTTGTCTTAAAAAAGACTTCTCAAAACATTGAGCCAGTATTTTTCAAAGTACCTAAGTGTAGTGTCAAATCATAATTATGAATGAAACAATTAAGGAATTGAATGAATAATTGTTATAAATAACAGGCTTTTGTAAACTTTTCTTGCCAAAGAAAAATGTGTTACTTTCTCAAACTGCCTTTTAAATCTAGTTTGTTAAACATAAACTCTTTCATAAAAGAAAAATGTATTTCTCAAATGTGAACATCTCTACTGGTTCATGACTATTTAAAGCCTTATCAATGTGCTTTTATTCTATTGTGCTAAATATTTGAGCGTGTTTACTGTTGGTATCTTTTTCTCTGTCCTTCCATAGAGTATAGGCAGGTAGAGTGGCCTTGCTTCTATTTCAAATGTTTTTATTTAATGTTTATGTGAAGATTCATTCTTTGTTGTTTTTATCATGAAAGTTGATATACATTTTATCAATAGGCCTTTTTTATTTTTTTTATTTCGGTGGAAAATTTGGTGAATCAGAAAAAGTACGTCAAATATTTTCTCTCTCAAAACAGGCACATTTGTCAGAGATTTTTTAATTGACTTGAGAATGAAACAAGAAGTTGTTGGAGGGTCTCACTACTGATTTCTTCTACCTCAAACACAAATACTCCACATTGGCAAGACTTGAAACAATATTTATTTTTTGTAAGTTTAGTTTAAACGGTTGAAGAAGAGGCGAAAACAGCTGGGCTCACATGGGCACAGATAAAGGGAGAAGCCCAAAACCGAGTCCGCTGGAGATGTGTGGTTGCAGCCCTTTGCTCCCCAGGGGCCACAAAGGAATGATGAAGTTTAGTTTATAGCAGGCTTATAATTTGTCTACTTGCTCAACTTTATTTTTATTTTAAAACAATGTTTAGTTTATGGCAGGCCAGTTATTGGTGTATTGTGATCAACTTCATTTTTTTTAAAAAAAAACAATCTTTAGTTTACAGCAGGTTTATAATTTTTCTACTTTTATCAACTTTATTTTTAAAAATAAATTATTTCTTTAAAAATAATATGAATGTTATCAAAGTAAAAATATGATTACAAAAGTGTATAAAACTGTTTTAATGTTTCTTACGAATTCCAATTCAAACCTCCCTCATCATGACATCACATTCCATGAAAATTAATTACCAGTATTGTTTTATTCAATTTCCAGTTTAGTTTTTTAACACAGCTTCTATGTGTTGAACTGTGCCTACTTGGTGGGTTAATTACACATTTACAACTATTTATTGGTGAAAACTATTTGAGTGTGACATTGTCTAATTATTCACATTTGAAATGTATGAATGTTATACCATGAGATAGGGGTCAATAGCTCTTTTTATTACATCACATATAACAACCTGTTTTTTTTAAATTGTTTGCAAAATACACACAGTTTTTATTATTTAAAGTATAGAAGTGTATAGAAGATTAACTAGATTTTTTAGGTACTGATGTCAAAATATCTTATTAAACAGAAGAATGTTTATTGACCCCTGTCTTTGGGTAATATTCATACAGTGTGTTAATGTTATGAATATTTTGTAACTTGATAGATCCATACTATATTATTATAATAAAAGATATGTATATTTATAATGTATGGCATAATTAGTCATAGGGCATAAGTCAAGCACAAAATGTACCTCTGTGGTTAGGGCATACATCATGTGATGTTTATTATTATATTTCTAAAACTGCCCAGATTAGGTGAAGTTGAACCAATTTATCCACATTGTATTGATTTATTTTGTTAATAGTGAGTGATCTAATGTACTGTTTTATTGTAAGTTTATAAATTTTAAAAATACTAATTGATATATTTGTCTGCAGCACAAACATGTATACTCCAGGCCACCTATATAATGGTCATCAGGTGTTTAGTCCAGCTAGCAACTATATAATAACTGTATAACAATTATATAGGTTATATAACAACAATATAGACCAATGTAGTTTCTTTAAAAAGTTTTAGTTCCTCATTGTTGACAAAATTGAATAATCTCTGGTAAGGCAGGGAGTAAAACAGAGACTGAATTCTAGTTCACACATCAGCTAGGACTATACTAAATCTTGTTATTGTTATGTTATGGAAATATTGTTATACTAAAGGAGAACACATTCTACTGATGAATCACATACAACATGAAAGAAGCACAATTTGAAATATTAGGGATCTTGCATATATTATAAAATGAAAAACTGAAAATTTCTTACCCACTATGTTGCATTCCATATTTTATGTTGACATGAATAATCTTAGGTTTAATAAAAATATGAAACTGGTTTTCTACAATACAATTAATCCAATGCATAAAAAATCTTTAATAGAAATAGTAGCAAAGCCTAAAAATGGTGAGTCAGCCAGTGATATCCCATTATTTTGGTAAAGGTTAAAGACGCAAAAATTAACAAAAAATTAGAACCTAGTAAAAGGAAGTCACTATTATGGTGTATAAATGCTCTAATGGCTATAACTAAATTAATTTAATGGAATTTTTGCTGTAATATTGCATTCCAAAAGACATTTTTGTGTTAATGAAAATTGATCCATGTGCCTAACCTTATCCGGGACTTGCTAATATCCTCAGTATTAAATAGTGAATTACTTTTAGTATTAGCTGTGTAGACAAAATCAAACTAGTTTTCCCCCTTGTTTTTCTGTTGGTTAAAACATCTCACGGAAGGGAGACAACTTAATATTTTCTTTAAGAAATGTTCAATAACAGAAGGGGGTGGGATTCTTGATTTTTTTTGTCACAATATTTGACGACGGTGAATACGTTAAAGTCGACATTTATAAAGTGAACTAGATCTCTAACCACGCCATATATATGTGACAAGTTGTTTGAAGTTCTATCTATCGTGCCATGAATTTACAGCACAATTCCTGTTGAATTTTGTCCAAACTGTTTACAAAGTCCTTGTTATGTGCTCTTTAGTATTTTCTTTTGATGAACTTGTATGCATATGTAAATATGTGTCTATAATTTAATAGCATTTCATTTGTGACTGGGCATTTTATTTTATTGTGAACAATGTATTTAAGGGGAGTAACTCGAGCTGTACCATACTACAGAAGCGAGCTATAGTTAAATGATTCTCAAAATGTTATTTTAATTCTACTTTTGTTGTGTAAATTTGTATGATTAAAATATTTTCTGCCTGTGTGTTCTGATTATCTTTTTTTTGGTAAAATCTCGTCTAGTAAAGTTAGTTAAAAGCTAAGTATTAATGCGCTGGTGAAATTTTAAGTGATAATTTAGTCTGTTGTTTTTTTTTTCGTTTGTTGGTAAAATACAACGGTTAGGTGTGTTGTAAAATCTGATTTAAAAGCAATTTATATAGTTGAACACTGGACATTTTTACATGTCTTTAATTTTCGAGCAAGATGTTTAAACATTAAGTGAAGCTAAGGTTTCGTGGCTAAATATAGAGAAAATGGGGCCTAAATCACCAATATCTAACCTGGTCACTCCCACTACGACTTAAAGAGCTGGTTTATCCCAAAACTTGCTCGTAGAGTATAGAGGGTTAAAATTTTAATTGCGTTTATTATCTTACTCCATTAGTCAACGAGAGTTATATATATATATATATATATATATATATATATATATATATATATATATATATATATATATATATATATATATATATCAGAGGCGTAGCCGGGTGCGGTGACACCAAGGCAAAAAATTGCAATATGTACAGAAGAAAAATGCTTTTTTTGCTAGTTCCATTAATGTTTAATTTAAGTTAAATAGTCTTTTAAGTACAAATTGACAATTATTACAAGAGGGTGGGGGGTGACACCATGGCATAAACCTGCTAACTATAGATAAAACAATGCTACATCCAACTGTATTATTAACAGACTAAACATCGTTACTATAATGTCGGCAGTGATTAAAGCTTATACATATACATGTACGCGTATGTGGCATATATTTAAATTATAGGCCTATGTAGGTCGACACATAGACACTAACACACACACACACATATATATATATATATATATATATATATATATATTTATTTATTTATTTATTTATTTATTTATACTTTGTTTCTGTCGCACCGGGTGACAACCTTAAATCAATCCGGCGTTTTTGAACTCCCGGACTATCTTTAGTCTGCAACATGTGTAGGGTTTCTTTCAGACTATAATTTCCCGGGGGGGGATCATTGCAGTAACTGTAGAACCATTGAACGAGTTGAAATATTTGATGAGCTCTCCACTGATTAATGTTGGAGTGTTTATTAACCCTTCACTCACGGACAAAACCACATGGACACCCCATCCCCTCCACCACATTTCTCTCTCCCTTGTATATGGGGAATAAAACTGATAAAAATTAAAGTATCATGAAGGCATAATTATTTCAGAATAAATTTCGTTATTAAATAATTATAGTTAAATGCTAGCTTATAGTGTGATAACCTCATATGGATCAACGATACCTGCATTTATTACCAAGGCATGTTACAGAACAAAGGCAGTAATTTTTACCTGAACAAATACCACTTGGTGGTTATAGAGTGGTTTGTTTAATTACTGTTTGTTCAACACTGCTTGTGATCACATAGCAAACAATGATAACGTGGGTGAGGTACGACGACAGAAGGTTTTTTACATCGTGAGTGAAATGGGGCGGAGGTCGAAGTTCATATGTGGTGACTATGTGGTAACTATATGGTAGTTTTAGTGGTCGTGTACATGGCTGTGTGGTTGTGTACGTAGTTGTGTAGTAGTTTCTATTTGCCATGATGTCACCAGTGCCATTAACTCGCCATTGATCACTGCCATGTTTTTTGTAATCTTGAGTTTGATTTGTTTTCTAGATTATAATGGCATGTCCACAAACCCATTGTACAACTCAAATATTTGCTGACTAGTTAACCCTCCAACCACGAACAGTGAGTAGAACATTATAGCAGCTTAACATTGTGTGTCGTCCAAGTTAATCAGTCTCACAAACTTATTAAAAAGTGTAGCGAGGTTTCAATTTAGTTTCAACATTTTACGGAACAATTAGTAACTCAATTAGAGTTGGAAAATTAAAATTTTGCTGAATTTGATAAGAATTGTTATCGGGTAATTTGTTAAAAATGAAAGTTCTCGTTACCTTGACGGTGATGATGGTTTTGTTGATTGGCCCCGCGTTCTGTTCAGACAGTGGTTCTCAAGATGTGATGGACCACTATGCTGCACTGACCCAGGATCTACTCAGCAGACGTGTGGTCGTGTACAAAATCCCGCCAGAACTAGTCAGTCACCAGACGGCGCCTTTTGTGTTGAAATACCAGCTAATTCCGATTGATGTGTTGGGCATTGACGACATAGATCAGGTGAGTGTCAGTGACTGACCAGGTGAGTGTCAGTGACAGGTTAGGTGAGTGTCAGTGACAGGTCAGGTGTGTCAGTGACAGGTCAGGTGTGTCAGTGACAGGTCAGGTGAGTGTCAGTGACAGGTTAGGTGAGTGTCAGTGACAGGTCAGGTGTGTCAGTGACTGACCAGGTGTGACACGTCAGTTGAGTGTGATTGACAGATCAGGAGAGTTTTTCCATAGCTTGGACACTTCCTCGAGATCGGTTAAAGTTTAGGTTTAACTTTGAGCATGCAAACCGAGCTGTTCTGACCACAATCTGTTCGTGAGGATAACCTTTCTTTTTGGTTGTTCTTTCAACTTTTAGATTCTTTTAGGGGGGGGGGGTACATTACCAAAAATGTAGTTTAAATTTATTTAAAAAAATTAAGTTTGTATCTTTTATCCCAGGTGATGACCTTAATTATCCACCTGGAGGTGGTATGGTTCCAGCCCAATATCACCTGGGATCCCGCTGACCACGGCAACATCACCCAAATCCTCCTGGACTCAAATCTCCTGTGGAAGCCGGACATCATTCTCGTGGTCGGCCACAAGGACTCCATCTCTCTCCCCTCTCCCGACACACTCATGGTCCAGTTCGATGGGACTGTGACCTACCGCATTGATGAGTACATCAGCTTTCGTTGTAAAATTAACTTCGATAAATTCCCTTTCGACTCTCAAGTATGCTGGTTTGGTCTGTACTACAACCCCATGCTAAATTCTACCATCGTAGAGATACAAGTAGACGATATGTTTAGAGAGTATTCAAAAAACTTTCAAACCCAGCCTTACATAATTGCCAGCGAGTGGTCGCTGGACGGGTATCATTATGACATTCGTTCTGACTTGAATAACTTGCAGTACCCGCGGTACCAGGTAAAGGTGACACGTCGCTACACCTTCTACCTGATCACCGTCATCTCCCCCATGATTCTGACGTCAGCGATGATCCTCTTCGTGTTTCTCGTCCCCCCTGAGACTGGGGAAAAGTTTTCCTACCTGGTGTCGTTGTTTACGTCTCAGGCGATCTTCCTGAACTTCATTTGGTGAGGTTTGGAACTGTTAGGATTTTTTTTTCTAATTCACGTGTTCTGTTTGTTACTTTGATTTTGAAGTTCTTACTAGTCTCGTTAATTTATCAATTTCAAACTCCTGTTTCAGATTTCTCACGTTCCGAAATGCATTGTATAATTGGTCTTTCGTCTAAAAATAGACAAAGTTTTGTCTTTTGCACACAAACTTTTAAATTTTGCTTTTTAGTCGAAAGCTTCAGTTTTACTTAAGTAACTTACATTTTTGCATTTGTATAATTCGCCTTACTTATTTTACTCTCAGCTTCACGTTTTTTTTTATATTCTGTCTTGCCTTAATTTTTATCCTTTCGACCATACGGTTGTCAACTTTTGTAAGCTTCACTATGACGTAATTCCAGTGACGTCATGCCTAGAGGACTGTCCAGCATCCCGTACCTGGCCATTCTACTGATGGAGGTCATCCTGGAAGGGATTCTGGCCATCGCCGCCACGGCCTGGGTCATGAAGAAATACGCCGAGGAGAAAAAGGTCAGCAGCTTCAGCATTTTGGTCAGAACTTTTTTTTTATAAACTACTGTCTTCTTCTATTTCGTTCTTAATTTTTAGTGTTGGAAGGGATCGAGCCTTATCTACCAGAGGGTTTGAACTCGAGACTTTTTTCGAATTTATCAACCATGAGCTATTGCCGACTCGACCACGCCTCCATCACAATTAAGAATACGTGTCAACTGGTTATGCGCCATCGAGGCCATTGACTCTGATTTCAGCCTGCTTTTCTTTTTGGATTTGCTTCCATAGCCTTTGTCCAACCAAGTACAAACTACAAGGCAGCAGTTGTTTGATTTTGGAGTTTTCTCTCCTAGAAGAGTGGCTGTCCCCAGCTAACGAGCCTCATCTGCCCAAGGGTTTGAACCCGAGGCTTTCGGTTTAGCAACCATGAGCTTTAATGACTCGACCACGCCGACCCCTTAAACTACAGTGAAACCTCGGATTTCATCGCAAGTTTTAACATGACCTGACATATCTCCGAGATGTATCGTCTTTTTTAATGTGTCTGTCTTCTATGCTACACTATACCTTTCATCCGGTCTATTTGAACTTTTGAGTAATTGATGAGTATATAACTGGGAAGTTTCTGCGAAGAAAAAATGTCACGTTAGGGTACGTAACGGCTGCTGGATATAGTGCTGACCACACTATCCCTCATATGCCGAGGTTAGAGAAACAGGTGAACTCTACTTCATTTGCGTTGTAGATCGCCAGGTCTAATATACATTATTGAAATAACCGTCCATTTAGGTTTTAATCAGACGGATGTCCTGGGAGAAATAGATAATCTATGGGAAAAGGCGAATCTAGGGTGGTGGAAGGGGGGGGTCTTACATTAAAAAAACACCTATCACTTAGACCAGGGTTCTCCAAACTACGGCCCGTGGGCCGGATGCGGCCCGCGAAGTCCTCTCATCCGGCCCGCGGAGATCTTTTTATCCAAGGAGAAATCGTGTGTTGGTGAATGCTGAGGAACTTTGCCCAGAAAAATCAAAGACATACCTGGAAGAAACTGGCCCCCGAACTGAAATTTGATAGGTAATGCGGCCCTCGGACTGAAAAGTTTGGAGACCCCTGACTTAGACCAAGCAGGCTGAAAACTTTTGCTCGGATTTTGAAAGTTCAAAAATGTGTAGCCTACATTTTACTGAAAGAGGAAAAATTAAGGAAATGTGTTACGTACTTTGGATGACCTACTTTTCCAGGGTGCCTGTACCAAGAACAACAAAGTGGCTCCAGCAGACGACCAGCCTGCCTCACGTTTGCCGGACAAGACTGAGGATGTGACGTCACCAGAGGTCAAAGATACGAACCCCATCAGCGCGACCTCGACCTTCCTGACATCCCGGAAACTGGACACAATTTTCTTTTTCACTTTCACTTTCGCTCAAGTTCTATTTTTAGTTGTTTTATTCCAAGCCACTGAATGGTTTGCTTAGTTGCCCTAATTAAGCCATATGAGCCACACTGAAGCTGATCAGTTCATTAGAAAACTAAAGACCAAACTTTCTTACAACACCCGCCTCCTGCACACTCAAGGCTATCCCATACTTATATATAACATATTAACATTATATCTAGTCGCACATTGGTATTGCTATTTCTTCATTTTTATTGTTGTGGGTATTGTGACATTTCTGTTACATTTTAAAATTAATACTTGTTATTGTTATTTTTCAAATATTACTGTTGCATTATTACTGCTGTTGATTTTTTACGTAATATAACAATATTACAGTACTGTGATATATCGATATACGAATTTTACCTTTCCGTAACCTTGCACGTACGATTTGTTCATACCTCAGAGCAATCCTTGCACATTGAAATTTAATGAAATAATACAATTTTAATGCTTAACTCACTCTTAAACTTAAAACGCTACTCTACACTCTTGTGTTACTTGCTCTTAATGACTGTTCTTCACTGCGTTCCTCTTCACTGGTCGTTGCCATTTTCATAAGGTTTTCCTTTCTTTCAGCGGTAGGTCGTTTACAAACCTGTATAAGTTGGTTTGTTTTTTCCTCCCTTTCATAATGTTGCGGAAATAAGGCAAGTGTCATTAAATATCTCCAGTGAGAGTATATTGTGTAGGTAATTTCTCTCTCTTGGATCCATTAGGTTGCCTAGAGATCTGGCATTATCTGGCTATTTTTAGCTTGCTACCCAAGTTTAGATTTACAAGGCTCAATCATCCAATTAGTTGGATCATATTATTCATACTTCCTCAACATTCTATTAATTGGTAAACTAACTAGTAATAATTTAACAATGTATGTAATTTGACGTAAAGAAGTGTTGTGTTGAGTAGGGAGTGGTCGGGAGTTTGTGTGTGAAGAAGGGGTGGAATTGGTTTAGACATGGATATGGTGAGGGAGTGGTTTAAGTGACAGCTAATAGAATCATTGGCTAAGTTTTTCTATCTGTGAGTAACTCGACATCCATCAGCTATTAAGGTAGATCAAAGGGTTTTTCAATGTACATTAAATTAAGAGCATTAATTTTGGAAAAAATATAAATAAATTGTGTCATTTCATGTTGTTTACTAAAACAGTTTTATCCTTAGGAGCTGATCTGGACTACTGAAATATATCTTAAAACACGTAAGTCTTTGTGCCCGTTGTCTTACGGGCTAGTCAGCTAGTACTCAATAAAACGCAAACAGTTTTACATTGTTGTTTTCTTTTATTTGAAAGTTTAAAATACAAGTAGTATGTTATTTATTGTGTCCCTAGTTTAAGAAAAAAAAACGTATGCTTTGTTTAACCTTTTGTCTTCAAATTGATGCATTGACTTCGATTTCCTGAATCATGTTGTTTTTTTTTATTATTATTTATTTTATTTATTTAACTCCCAGTACATTTTTATCATCTTTCATTCTTTCCTTTTGTGTTATTTAAATCTGTGGTATAGGACAACCAATAAATCATTCAACTTGTTTTGGCGTAATACAGGCGTTCGTCCAGTTTCTTGTGTCATTTCAGATACCATTGAAATGTCAAAATAAAGTGTCATTTGTATTGCAGCTAGATGAAGTGTCATATTAAAATACACTGAAGAAAAATTATAATTTTAGATACAAAATTAAATTTTGATGTAACAGACGCCAATAGTATAAATTGTGATTTGAGAAGCTACTAGTATAAAATGTCATTTGACATTGTCTAGTGCAAAGGTGTCATTTTTAGATGCCACCACCTTACAAGAGATGCTACAAGGAAGGCTTGTCATTCAAGATACAACAGAAACGTTTCAATTTGATGTAGCCCAAATAAAACGATTTAGTTTCTGATCCAACCAGTGAAGCCAAACAGCCCTACCAGAAAGGTGACCTGGCCAGTGGCGAATAGAAAGAAGAACACGTGGTCCAGTTGTCGTGACGTCATACAGCAGAAACCAACCTTGGCCTGGCACCAGTGGAAACCATCAGCCTGCCCTCCCCTCACCTCTGGTTGTCCCTTCCCCTCACATGACGTCATCTTCTCAGATGTGGAGATTAGAGCGACATGCTTCACGTCATTTTTGCTCTGCTAAAAAATATATGCAGAGTATTAAATATAAGCTGAGTATAAAATATAAGCAGAGTATAATATATAAACCTAATATAAAATATTAAACCAAAATATTAAAATATATACCTAATATAAATATAAACCTAATATAAGATATATACCTAATATAAAAATATAAACCGATTATAAAAACGTACAAGAAAATATAAAGCAAATATAAAAATATATAAATAAATATATAAAAATATGTCATAAAATGTAAATCAAATTAAAACATGTAAACTTGAGTTGAACAAAATATAGCATAAGCGCTGAATAATTATAATTAATAATTGCTTTTTTAAAATTAAAGTTACATTTTGAAAAACACTGTAGGCTATACTTCAAACCACAAGAAAGTTATCAGTTGGTCACTTAAAATTTTGGGAATAATTCATTGTGTGATGTAGTCTATGCTTTTTGTCTTCTACTATAGTGAAAGAGAATGTATTTTCTTAATTTGGTACATTTAAAAGCTTGTAAAAGAAAACTTCGTATGCTTGTTTTATGAGACAATCCATTTGGTTTAGAGTTTGGAATTACTTTATTTTTACGTTAAAATATTTTTTTTTTTGTTAATTTTACTTTTCTGAAGTTATAACATTTTCAACTAACTTTCTCTGCAATTAAATATTTCAAATTAAACAACGAAATTTTTAACTGCCTTTCTCTGCAATTAAATATTTCAAATTAAAAAACGAAATTTTTAACTGCCTTTCTCTGCAATTCAATATTTCAAATTAAACTACGACATTTTCAACTGACTTTCTCTGAAGTTGCATTGACTTTCTCCTCAGACTCGGCTAAATTGATGACGAGCAGAGTTGCCAGAATGGCACACAGCCCCTCACACAAAACCTCAACCAGTAGAATGGCCAGGTATGGCATGCTGGATAGACCACGTGGCATGACGTCACTGAAACAAATAGAAATACGAATGTATGGAATTTTTGCATTAAGAGACAAGTTGTCGTAAAAACTGAAACGGAGATGTCGAGAATGTAACACCCTGAGAATGTAATGTACGAAGTAACACCCTGAGAATGTAATGTACGAAGTAACACCCTGAGAATGTAATGTACGAAGTAACACCCTGAGAATATAATGTACGAAGTAACACGACATTTTTTAACTCACCCTCTTCCTCTGCCTAAATCCGTGACCTCAATATCGCGCAAACCGTTAGGTAACATAATCACATCGTATGAAATGTATATATTTTATTAACGCTCCTAGTTTTTAAATGAAAAGTTTTTTTTTAATTGAATAAATTTGATTCAACCGAATCTACTTGAAGTGTCAGTGTATGAGACGATTTTGACAGTAATGCTTTTACATTAAGTCATCATTAAGCGAAGAGGAATATTTGTAAATCATGTTGTACTGAGTTAACAACACTAACTGATAAAGGTGTTCGGAGCAGGCTCTACATAGCTATATATTTATTTAATTTATTTTATATAGTTTAATTTGATAATGTTAACAGATGCATCTATGAATTGCCGCAATAAATACGCCCATCAAGTGATGTTAATAAATGCACATACAAACCGGTGTTAACGCTTTTTTAATCGTCACTTCCATAGCGAACTGTAATTAAAGAACCATTATAATAGAAAATGTGTAATATAACTTTAACTCGATGTTTACCTTTTATTTTTTACCTTTCCGTGTTTACATTTTATTGTTTACCTCTCATCCCAGTTCAAAAACTCATCTCACCTGATCAAGTTGAGAAAAATGGCCGCCGATGTGAAGACGGCCACAAGGTAGGAGAACTTCTCCCCCACCCTGACGGGGATGAGAAACACGAGCGGGATGATGGCAGACGTCAGCACCATCGGGAAGACGAGCGTCACGACGTAATACGTACTCTGGCGGCGCACGGTGAAAGAAAAAAACGGAAACGGGTCGAGATTTTCGTTGGACTTGGTCGTCTGGTTGTGGTCGATCAGCGTCCATTCGCCTTTGATTTCATAGACTCCGCTTAGACTCAGGTTGAGGTACTGGACATTCAAGGTAGGGAACGGGAAAGTCATAGGATAAAGCCCAAACCCGCAAGTCTGAGAGTCGAATGGATATGTCATAAAGTTGATGTCGCACCGGAAACTGAGGTACTGGTGTGTCGTCATCTCCACATATCCTTTCGCGAGAACTAGTACGTCGTCTGGGACTTTCAGCTTCAGGGAGTCAGTACTTCCGGTCACCACCACGATGTTGGGTGTCCACAAGAGGCTGGAACCCACATGAAAAACCTGAATGTTACCGTAGGCTGGTGGGTCCCATGAGAGTTCGGGAAGTTGCCAGGACATTTCTATGTAGACGACGATGGTCATGAGCTGGGTAAACAGAACGGAAGCACGTGTTACTAACTTGTCTTGGAGTAAATCTTAAACTCGGCAGACGGCCATTTACTCTTAGTCCAAAAATATTTTAAAAATCGGAATTACAAATATGTAAGATATTAATTTTCAATTTATTCAATTTATTCAATAACGGTAACAATAGTAGGCACGGAGATAAAACGCTAAAACTTTTCTTATCTTGTCCTGATGAATTTATTTCAAAAGGTTCGAGTAAAACAAAAATAACTTTTTAATAAAAATGTTAAACCTCAAAAAAATATTTTCTAAAGGCATTGTAAGGATTACAAAACCATTCACTGGGTTTAGAGAAACTTCTTCAATAACTACAATTAACGGCATTAATTTTACAGCTTTTTTCTAATCGCATTTTAAATGTTTAAATTTAATTTTTTTTTACTTGAGTTATACCATTTTGTATATGTTTAAGTTTTCTCTAAATAAATAATGACGACAAATGTAAAAGAATCGCAATTTACCAAGTATATTCCTGGAAATGTAAAAATCGTAAACCCACAAACATGGTTATTTATATGTTAGGATCGCAATTTACCTACCTTAAAAACAGATTTACCTAACGAAATGTATATGTTTTTACCAAGTTTACGATCACAATTTACTGTTTACAACGTTCATATTTTAATAGGGGTCGCAATTCTATATAAATACTGGATAGCAGTTTATCTATGTTAAAAGGGAACGCACTTATGTCAATAAGTGATCGCATTTTACCTATGTTCAAAGGTATCGCAGTTATGTCAATAAGTGATCGCAGTTTACCTATGTTAAAAGGTATCGCAGTTAATGTTATGTCAATAAGTGATCACAGTTTACCTATGTTAAAAGGTATCGCAGTTATGTCAATAAGTTATCACAGTTTACCTATGTTAAAAGGTATCGCAGTTATGTCAATAAGTGATCGCAGTTTACCTATGTTAAAAGGTATCGCAGTTATGTCAATAAGTGATCGCAGTTTACCTATGTTAAAAGGTATCTTAGTTTAGATATGTCAATAAGTGATCGCAGTTTACCTATGTTAAAAGGTATCGCAGTTATGTCAATAAGTGATCGCAGTTTACCTATGTTAAAAGGTATCGCAGTTATGTCAATAAGTGATCGCAGTTTACCTATGTTAAAAGGTATCTTAGTTTAGATATGTCAATAAGTGATCGCAGTTTACCTATGTTACAAGGTATCTTAGTTTAGATATGTCAATAAGTGATCGCAGTTTACCTATGTTACAAGGTATCTTAGTTTAGATATGTCAATAAGTGATCGCAGTTTACCTATGTTAAAAGGTATCTTTGTTTAGATATGTCAATAAGTGATCGCAGTTTACCTATGTTACAAGGTATCTTAGTTTAGATGTGTCAATAAGTGATCGCAGTTTACCTATGTTAAAAGGTATCTTAGTTTAGATATGTCAATAAGTGATCGCAGTTTACCTATGTTACAAGGTATCTTAGTTTAGATATGTCAATAAGTGATCGCAGTTTACCTATGTTAAAAGGTATCTTAGTTTAGATATGTCAATAAGTGATCGCAGTTTACCTATGTTACAAGGTATCTTAGTTTAGATATGTCAATAAGTGATCGCAGTTTACCTATGTTAAAAGGTATCTTAGTTTAGATATGTCAATAAGTGATCGCAGTTTACCTATGTTACAAGGTATCTTAGTTTAGATATGTCAATAAGTGATCGCAGTTTACCTATGTTACAAGGTATCTTAGTTTAGATATGTCAATAAGTGATCGCAGTTTACCTATGTTACAAGGTATCTTAGTTTAGATATGTCAATAAGTGATCGCAGTTTACCTATGTTAAAAGGTATCTTAGTTTAGATATGTCAATAAGTGATCGCAGTTTACCTATGTTACAAGGTATCTTAGTTTAGATATGTCAATAAGTGATCGCAGTTTACCTATGTTAAAAGGTATCTTAGTTTAGATATGTCAATAAGTGATCGCAGTTTACCTATGTTAAAAGGTATCTTAGTTTAGATATGTCAATAAGTGATCGAAGTTTACCTATGTTAAAAGGTATCTTAGTTTAGATATGTCAATAAGTGCTCGCAGTTTACCTATAAAGGTATCGCAGTTTGCCTATGATAATCAAGGATCGCAGTTATGTCAATAATTGATCGCAGTTTAGATATGTTAATAAGTGAGCGAGTTTGCCTATGATAATCAAGGATCGCAGTTTAGATATGTTAATAAGTGAGCGAGTTTGCCTATGATAATCAAGGATCGCAGTTTACCTACGTAAAAAAGGTATCGCAGTTTACCTGGTTGATCTGATCAATGTCTAGGACGTCTATGACCAACAGTCTGAGACTAATACTCGCGCCGTCGTCGTCCCCGCTCCCCTCCCCGGGGGGTATCTTGTGTGTGACGGAGTCCTTTTGTAACACGTGACGACACAGCTTGGCGTACGTTTCCACGTATGACGTCACGTTGTCACTGATGACGAGGGTTGTGACGCAGGCGAGCAAGAGCATGATGTCATAATCCAGCAGTTTCATCTTGTCCAACGGTGCAGCAGTCTGTCAGAGGTGATGTCAGCCAGCCGTCAAGTTTATCCCTCCCGTCTGTCACTGGTGATGTCTGACGCAGCTGTTTATATCTGACCACAGACCAAATGGATGATGTATCCTGGCAGCTAAGCTCTGACCACAGCCCGACACTTATGCTGTCAGATGATGCCTGTATCCACTACCTCAATGCAACCACGTCAACACACGGTGTCAACCCATTAACTCTAAAATCCCCACACGGTGTTAAATAATTAACTTTAAAAATCCCCGCCCAATGTCAACTAATTAACTCTAAAATGTCCAGCTTCCACAAAGCTTAATAATTGGCGTCCGACTGTTTATTTGATTCCAACCATTAAAAAAACACGCGATTTCTGTATTATCTCAATTTATAAATGACCAAATTCTACGCCTCGGTCAACAAAACAATTTTAATAACGTTGCCTTATCAATTTGAGCTTGACACTAGCACTAATTAAATAAAATAAATTTCCAATTAATTAAGTTTCAACTAAGTCCATCATTTTTTTAATGATCTATTGACCTCAGTCCATCCTTTATCGACCCATTATTGACCTCAGTCAATCATTTATTGACCGATCTATTGACCTCAGTCTATCAATTATTGACCCATCTATATCGGTAGATAAGTCTCATTAAGTCCCGTATATTTTCTGGCATTGATAGGAAACCAAACCATCCTTGAGTACGTCTAACTTTCCGGTTGTTACTTTACTCTGATTAGTTTTGGTAAAATTAAATCAAAGCATGAATTACTTTGCTATTATCAGTTCTGATTATCATTGTACTTAACATTTAGGGCACACATTTTAGATTTTACTTTTAAGTGTACTTTTTTTTGGGGGGGGGGGGGGGGGGTGAAGATCAACGGAGAAAGGTGTGAAGAAAAGAGGCCTAACATTCTAACAGGCAGAGGTTGTAGCTAGAGACAGGACAAAATGGCGCTCACTTATTGATGCCTCGTGCGCCAATGACGTTGAGCGATGATGATATTTTAAAAAAAAAACATTTCTAGTTGTGTTGAGTATTGTAAATACCAAAACATATTTGGAAATCATTTTGTGTGGATAAACGACAGACATTTTGACTAAGTTGTCGTAGAAAAACCGACAAACAGATACATATTGTAGAGCAGACAGTAAGACAGCAGACGTCACATACCTTATCATAGAGAGGACAACAGCAGACGTCACCTACCTTATCATAGAGAGGACAACAGCAGACGTCACCTACCTTATCGTAGAGAGGACAACAGCAGACGTCACTTACCTTATCATAGAGAGGACAACAGCAGCCGTCACCTACCTTATCATAGAGAGGAAGATGGCACACGACGTAAAGATGGCGACGATGTAGGCCACTTTCTCTCCTGAGCGCGCTGGGATAAGAAACACGAGCGGCACGAGCAGTGACGTCAGAACCATCGGCAGGATGATGGTGATGACGTAATAGATGTACTGACGTCGCACCGTGATGTCAAAACGAGGAAACTCGTCGATCTGAGGGTTGACCACCGTAGAGAGGCTGTGATTGACCAGCGCCCACTCGCCGTGCATGTCGTACACCCCCTTCACGCTAAAGTTGTTGGGCTCCATTGTGATGTTCGGGGCCTCAAAATCCATCTTAAACACACCGAACCCACACTTCTGGGTGTCGAAAGGGTATTTCAAAAACTCGATGTTACAACGAAACGAAATATGCTGATGGTTTTGCATGCAGATTTTTCCATCAGACCAGATTTTGACCTTGCCTGGTATCTCTATCCGCAATGACGTCTGATCGCCAATGGCAACAACGAGGTTTGGCGTCCATAGACTGTCCTTGTCTAGATAGACCTCTTTTACGTCGTGATAGTCTGAGGCATTCCAGGAGAGCTCTTCAATGTGCCAGCAAAAATCGAGATAGATTACTACAGCCATCATCTAGAGAACAATAGATGTTATTATTATAGCTAGTCAACTGATTAAATCAATCATCAGATTTTATATTTGAGTTCATCACAATCATCCACCCCCTTCCCCCCCCCCCCCCACCCCCCCCCCCCCCCCCCCCACCCAAATCCTAAGATAATATCCTAAACACCTTTTTTTTAAAAACAGTTTTTATATTTCTAGTTTAAATTTCTATAAAACTTTTAAATTAAAACAAGTATAGAAAACTTACTAATAACAAGAGTTCTAATGATTTTCAAGTAAGAAAAAAATGTTTTCCCGAGTTAACAGTTTAATATTTTAGAAATCAAAAGAGAGAAAATGTGTTTTGATTTTCTCATTTTCATTGCATTCGGACATTTTTAAATGTTTTTTTTTTAAATTGTTATGTTCATCTTTTATCGAACTAAGTATAAAAACAAATCCCAACAGTCCAACATTATTCCACACATTTGTTGCATACAACTCGCACAAAGACACCTCACATCCACACGCACATTCTAGTGACACACACCTCACACGACCCACACAATTCACACACACACAATAGCTGCATAAATCCTTCCCCACCCTCTCCCCTCCCCACACACTCAAATAAAACCCGCATAAATCCTTCCTAATCCCCTTCCCCCCCCCCCCCCCCCCCCCACACCCACACAATGCCCCACTCAGCCTACCTGGTTTATCTCGTCTATGTCCAAGACGTCTATAATCAAAATGCTGCAACTCATATCCTTGGTACTATTCCCATATAACTTTGCGCCGGGGACTATTTTATGCACTGCCACATCCCTCTGCATCAGCTCTGATCGGATTCGAACGTAGCCCTTCTGGTACGACCTTGAGTCAGCTACAGCCCGATGCTGACACAGCATCAGTACAGCTACCACGCAGACGATGTGTCGCATGGTTTGCACGTTGTTGTGAACTAGCTTAACAGGTTGGAAGTAGACTTCTTAGCGTTACAATAACATACTTTAATATTGTTATTTATGAACTAGCTAAAACACCCGTCGCTTACCAGGTCTTAAAAAAATGTTGAAATTTCGTATAGTTTTACACGGCACAAATCACATCGGCATCATACAGTTGCCCAGCGGCTTAAGCGCTAACTAATTGTTTCCACGGTGACTATTTACATATATCACATCGAATCCTAGAAAAGCATAGAGAAAATGGCACAGCTATACTGTGGTTCTACATTTCATGCCATTTAGAAAATGTACACATCATTTTCAGGTAACAGCCGTTAAATAGACGATTCTACATTTTAGCGCATTTGACTATCTTGTGTACACACAATTTGATGACGTCAAAAATGTTTTTTATCGCCCAGTTCAAATTAGCAACTCTGTCCTTATTTAATGTTACATTAAGGCGGGTTTTTCTGTCAATGCTGCAAAATAAAATAGTTCTACTAAAATTCTTATTTTTTCACTTCCCCAAAATTTCCGATAACAATGAAATAATATAAGACTTCCTATCTTTAAAAAAATAATTGTTTCATATGTTCTTATAAAACCTTTAATGTTTTTTAAAAAAAGTGACAAAAAGGTAACTTTTTTTAGAAATAATAAAAGTTGTACGACTTTATATATTACAATAAAGAAAAACCCGAGTCTTAAAAAATTATGCTTGTTGTCCTTTGTCCAGTAGAATTTAACCTCTGTCGGGTTTATTTTCTTAAATGTTAAGTGAGTTTGCCGGAAATTTAAAAAAAAAAATTAAAGTAAAATTTCACATTTCTTACAATTGACATGTTCATGAAAGCAACATTTTACTGTCGTTTAGTAAAAAAAAGAAGAAAGAATAGCCTAAAAGTGCAAAAACAATATTTACCAAATCAGAAGAACTGCTCAGACCATCAACTTCAACCATGAGTTCCAATAAATGAGACAGACTTAGGTTGTACATGTACACCCCAAATAGTAAGCGCCCAAATATTGTAAAGCCTTGGTAAATAGTCTGAGCCACTTAAATTTATTGAGAAACAAAAAAGTGGGTGAAAATGATGATCTTGCAACACTTCAAACACGCTAATTTCCACAAGGTTATATATAATCTTTTCTGAAAGATCTCACAGATATTATTAAAGCTTCTCAAAATGTGTATTGTAAATAAGTGACTTGTTATATTTCTCTAACAGATTTCATAATATGGCAAACAGTTTTAAAACCACCAACATCTAAATCCCATATTTGTGTTCGATGATAATGTATGTCGATTATTTCCCTTTAATATCTGGCCGTGTAATGGAGTTATCTCCCTGCCATGACATTTAAACAACACTCCGCTGTGGTTTATTAACTCACCGCGCGCTTCGTTTGTTTACAAGTTAAATGGGTTTCCCCAAACACAAGGTTGTACACTCATTAGTGGTGCAGTAATTAAGTTTTCTAAATAGGGAATTCACAGCTCGGAGAGTTATTAAAATATTGACTTATGAGGTGGGCTTAGTAACATGAATGTTATGAGGTGGGCTTGGCGACATGGATATTATTATGTAGTTTTCTTCTTCTTCGTTCTTTATTTTTAATTGTATTTCCTCCAACACAGTAAAGTTTTACGTGTCGACTTGTTATGCGCAACATTGACTACAAGGTAACAATGGTTTGATTTTGGAGTTGTCTCTCCTAGAATAACTGTCCCCAGCTATCGAGCCTCATCTGCCCAGGGGTTTGAACTCGAGATTTCTCGGTTTAGCAACAATGAGTTTTTACCGACTCGACCACTCTGACATGAATACCGAATAATGACTTTATTAACTAACTCACTACTCAAAGCTAATTGCCTTTAAAAATGAAAAACAGCCTGTTGTAAAATAGTACAAATTCAACATTTATTTCAACTATGCTCTGACTTTATTTTTACCTGCTAAAAATGCAATTAAGAAGAGGAAAAATAGACTTTTAAAACAAGGTAGGCTACTTTGTCGACTAGATTTTTGTCAGGTAAAGCAGATCGATAAATCGATGACAAACATTTACACCGTTAGTTTTATCGGGTACATTTGTATAACTGTTAATCGACATTACTGTCGTGACAGTGACATTATCGACCGATCACGTGACGAAACTGACGCGACAGTTGTGCCACATGGATGGAATGTTCCTGGCGTGGCTCTAGGCAGGTCAGCATGCACGGGAGGGGAGGGTACATGACTGTAAAGCTTTCTGGAATCTGGTTCAGTGTTGGTGGTTTTATGACTTATGACTTCATAACTTGCGGTTTCAGTGTTGGTGGTTTTATGACTTATGGCTTCAAAACTTGCTGATTCAGTGTTGGTGGTTTTATGACTTATGGCTTTAAAACTTGCTGATTCAGTGTTGGTGGTTTTATGACTTATGGCTTTAAAACTTGCTGATTCAGTGTTGGTGGTTTTATGACTTATGGCTTTAAAACTTGCTGGTTCAGTGTTGGTGGTTTTATGACTTATGACTTCATAACTTGTGGGTTCAGTGTTGGTGGTTTTATGACTTATGACTTTAAAACTTGCTGATTCAGTGTTGGTGGTTTTATGACTTATGACTTCACAACTTGCGGGTTCAGTGGTCGTGGTTTTATGACTTATGACTTCATAACTTGTGGGTTCAGTGTTGGTGGTTTTATGACTTATGACTTTAAAACTTGCTGATTCAGTGTTGGTGGTTTTATGACTTATGACTTCACAACTTGCCGGTTCAGTGTAGGTGGTTTTATTACTTATGACTTAACAACATTCTAGAATCTCATTCAATGTGTTGACGTGTGTAGACAATTAGAAACGATAACAATACGAGTTATATTTGTAAGATAACTTCTTCTTCCTTGTTCTTAATTTTAGTGTTGGAAGGGATCCCCCTCCAACACAATTAAGGATACGTGTCCACTGGTTATGCGCCATTGAGGCCATGGACGCAGATTTCAGCCTGCTTTTCTTTCTGGATTTGCTTCCATAGCCTTTGTCTAACCAAGAACAAACTACAAGGCAGCAGTTGTTTGATTTTGTAAAAAAACAAACTAGCTTTGTTGTGTAAAAACATGATATCATAATACTTATCAATTGATCAGATCCTGCTTGGTGTAAAACACAGCTCACGATGCTACCAGTGCTAATTCTAACAGCTGTACTGACCGCTGTCTCAAGCCATACTTTGACCAGCAAACAACTGGCCTACGAAAGATTGAGGTCAGATCTGCTGAACAGGTCCGCCATCTTAAATCAAATACCGTCCGGCCTGGACAGTGCAGCAGACGACCCCTACACCCTAGAGGTCATGGTCCTGCTCCTGGACACGCCCTACATTGACGACATCAGGCAGGTGAGAACTTGAACATTTTTACTCCATATTTTCTACAACAACAACACCTTATACGCGCCAGATTTGTTACGTAAGTTTTGTTGTTGAACTATTTGGTGCGTGCGCAAAAAGATGAAATAAAAATTTTAAAAGTGGGAGTGATCTCCCCTAAACTTTCTCGTATATTGTTATATGACCGTAAGGGGGTTGGCACTTCCAGGACTGAAAAATATTGTTTTTTAATAATTTTTTTTAATACTGACATTTTTGAAAAAGAATAGAATCGCGTAGGAAAAAGAATCCCGCATCAAATGAATGTAAACAGTGCGAGTATGATAGAGCGGAAAATAGGAACTTTCTAACAAAAATATTGATTTTCTTCTTTTTTGAGAAATCGGAGATAGCGTGAAATACAACTTCCGGTCAATGGAAATCACTCACAGTGAACAAGATCTTATTCCTATTTATGGAATTTCGTCTAATTAACTGAAACAGTATTCAAATTATTTGATATTTCAGTATTTTCAGAAACCCGAAAAATAGAGTAACGTACAACTTCCGGATATCGGAAGTCACTCAAAAATTAAAAGTGATCGAAATATAAGATCTTTTACTTATGTTATGAAATTTCCTTAACGCAACCGTTCTCGGTGTTCGTGTCTCCACAAAAATAGCGTGAAGTACTACTTCCGACTATCGAAAATCGTTCAAAAGTTGATAGAAACCCTCGCATACAAGTTAATGCTTGTATGGGAATTTACCTAACTTTAATGTTACTTAAGTTATTAGCTTTAAAGAGACCGGAAATACGACTTCCGTTATCGGAAGTACGATTTCAGGTTACCGGAATTTGCGAACAAGTGTATAAAAGACTAAACATTTAATATAATATTTTATAATGCCTCCCCCCTCTCTCTCTATCCCTCTCTCTCTCTCTCTTTCTCTCTTTCTCTTCAGATGATGACCGCAGCTTTCTTCATCGAACTATCCTGGAACGAACCCTCCCTGACCTGGTCACCTCCAGACTACGAAAATCTTGACCAAGTCTACCTGGACACCGCCTCTGTCTGGCACCCCAACATCTACACCGTGTTCGGCGACCCGGACAGTCTGAACCTTCAGCTGAAGGACAAGCTGGTCATCCATTCCACCGGCAAGGTCAAGGCCACACATCAGCAGTACCTGACCTTCAGGTGCGCGATCGATTTCCTCAACTACCCCTTCGATACTCAGACCTGTTCTCTAGCCTTCTACCCAGACTCGACTGAGCCGAAGCCTCGGTTTAAGATCGTCGAGCTGGATAATAACTACAACTTATTTAAAACAACAGGGGAGTGGTCGTTTGTGGACAGGTACAGCGCCGTAGAGAACATCACCCACCCCACCCCGCTCAGCGAGTTCCCGCGGTACTACTTTAAGCTGAAGCGACGGTACTTCTACTACGTCATGACCATCATCTTCCCCCTGGTACTGACCTCCCTCATGATACCCCTGGTCTTTCTCATCCCGACCCAGACGAGGGAGAAAATTTCATACCTGGTGGCTATTTTTACGTCGACGGCCATATTTCTCAACTTCATCAGGTGAGATTTAATCCAGGTTATTTTTTTTACATCGACGGCCATCTTTCTCAACTTCATCAGGTGAGATTTAATCCAGGTTATTTTTTTTTTACATCGACGGCCATCTTTCTCAACTTCATCAGGTGAGATTTAATTAAGGTTATTTTTTTTTTTTTACATCGACGGCCATCTTTCTCAACTTCATCAGGTGAGATTTAATTAAGGTTAATTTTTTTACATCGACGGCCATCTTTCTCAACTTCATCAGGTGAGATTTAATTCAGGTTAATTTTTTTTACATCGACGGCCATCTTTCTCAACTTCATCAGGTGAGATTTAATTAAGGTTAATTTTTTTACATCGACGGCCATCTTTCTCAACTTCATCAGGTGAGATTTAATTCAGGTTAATTTTTTTTACATCGACGGCCATCTTTCTCAACTTCATCAGGTGAGATTTAATTAAGGTTATTTTTTTTTTTTTACATCGACGGCCATCTTTCTCAACTTCATCAGGTGAGATTTAATTAAGGTTAATTTTTTTACATCGACGGCCATCTTTCTCAACTTCATCAGGTGAGATTTAATTCAGGTTAATTTTTTTTACATCGACGGCCATCTTTCTCAACTTCATCAGGTGAGATTTAATCCAGGTTATTTTTTTTTTACATCGACGGCCATCTTTCTCAACTTCATCAGGTGAGATTTAATTAAGGTTATTTTTTTTTACATCGACGGCCATCTTTCTCAACTTCATCAGGTGAGATTTAATTAAGGTTATTTTTTTTTTACATCGACGGCCATCTTTCTTAACTTCATCAGGTGAGATTTAATTAAGGTTAATTTTTTTTACATCGACTGCCATCTTTCTCAACTTCATCATTAGGATAATTTTAATTAAGGCTAACTTTTCGTAACTCGCAAGCATTGTTAGTAGGCCTATACAGCTAAAACTAAATGATGGGCTATGGCTAACACCAATGTGTTAATGATCGTTAGACGTGGCATAGCTAGGTGTGATGGCGACCACTTTTGGTACAATGTACGGTTAATTTTGAGCTGTATTACTGAAATACACACAGTCTAGATTCTGAAAATAGTCGGCTATAGTCTTGCATAACTGCTAAAATTTACTTTGCTGAAAAAGCTGTCGAAACAAAATATACATGTATTTTTTGTTTTATTTTTTAAAATGCACAAAAACATTTCAATAATAAGCTTTTAAGTAATAATGCACGAAAAAGGAGAAAACAAACGATTTTCTTTAAATATTTAAAATACACTACTATTTAAATAACTGTAACGAAAAAAATGGGTCATTATATTACCTATCCGATATCTTTACTAATACTTAGAAAGAAATACACGCTTTTTTAATAAAAACACATATTCCAATTGAAATCATGATCGTAAATACGAATGTGGTAAATTATGTATGCTGTTAATTAGTCTAAATTTAGTAAAAAGTGTTCGTCCAAAAATGACGTCACAATGTTAGATAACGAGTTTTTATCCGTTATTTCGCGTTTTAGAAAACTGTTTTAATAAACTTAATAGGAATTGACTAAAATATTCTATGTTGACAAAGTTCAGACGATTTAATGAGTTCACTCATTTTAGTGGGGGGGGGGGGGTATGGCTTTTTGCGACGATATGTGAAGGGGGAGATAAAAATCGTCAAAAAATGCGTGATGTCATTTATGGATGACCCCAAAGTAATTATAAATCGTTTTTACTTTCAACTTCCGTCTACAGTAATGTTATGCCACGTGGTCTAACCAGCCAGCCCTACCTGGCAACTCTGTTGATTGAGGTCATAATGGAGGGGTTTCTGGCCACATTGGCTGCTCTGGGCGTAGTCAAGATGTACGAAAAGGAGGAGCACGTAATTAACCTTTCTAATTATTAAACAGTTAATTATTTGTCCCCAACTTAAGACTTACAAAACTATAAACGTGATGTATTTGGTTAATTTGTCCCCAACTTAAGATTTACAAAACTATAAACGTGATGTATTTGGTTTATTTGTCCCCAACTTCAGACTTACAAAACTATAAACTAGATGTATTTGGTTTATTTGTCCCCACCTTCAGACTTACAAAACTATAAACTAGATGTATTTGGTTTATTAGTCCCCAACTTCAGAATTACAAAACTATAAACTAGATATATTTGGTTTATTTGTCCCCAACTTCAGACTTACAAAACTATAGACTCGATGTATTTGGTTTATTTGTCCCCATCTTCAGAATTACAAAACTCTAAACTAGATGTATTTGGTTTATTTGTCCCCAACTTCAGACTTACAAAACTATAACTAAATATATTTGGTTTATTTGTTCCCAACTTCAGAATTACAAAACTATAAACTAGATGTATTTGGTTTATTGTCCCCAACTTCAGACTTACAAAACTATAAACTAGATGTATTTGGTTTATTTGTCCCCAACTTCAGAATTACAAAACTATAAACTAGATGTACTTGGTTTATTTATCCCCAACTTCAGAATTACAAAACTATAAACTAGATGTATTTGGTTTATTTGTCCCCAACTTCAGACTTACAAAACTATAAACTAGATGTATTTGGTTTATTTGTCCCCAACTTCAGACTTACAAAACTATAAACGTGATGTATTTGGTTTATTTGTCCCCAACTTCAGACTTACAAAACTATAAACTCGATGTATTTGGTTTATTTGTCCCCAACTTCAGACTTACAAAACTATAAAGATGAGGGCGTCCTCCCGAGTTGAAGCTGAGCACTCTAGTAAACAAGCTGAGGGTCAAGGTCAAGGCAAGCGTCACTGTCTGACCTCTCGTCTGCTGGACACGTGCTTCCTGTACGTGTTTTTTGTTCTGCAGGTCGGATTTCTGGTCTGTCTGTTTTGTCTGACTGGGTGGGTTCGGCTTTAGGACGGTGGCGTCGCATGGTCGGATGACACCCGGTGCGGCACTTCATGTTGTCACCCCCACTCCACAACCAAATAAATTGTATATATATATATATATATATATATAAATATATATATATATATATATATATATATATATATATATATATATATATATATATATATATATATATATATATATATATATATATATATATATATATATATATATATATAAAGCGGCTAGGTAGTGCGTCAGTCCGTCATCACTATAGATTTTGGAACCATAAAAGTAAACACACCACATATCGTGCTTTTTACCTGCATCGCAGTGTCTTATTATAAGTAATAAAGTTTGTTTATATAACGACTTAAATTTATTTCATTTTTGCCACTGTTTTTACTCTTTCGCATAACATAAGAAAATATTAAATACACGCAAATAGCTAAAACAAATTAAACGGATCAATGTCAAATATTATTTTTGTTTAGATTCCTAGAAAATAAAGATACATTTAATAAAATAATAACAGTAGGATAGAAAAATTTGATTAATTAAACTGTTTTGTAATTTTGCCAAGGGAAGTACTTTAAAAATAAATTCAACTCACGCTAAAAAATGTGAATGCAAAATCACCAAGACGGAATATTTGTTGGAATAATATAATTAGCAAAATATGAATGCAAACTTTGCAGACGTGTTAGTGGACATTATTGTTGGAATATTATAATTAGCGTGGATTGATAAAAGGCTATCTTTTATTTATTTTATTCACTGAACGTACTGTTTATTACTCATTATAATTTTTAATCAACTAATCCCCACTATTATATAAAGTCATCGCGTTCATTAGGTGTGCAATGGTTTTAGTCATGAAACTTTATTGTAAATTTTAAAAAGTACTGATAAAAAATGCATGAAGTGCAATATGGTCGGTAAAACACGTAGGCCTATATTTCAAATACTGCCTTTGATTTTTTTTATGCACTGAACGTGCTGTTTACTAATTATAATTCTATCTTTCGGTTTGCGGACAAGCTAGGGGTTTTAATTATATTTATAGTCATTCACCGAGTGCACAGAAAAACATTTGCAAATCTCGACGTTTTACACCTCCCACAAATACATTCCTTTACAAGGCATTTCAAGAAGATATGAAAAATTAACAAGCAGTTGTGTATATATATTTTATTCCATTCTAAATTAGCATAATTAACATAATTTGTGTCAATCAGCAAGCGATGAAATTAAGTTGGAGTTCTCTCTCTTGACTTGGTATATTAATGAGATTGTCTCCCTTTCTGGGTGATTAATTAATTATTTCTGTCACGTGATGTGATGACCGGAACTTTAGCCTCGACACATCATCTTGGTGCACGTGACCTGTCCATTATCCCTGCACGTGCATGTGTTGCAGTCGTTGGATGGTACTCGCTGTCCGATGTTGTACGTCTGTAGGGCAGAAAGTTTGTGAGTTTTTACTTTCTCGTATACAGAGTATAGAGGAAGTATTGTAATCGTGCACAAAAATCACATCAAATTTTGACAGTTTTCACCGTTTTACACCTCAGTTCTTCGTCATATACGGAGTATAGAGGACTTATTTTAATCGGGCAAAAATAATAAATGCAGATATATCAAAATTTAGGTGTGTTCTATGCGTAATCGAGTCGGAAATGCTGGGCTTTGCACTTCTGTCCGTATGTCTGTGTGTGTGTGTGTGTGTGAGTATGTGTTACTGTGAACACGATAACTTGAGTACCGTTAAAGCTAGGTTGATGAAATTTCAAATATAAGTATTTTATCAAATTTGTAGTTCTGTATCAACTTTTCAACGATTTCCGGTAACCGGTATTCTACTTTTGGTTTTTCATAGCATATAACTTGAGTATTGTTTCAGATAGATAAATGAAATTTCACATGTAAGTAAACGATCTAATTCTCTACATTCTTTCAAATTTTGAGTAATTTCTGTTGAACGGAAGTAGTAATTTACGCTACTTCCGATTTCTCAAAAAAAAAGAATGTGAATTTATAAAGTACTAATAATATTCCGCACTATTATACACAGATTGTTTGGCATTCACTTGGAGCGCAATCCTTTTTTCTACGAGATTCTATTTTATTTTGAAATGTTTAAGTAATAAAAAATGGATTAAAAATCATGCCTATATCCCGAGGTGCCATCCTCCGTAGTGTTATATAAGAATATTCGAGAAAGTTTAGGGGAGATCACATCAATGTAGGCAGAAAGTTCGTGAGTTGATAGTTTTGTTATATCGATATAGAGGAGATAATTTGTGTGTTTGTTTTTCTGTCTTGTTAGGTCAATGTGATTGATAAAAATTTAGTTGACTACATCTAGTGGTAGTTTGGGTAAAGGTGCATGTTTACTACAAGTCGTATATGTCTGTTCAACGTGATCTACTGCCATCGATTACATTTTTCATTTATTTTATTCATTTATTGAGACATGTTAGTTGTTTCATTGAAATGTCTACTAGATCTATATAAACTTTTAAAAATATTTTTTTTCTGTTCTCTATTAAAATGTGTGTTTTGTCTAAGCAAAATTTTAAAAAATTATTATATCTTATTGAAATGTGTGGGAGGGTTACAACCTTTAGATGTTGTAAATAGTGGGAGCTTCGGGCAGGTGATAATGTAAAAAAAAGTTCCCTTTTCAAACCTGACGGTCTATGGGGCAGGTGAAGTAGAGTCCACCTGTTTCTGTGACCTCGGCATATGAAGAGATAGTGTGGTCAGCACTATGCCCAGCCGCCTTTACTTTCCCTAACGTGAGTACCGACCCCCCACCCGACTCCCCCCCCCATACCATCCTGCCCCACCCCACCCAGCCCCTCCACTCACCTTCCCGTCCTTCTGACATTTCCTCACTGGGCAAATCATTTTGGTGCACTGCATGTTCCCACCTGTTGCACAGGTGCAGGTGTTGCACGCGTCCACAGGTACCCTCTGACCCACGGGGTACCACTGGAGAGGAAAAATGTTCTTACTACACACGTGACAAACAACACACGTGTCACACCACACACGTGACACACCACACACGTGTCACACTACACACGTGACACACCACACACGTGTCACACTACACACGTGGCACAGTACACATGTGACACACCACGCACGTGACACACTACCACGTGACACACTACACACGTGACACACCACATACGTGACACACTACACACGTGACACACAACACACGTGACACACTCCACACGTGACACACTACACACGTGACACTTTACACACGTGACATACACGCCAACACTGTTTACAAAAACTTCACTTCTTCTTTCATTAAATAAAATGTCCCTCAACTCTCCAGAGATCCTTACTCTCTACAGAGGCCCATGACGATCCCTATACATCTAGCTGTTTTAATTAAAGAATGCAATGATGCAACTCACCGTGCCGTTGTGCAGACAGCTCGGGGGACAGGCCATCTTTGTACAGGCGATGCTGCCCCCACTCCCACAGGTGCAGGTGTTGCAGGAGTCGACAGGTACCCTGTCACCTGACCTGTACCACTGGGGAGAAATTTACCTGAGATAGTTAGATTCCCAATCTATCTGTGATAGATACCCAATCTACCTGTGCTAGATACCCAATCTACCTGTGATAGATTCCCAATCTACCTGTGAAAGATTCCCAATCTACCTGTGATAGATTCCCAATCTACCTGTGACAGATTCCCAATCTACCTGTGAAAGATTCCCAATCTACCTGTGATAGATTCCCAATCTACCTGTGATAGATACCCAATCTACCTGTGATAGATACCCAATCTACCTGTGATAGATTCCCAATTTACCTGTGATAGATACCCAATCTACCTGTGATAGATACCCAATCTACCTGTGATAGTTAGATACCCAATCTACCTGTGATAGTTAGATACCCAATCTTACTGTGCCAGATACCCAATATACCTGTGATAGTTTGGCACCTAATCTACCTGTGATATTTGGCCACCTAATCTACCTGTGATATTTAACCACCCAATCTACCTGTGATAGTTTGGCACCTAATCTACCCAGCACACCCTTAACCTTTAACCATGACTCACCTTTCCATTGTGTTCACATACGAGGCTGGGGTCACATCCCATCAGGGTGCAGATCGTGACGTTGTTACCTTGACATGTGCAGGTGTTGCAACTGTCCACGGGTACACGATCACCACGACGGTAAATCTGGTTCAGGCAGAAATCAATTTTTTAATTTCACGTGCCGACAGAAGACAACCACAGGAAATACTTTTAGGGACACTGGTGCTCACGTTTGAGAAAGCCGGTATCTATGTTGAGCTAATTATATAGCTCACAACTACATTCCATGATCTTTAGGGCAATATATTGAACAAGTTCTTTTTAAAATTGAAAACTATTCCCGACCCCTCTATGCAGAGTTTCTTCCAGGCATCTCTTGGGGGGGGGGAGCAAGCCCCTCCGAAAAAATTCTACCCCCCCCCCCCCCCCCGAAAGAAATAAAATTTATATAATTTATATAGAAAATATATACTTTCATCAGTGTCCGCCCCCCCCCCCCCCGAAAATTTCAAGTGCCCCCCCCCGGAGAAAAAAGTCTGGAAGAAACACTGCCTATGTAGACTATACTGATGAGAATGACAACTCCCTTTGTAAAACAAGTTTTTGTTTTTTAACAAACCTAGTCCTTTCTTTGTCAAACGTTTTTTTAAACAAAACGCCTCCCCTTGTAAAACACTTTTTTTTAAAAACGCCCCCCCCCCTTTCCACTCCACCCTCTTTCTAAAACATGTTTTTGATAATAAAACACTTACCTCCTCGTGTAAAACAGTTTTTAAACAATTTCCTCCCCGCGTAAACCTTTTTTAAAAATAATTTACCTCCCCTTTTAAAACACTTTTTTAAAAAGCCGCTTACCTCCCCTAGTAAAACAAAAAACCACTTACCTCCCCTAGTAAAACAAAAAATACTTACCTCCCCTAGTAAATCAAAAAACACTCACCTCCCCTAGTAAAACAAAAAAAAAACACTTACCTCCCCTAGTAAAACAAAAAACACTTACCTCCCCTAGTAAAACAAAAAAAGCCACTTACTTCACCTAGTAAAACAAAAAAAACCACTTACCTACCCAAGTAAAACAAAAAAGAAACCACTTACCTCCCCTAGTAAAACAAAAAAGAAACCACTTACCTCCCCTAGTAAAACAAAAAAGAAACCACTTACCTCCCCTAGTAAAACAAAAAAGAAACCACTTACCTCCCCTAGTAAAACAAAAAACCACTTACCTCTCCTAGAACAACAGTATAAAAAAACCACTAGGCCACTCACCTTTCCTTTATGTTCACACGTTGGGTTGTCCACGCAAGCTTTCTTCGTGCACGCGATGTCCCCACCTGGCTGACACGTGCAGGTGTTGCACCTGTCTTTAGGCACCTGGTCCCCAGCTCTGTACCACTGTCAACAGTTTCATGCTTGCTCAGGTTATACTTGGTCATGTCCTACTTGCTCAAGTTATACTTGGTCATGTCCTACTTGCTCAAGTTATACTTGGTCATGTCCTACTTGTTCAGGTCCTACTTGCTCAAGTTATACTTGGTCATGTCCTACTTGCTCAAGTCATACTTGGTCATGTCCTACTTGCTCAAGTTATAGATCTACTTGGTCATGTCCTACTTGCTCAAGTTATACTTGGTCATGTCCTACTTGCTCAAGTTATACTTGGTCATGTCCTACTTGCTCAAGTTATACTTGGGCATGTCCTACTTGCTCAAGTTATACTTGGTCATGTCCTACTTGCTCAAGTTATACTTGGTCATGTCCTACTTGCTCAAGTTATACTTGGGCATGTCCTACTTGCTCAAGTTATACTTGGTCACGTCGTACTTGCTCAAGTTATACTTGGGCATGTCCTACTTGCTCAAGTTATACTTGGTCATGTCCTACTTGCTCAAGTTATACTTGGTCATGTCCTACTTGCTCAAGTTATACTTGGTCATGTCCTACTTGCTCAAGTTATACTTGGGCATGTCCTACTTGCTCAAGTTATACTTGGTCACGTCGTACTTGCTCAAGTTATACTTGGTCATGTCCTACTTGCTCAAGTTATACTTGGGCATGTCCTACTTCCTCAAGTTATACTTGGTCGTGTCCTACTTGCTCAAGTTATAGATCTACTTGGTCATGTCCTACTTGCTCAAGTTATACTTGGGCATGTCCTACTTGCTCAAGTTATACTTGGTCACGTCGTACTTGCTCAAGTTATACTTGGTCATGTCCTACTTGCTCAAGTTATACTTGGGCATGTCCTACTTCCTCAAGTTATACTTGGTCATGTCCTACTTGCTCAAGTTATAGATCTACTTGGTCATGTCCTACTTGCTCAAGTTATACTTGGTCATGTCCTACTTGATCAAGTTATACTTGGGCATGTCCTACTTGCTCAAGTTATACTTGGTCACGTCGTACTTGCTCAAGTTATACTTGGTCATGTCCTACTTGCTCAAGTTATACTTGGTCATGTCCTACTTGCTCAAGTTATACTTGGTCATGTCCTACTTGTTCAAGTCCTACTTGCTCAAGTTATACTTGGTCATGTCCTACTTGCTCAAGTTATACTTGGTCATGTCCTACTTGCTCAAGTTATACTTGGTCATGTCCTACTTGCTCAAGTTATACTTGGTCATGTCCTACTTGCTCAAGTTATACTTGGTCATGTCCTACTTGCTCAAGTTATACTTGGTCATGTCCTACTTGCTCAAGTTATACTTGGTCATGTCCTACTTGTTCAGGTCCTACTTGCTCAAGTTATACTTGGTCATGTCCTACTTGCTCAAGTCATACTTGGTCATGTCCTACTTGCTCAAGTTATAGATCTACTTGGTCACGTCCTACTTGCTCAAGTTATACTTGGTCACGTCCTACTTGCTCAAGTTATACTTGGGCATGTCCTACTTGCTCAAGTTATACTTGGTCATGTCCTACTTGTTCAAGTCCTACTTGCTCAAGTTATACTTGGTCATGTCCTACTTGCTCAAGTTATACTTGGTCACGTCTTACTTGCTCAAGTTATACTTGGTCATGTCCTACTTGCTCAAGTAATACTTGGTCATGTCCTACTTGCTCAAGTAATACTTGGTCATGTCCTACATGCTCAAGTTATACTTGGTCATGTCCTACTTGCTCAAGTTATACTTGGTCATGTCCTACTTCCTCAAGTTATACTTGGTCGTGTCCTACTTGCTCAAGTTATAGATCTACTTGGTCATGTCCTACTTGCTCAAGTTATAATTAGTCGAGTCACAAATGTTCAGGTCATGTTTAGTCACTTCATATCTGGCACGTTATATTTAGTCACGTCACGTCATATTTGGTCACGTCTTAGTTTGTCACTTTTTATATAAGGTCGTCATACTTGAACAATTTATACTTAATCAAGTTAGTCAGGGCCAACTTAGTTAAGTCATACTTGTTCCTGTCTTATTTAGTCAGTTTATGCTTGTTTATACATCAATGTCTATGTGATCAGGTAATCCTTCAATGACCAGTGACTTATTTATCTTTGTATCTTACAGATATCTTACTGTATATCGTGCATTGATCTATTGTCATCTAGAGGTCTTGCATTAATCACATGTCATTGATGTATCTTGAGATTATTGTCATTTATATAGCTTGCAATTATCAAATGTTATTTAAGTACCTTGCAATCAACAAATGTCAAATGCGTCTATAAAGCTAGCTATGACCTAATAACATTTATGTAATGACATAATGACATCTATGTAATGATCTAATGACATCTATGTAATGACCTAATGACATCTATTTAATGCCCTGATGACATCTATGTAATGACCTATGGACATCTATGTAATGACACAATAATATCTATGTAATGACCTAATGGCATCTATGTTATGACCTAATGACATATATGTAACGGTCTAATGACATATATGTAATGACCAAATGACATCTATGTAATGACCTGATGTCATCTATGTAATGACCTAAAACATCTACGTAATGATATAATGACATCTATGTAATGGCATAATGACATCTATGTAATGACATAGTGACATCTATGTAATGACATAATGACATCTATGTAATGGCATAATGACATCTATGTAATGACATAGTGACATCTATGTAATGACATAATGGCATCTATGTGATGACATAATGACATCTACGAGATTACCTAATGACATCTACGTGATGACCTAATCACATCTATGTGATGACCTGATGACATCTATGTGATGACCTAATGACATCTATGTAAGGACCTAATGACATCTATGTAATGACTTAGTGACATTTATGTAGTGACCTAATGACATCTATGTAATGACCTAATGACACCTATTTAATGACCTAATAAGATCTAGGTGATGACCTAATGACATCTATGTGATGACCTAATGATATTTATGTGATGACCTAATGATATTTATGTGATGACCTAATGATATTTATGTGATGACCTAATGATATTTATGTGATGACCTAGTGACATCTATGTAATGACCTAATGACATATGTTGACGAGCACTGACCTTCCCGGCGTGCTCACACACCAGACTGGGGTCACACGCCATGAGCGTGCATTGCGTCATGTTGTTGCCCCTGCACGTGCAGATATTGCAGCTGTCCACGGGGACCCTCTGACCTGCCTGGTACACCTACATCAGACAGACGACACAAACATCAGCTGAAGTCCTAACTCACACTTTGGGTTCGATTAGGTAACTACTAGTTATCAACAGTCAACCTCTCACACACACACACATTTATTGCCGTCTAAATAAACTCACCTTTCCCTTATGCTTCACCCCTCCCACACCCACACCCACTCACACACATACATGTATTGCTACCTACACAACCAGTGGGGGTCACAAACCCCCATAGACCCTTCTGTATATATATATATATATATATATATATATATATATATATATATATATATATATATATATATATATATATATATATATATATACATATATATATACATATATATATACATATATATATACATATATATATACATATATATATATATATATGTATATTTAAATATATATATATATATATATATATATATATATATATATATATATATATATATATATATATATATATGAGACGATCCTTGCTACGCCACTGTACACAACTCCACCTTTCCCTTATGTCCCCCCCCCCACACACACAATTACCACATACACACACAAACCCATCTTTCCCTACTCCCCCCACACACACAATTACCACCAACACAAACCCACCTTTCCCTTATGCTCGCACGTGTTGTTGACGCAAGCTTTTTCTGTGCACACAATATTTCCGGTTGTCGTGCATGTACAAATGTTACACCGGTCAACCGGCACCCGGTCCCCGGCCTTGTACCACTAAACAAATTAAAGCGGAATTAATTAGTTGTCATTTTACAATCTTCATACTAGCTAGGGACAAACTTTCAAACGACGTTAAGTTTTAGTTTAACATTAATTAACCAATAACTAATTATTTTAAACGTAAAAGGTTGTTGTTTTTTTCTTAATCCTAACGAAGTTAATAGGATAAAGAGTCCTGTTTTGGGTTCGTTTTTTTTTTCTTAGCTTTAAGAGAAACGAAATATATAAACATACCACAAAAAAAAGTATAAAGCATATAAATAGAAAACAGAAAAATAAGTTGAGTCAACATATCACAAACAACGAAAATTAAAAAGAGCGAACATACCACGAAATTATGCTCACAGATTAGGGAGGGGTCGCATCCCATTTTCGTGCAGGCGGTCATGTTGTTACCTGCACAGGTGCACCTGTTGCAGCTGTCTACAGGTACACGATCACCTACCTGGTACCTCTGGTGAGTAGTATGGTATGGTGAGGGATGGTAGGGTGAGTAGGATGGTAAGGCTAGTAGGATGGTCAGGTGAGTAGGATGGTAAGGTGAGATGGTAAGGTGAGATGGTAAGGTGAGATGGTAAGGTGAGTAGGATGGTAAGGTGAGTAGGATTGTAAGGTGAGCAGGATGGTAAGGTGAGATGGTAAGGTGAGTAGGATGGTAAGGTGAGTAGGATGGTAAGGTGAGTAGGAGGGTAAGGTGAGATGGTACGGTAAGATGGTAAGGTGAGTAGGATGGTAAGGTGAGTAGGATGGTAAGGTGAGTAGGATGGTAAGGTGAGATGGTAAGGTAAGATGGTAAGGTGAGTAGGATGGTAATGTGAGTAGGATGGTAAGGTGAGTAGGATGGTAAGGTGAGATGGTAAGGTAAGATGGTAAGGTGAGTAGGATGGTAAGGTGAGCAGGATGGTAAGGTGAGTAGGATGGTAAGGTGAGATGGTAAGGTAAGATGGTAAGGTGAGTAGGATGGTAAGGTGAGCAGGATGGTAAGGTGAGATGGTAAGGTGAGTAGGATGGTAGTGTGAGATGGTACGGTGAGATGGTAGTGTGAGATGGTAGGGTGAGATGGTAAGTTGATTAGGATGGGAAGGTGAGGTGGTAAGGTGAAATGGTAAGGTTAGTAGGATGTTAAGGTGTGTAGGATGGTAAGGAGAGTAGGTGGGTAAGGTGATCAAAAGATGTTTTGGGTTAGGTAAACATATACAGAGGCGTCGCGGGGGGGGGGAGCACCAGTTGACAAAGTTTAGGGAGGTAGGCGGTGACGTCAATGCGAGAATTATAAATGGTAAAGAAAGAAATATTTTTTTGCCAGTTCAATTAATGATTAAAGTTCAATAGTCATTTAAGTACAAATTAACCATTCTTAAAGGGGGGGGGGGTGACACCAAGACGTAAACTTGCTAACTATAGAGAAAACAATGCTACATCCAGCTGTAGTAATAACCGATTATAGACGAACATCGTTACAATTAAGGTTAGATTTATCTCCGGATGGAAACAAGTTCTGTTGAATATTTTAATCAACTGATATGTAAACGACTGGGGTGGGGTGACGCCACATCTAATAATTTACAATGATAACGACTAGTTTTTTTTTTCACCATGAATTAATGTTTGGATTAATATAATTGTGCACAAATTGACTCTATTAGCCAAAATGTAAGGAGGGGGGGGGGGGTGACACCAATCTCAACTTTCATAAACAAATAATGTACTGATCAGAACGAAATACACCATCCACCATCGTGAGATTGGGGTGACACGCTAACCACATTATTAACCTTAATCACTGTAGAGCCTATCACGCGTTCGTTTCATCGTAAAGAAAAAAGTTCATAAATAAATCCTAAATATTTTTTACTTCTAATTTTTATTTTAAATAATAGGGTGGGGGTGGGAGGATATAGCCCTTGCTAACAGGGCCCTTACCGCCTACGCCACTGTGTTAATGCCGATGCAATGCTTACATTACATCGGGTGTCACTGACCGAATGGTGGTAACCAATACCCCCCCCCCCACACACACACACAATCTAAATTTATTCTAAAAATGAAACTCCATTCTGACCTTGCCCTTGTGTTCACATCCGGTTATATCAGCGCTGGTGCAGACGATAAAACACGCCAGGGTCATGGCGACCTTCAGTAACTTGACTGTCTTCTCCATCTTCAACTGTCTCAAGTAAAAAAAAATATCAGCCTTGATAATATTAGGTCTTAGTATAACAATATATTAGGAAAATATATCAGCCTTTGTCGTGGTCAGCCTTAGTATAGTATATAACATAGTAAGAAAATATCAACCTTAATCTTGGTCATCTTTAGCATACGGAAATATGACCAACTAATTAGTTCAGAATACAACATACCGCCCACCCGACCATATCCACCGCCCTTTACGGATATTTGAAATGACGTCGCTCCCCCCCCCCCCCCCCCCCCTCACCCCACCTCTCCTACGTCCCGGATATTTTAATCCGTCTATAACCGCCCACGTGAAATCTACCACCGAGTATCGTACATGAATGTTATGACGTTTTTTTAACTGTGAAGCTACGGCCGTCATTATTCACCTTTTCCCCTCAAGCGAAATGTAAAGAAATCTATTTACGTCTATACCCGCACTGAGGTCGTTAGGTTACTCTCTTCACATTGGAGGAAATGAAATTGAAAACAAATCCGTTTCATTTTCTCTCGGCTTCATTTTTAGTCAAAATTATTTTCTATTCAAGTAAACAGTAAACATAGTATTTTGAACCTCAAGAATAAAGTGTATATTTGATCTAGTTTGTACTCAGTAAAATGTAGAAAGAAATCAATTATTGGATCGCGATGTTGAATTTGTATACTGCAGTGTTTACAAACTAAACATTTAACCACAACATATAATAAGCCGGTTTAGCAAATACATTTTCTTTTTTAAAAAAATAGTTTCAAAAGCACTTCGTAAAGTTGACCAATAATAATTATCGTTTGTTTTTTTTTTGCTCTAACGTTAGTTAAACTAGTACCCAGCATAATAATGATTTCAAAATATAGGTAACTTAGCTTACAAGTAGTACAAGTGTTTAAATAATTTAAAATACAAAGGAAAAGTAACCTGTTCCACAGGCAACAGTGCTATAAATTAAATAAATAACAACGTTAAAATTCTACTTCATTCGTGTTTAAAATTTAACTTCTTTAATTTTTTATTTAACATTTTAAAATTTAACTTTTACCGTTTTTAAATCCACTAAGTAAAAGTAGCTTGTGCAACTGGCGGTAACGGTACATTAAAAAATACAATTTAAAAAAATACCCACCATAAATGTTATTTTCTTTTCAAACTCCCCGCAAAACAACAAATCTTTCGAGTCAACCAACCTTGAATGTGGCGCTTGTTGCAGAAATGCGATCCACAACTTGGCAACTTGTTTATATCCACAACCGTGTCACCCTCCCCCCCCCCCCCCCCTCTACCACCACCACGCCCCTAGGCTAAGCCTTGTGAACAAGATCTAGTCCGGATGTCACAACAAGTAAATTTATGGGCCGCTGATTTCACGAGCTGCAAGCGTTCCTATTGGTTAATTAAACATTTAATTTAATTAGTTTGAAGCGGATGCAAAAGATTTGGCCCAATGAAGATTTTTTTTTTCATTCTCCATGAGACAAACAGGATTTGTTTGTGTAATTAACTGCAGTCTATCTAGATGGAGGTTAATTACACTGTGATGTAGATCTACGTAATAAATGAATTGCTATAAAAGAAGGGGAGGTACTATAATAGATGGTGAAGTACTTTTACAGAGGGTGAGGTACTATAACAGGTGTATTGGTGAGGTACTAATAGACGGTGAGGTACTATAACAGGTGTATTGGTGAGGTACTAATAGATGGTGATGTACTATAATAGATGGTGAGGTACTATAACAGGTGTATTGGTGAGGTAATATTAGATGGTGAGGTACTATTACAGACGGTGAGGTACTATTACAGGTGTATTGGTGAGGTACTAACAGATGGTGAGGTACTATACCAGATGGTGAGATACTATACCAGATGGTGAGGTGCTATGTTAGGTGTATTGGTGAGGTACTATAACAGGTGTATTGGTGAGGTAATATTAGATGGTGAGGTACTATTACAGGTGTTTTGGTGAGGTAATATAAAAGATGGTGAGGTACTATTAAAGATGGTTAGATACTATTACAGGCTTTGAGGTACTGTTACAGGTGTATTGGTGAGATACTATTACATATGGTTAGGTACTATTACAGGTGTATATGTAAGGTATGAAGTTTGTCCATTGGTTTGTTGGTTAATTATACCTGAATTAAATCAGCTATTCGCGGATAATTTTCCGACGGCAATTTTTTGCTACAGCGCCGGATTCACTGTGAAACCCACCCCCCCCCCCCACACCCATTTCCCCCAGGTAAATAAAGACACCTCAATATTCACCTCTCTGACCAACAAATCACCTCGACAGACAGAAGCCTTACATAAACTTTACTTTTTACACATTTTATTTAGTTAGCAACGTCTGTTTGTTGTTTTTTTTTTGTGGGTTTGTGGCAAATCTTGTAACTAATTTTGACCCACTACTTATGCAGCTTTGATTTCGTTCAAACGTTCCAGATACTATATTCTATAACAGAAGAGGAGATAACTAGCTAGACGCGATAACCCTAACTGTCTGGTGAGCTGTGGTTCACGTTCATGTTTACAATCGTAGAACCGGTCGATCTTTTGAAAGCTATCAGGGACAGATAATTTTTTAAACGATTTGAAACTAAGGGGAGGTTACTAAAATTACTGTTGAATGTAAAATATGATCACGGACGGCAGCTTTCATGGGGCAGATAATCGTGTTTCAGATATCGCGAGCTACTGGTGAAGTTTTAAAGCAAATATTTTTAGTCGTGTCGACTTCATAAATTAGGAATCAATAAAAATTAGAAAAGAAAACAAATATAAAAACCTTTAGAGCAACAAGCTTTTAAATGCACTGAAAATAAGAAAATAAAACTAAATTGATACTTGTAAAAATGTGAACCTTTGGTCGCTGATGAAATCTTTTACATATTTAGCGTCAGAAATCAAATTTTTTTATTTAATTTAGACATAAAAGGTGAAGAATTCTCTTTTGACCTGGCGATCAATTGAGCAGATGAAGAGGAGTTCATATGTTTCTTGACCTCGGCATATGAAATTAAGGTATGATCAGTACTTTGCCAGTCCCTAACATGAGTTAGGTACCCATCAGAGCTGAATGGACTCAAGGACGTTCTACTGATTAATTTAGACATAACACTTTTAACTAACCGTGAAAATAAATAGAATCTGCTTAACAAGTAACATTTGTTTCCCTACTAATTACCATACGACAAAAACAGACGAGCCCTGCTACTGCAGCATGTGTATCAAAGTGCCTCTACACACGTTTTTGGTGAGTCACATGTGTTGTTTACTTTATAATAGAACGGCCATTGAATAGGGAGACAGATGATAGATGCAAATACAAAATAGAAGTGCAAACTGTTTCACAAAGTGTCTATATCGGTAAATTAAATTCTTGAAATAATTAAGTGTTGTTGTTGTAAATGTTGCACGGTCTGCAAAAAGTTGTTTAATGACAACAGCTTTAGAATGCGTGTAACATTTTAAACAAGCAAAGATCCTGATAGGGGTTTGGTATGCCACATTACACAAATCATACACACGTTATAAGATATTGTACAAAAGAAGTACGGGTGGTTTATGATTTTGTTATATGCTATTATATGGGGTTTGGGATTTGTCTGTTATTTATATCTGAATTATATTGGTAAAAACTTAGCAAATTTTAGTTATCTAGAACGATTGGAGAAGTAAGTTAGCAAAACTGTACAAAATGTTTGGGTTTTTATGTGTTTTCTGAAGCGGTGGTATAAACTGAGTGGTGATGGTCTGATGGTGTGGTCGTGTGAGGTGTTCATGTGTGGTGATATAGTGGTAAGATGGTGTGGTTGTCGTATGCTGTGGCGGTGTAATGGTGTGGTTGTATGATGTTGTGAGTGTGGTGGTGTAATCGTATGATGGTATGAAGGTATGATGGTATGATGGTATGAAGGTATGATGGTATGATGGTATGATGGTATGATGGTATGATGGTATGATGGTATGATGGTATGATGGTATGATGGTATGATGGTATGATGGTATGATGGTATGATGGTATGATGGTATGATGGTATGATGGTATGATGGTATGATGGTATGACGGTATGACGGTATGACGGTATGACGGTATGACGGTATGACGGTATGACGGTATGACGGTATGACGGTATGACGGTATGACGGTATGATGGTATGATGGTATGATGGTATGATGGTATGATGGTATGACGGTATGATGGTATGATGGTATGATGGTATGATGGTATGATGATATGATGGTACGATGGTATGATGGTATGATGATATGATGGTACGATGATATGATGGTATGATGGTATGATGATATGATGGTATGATGATATGATGGTATGATGGTGCGATGATATGATGGTATGATGGTATGATGATATGATGGTACGATGATATGATGGTAAGATGGTATGATGATATGATGGTACGATGGTATGATGGTATGATGATATGATGGTACGATGATATGATGGTACGATGGTATGATGGTATGATTGAATGATTGCTTGATGGTACGATTGTGTGATGGTACGCTTGTGTGATGGTATGATGGTATGATGGTATGATGGTATGATGGTATGATGGTATGATGGTGTGATGGTGTGGTGGTGTGATGGTGTGATGGTATGGTGGTATAGTGGTTTAAGAAAATATTAAAGTCATATTAAGGAGATGGTGTGTCACAAACATTCTGATAATGTGTTTTTAATCTGGGTGTACATTAACAAATTAGAATTAGATTAAAGGGCATGTAAAGCTGTTGGTTGTAGCGTCATTTTTACTTCTCGTATACAAAGAATACAGAAAGAAAGTACTGTAATCGTTCACAAAAAATCTACGTTTTACAAGTCCCTACTTTATGGTAAGCCTATATGGAATATAAAGCTTGTATTGTAATCTGTGTGTATGTGTATAAGATTAGTTGTAGGATCGGTTAATTATTAGATTTGTGTACTGCCGAATGTTAGGTTGTAAACTAAATTATGGTGCAAACACTGGTGATCGTCAGTAGCCTATGTCCCAGGAGGGGCGACAGACAAATATAACTAGTTATCGTGGACATGTTAAAAATACAAAATGGGTAATGGTGTGGTTTTTTTATGTTGTGTTATACGGAGTAGGAAGTCGCATGAGCAAGTGATGTTAGGTGGGCTTACACTCCTTCACTCCTATAAATCGCCCTGACACTTTTAAGACTAATCGATTAGTTTCACGGTTAAATTTAGACATGTTAACTTATAGCCAGAGCAACGCCTGGTCGGAACGGCCAGATTTAATAAAGCCGATGTCTTTTAATATTTTTATTTCACTTAAAACAATCAAAATACAAAATGCATACTATGTAGCTTAAGAAAAGTGGAACAGGACATGACACCATAGAAAGGTGACCTTTAGTATCCCTTGGAAAAGTCGAGTTTGTTACGTAGTTCTTCGCCTTTGATGTATCTGGTCAAGTTTTCTACATAGTTCTCTGCCACAAACTGCAGAAGATGAAACGAGTTTATAGTTACACTTGCACCCTACTTTACTTGCCCTAACAAGTTTATAGTTACACTTGCACCCTACTTTACTTGCCCCAACAAGTTTTTAGTTACACTTGCACCCTACTTTACTTGCCCCAACAAGTTTATAGTTACACTTGCACCCTACTTTACTTGCCCCAACAAGTTTATAGTTACACTTGCACCCTACTTTACTTGCCCCAACAAGTTTATAGTTACACTTGCACCCTACTTTACTTGCCCCAACAAGTTTATAGTTACACTTGCACCCTACTTTACTTGCCCCAACAAGTTTATAGTTACACTTGCACCCTACTTTACTTGCCCTAACAAGTTTATAGTTACACTTGCACCCTACTTTACTTGCCCTAACAAGTTTATAGTTACACTTGCACCCTACTTTACTTGCCCTAACAAGTTTATAGTTACACTTGCACCCTACTTTACTTGCCCCAACAAGTTTATAGTTACACTTGCACCCTACTTTACTTGCCCCAACAAGTTTATAGTTACACTTGCACCCTACTTACTTGCCCCAACAAGTTTATAGTTACACTTGCACCCTACTTTACTTGCCCCAACAAGTTTATAGTTACACTTGCACCCTACTTTACTTGCCCTAACAAGTTTATAGTTACACTTGCACCCTACTTTACTTGCCTTAACAAGTTTATAGTTACACTTGCATCTTACTTTACTTGCCCTAACAAGTTTATAGTTACACTTGCATCCTACTTTACTTGCCCTACGGACCGACAGCCTTAAAAAAGGAACTTAACGGGTTTTTTTTTTAATTTCATAAGAATAATCATATGCAGTTTACCCAGAGGACAGTCCCGTGTAAAACAGCACCACATGACATCACATGTTTACCACAGCACCACATGACATCACATGACAGTTCTAAAAATAATGATGTCAGCTGACTACAAACCCTGACATAGTCCCTGGCGATGCAGCTGTTGTGGGGGGTGATGATCACCCCGGGGAGGGTCCACAGGCGGCTCGTGGGTGGCAGCGGCTCCTGGGCCAGTACGTCCAAGATGGCGCCACCTAGCCAGTCTTGGCTGGAAGACACGCGAGATTTGAGACACGAGACTTGAGAAACGAAACTTTACACACGAAACTTTACACACAAAACTTTACACACTAAACTTTACACACGAAACTTTACACACAAAACTTTACACACGAAACTTTACACACAAAATTTTACACACGAAACTTTACACACGAAACTTTACACACAAAACTTTACACACGAAACTTTACACACAAAACTTTACACACCAAACTTCACACACCAAACTTCACACACCAAACTTCACACACCAAACTTCACACACCAAACTTCACACACCAAACTTCACACACCAAACTTCACACACCAAACTTCACACACCAAACTTCACACACGAAACTTCACTCACCAAACTTCACACACGAACCTTCACACACCAAACTTCACACACCAAACTTCACAAACGAGACACAACAGGAGAGACACTAGCCTTCAGACATGAGACTTAAGACACTAGAAAAGACAAGAGACTTAAGTACACGAGACATGAAGACTACGCTGAAGACAAATTTAAGACACGAGACATAAGTAAAAGCCATAGCTAAACACTGTCAGAAAACGAGTCTAGAAATGCTGACTAGACTCGCTGCAAACATTCAATATTTTCTCACAAGTTAAAAGATTTTTATCCACCTGATTGCCTGTACCAGACTCTCTTCATCAATCAAGTCACCTCGACCTAGATTTATTAGCACCGTTTTCTACAAAGTAAAAGGTTATAAATAAATCTTTAAAAAAAAAAAAAAATATATATATATATATATATATATATATATATATATATATATATATATATATATATATATATATATATATATCAATGTCACAAATGAATTGATGTGGTGGGAGTGGCACAGGTCTGAGTGACGTCATACAACTAAGTGAACTCTACAAGACATCGCCCAAAGGTAACAAACCTTCCACGTCTGCCAGTCCGGTCATCGAGTTTAAAGATTGGGAGATTACCAAGTGGGAGATTACCAGCCGTGGGATTAAAAGCTGGGCGATTACCAATTACCAGAGTTTCTTTCAGCTCCCACCCCCCCCCCCCCAAATAAAGTCTACCCCCCCTCCGAATAAAATGGAATTTATATATAAAACATATACTTTTCCCGGTGTAAGCCCCCCCCCCGGAAAATGTTATCCGCCCCCCCCCCCCCCCCCGCCGTTCGCTACCTACCCTCACACGACACGGCTGCAAGACGTCACCAGACAAGAGTCCCCGGGTCTCGGGTGTGGAGGGTAGGACCGTCACCAGGTAGTCGGATTGTTCTAGAACCTCCGGGAGACGAGACATGGGTCTGTAGGAGGGAGGGGGGGGGGCGTCATTGTAAATAGCGGTAAATACAACGAAAGAATGAAAATAAAGAACAATTGTATATCCAATAACGCAGTGAGATTAAACTCTTATCAACGGACAATAAATATAAACTACTTAATCAAATAATTAATTAACGTTTTAGGTGTATTATGTTGAAGTTAATTAGAACGTTTGCTAAAATAAACTGACACTGAATGAACAAAGAAGCACACACCCAGCTGATCAGCCCCAAGTGACAAACGGACTGACAAACAACTAATGAACAACAACTAAATAACTAAAAATTAGTAAAGTTCCTTTTCGAACCTGACGGTGCATGGGGCGAATGAAGAGTTCACCTGTTTATGTGACCTCAGCATAGGAAAAGATGTTATGGTCAGACGTATGTTTAGCCGCCTTTACTTTCCTTAACTTTAGCCAGGTGTCCATCAGAGATGGGTGGACTCAGTGACGCTCTACTGACTTGAACTCGGATTTGAACTCCAGGCGGGTTACTAGCCGTATGCTCTAACATTCCACCACGCCAACCATCTAATGACCAGAGACTAATGACCAGCACCACCTGGCCCGTGTTAAGTCACTTGACCAGCCACACCTACCTGACATGATCGACATAAGGGCTGGGGGATTCACCAGACTGGAACCGCCTGTCTGTGACACCTGCCCACACCTGCATGCCGAAAGACTTGCAGAAACGTGCCACTGGGGAGTGAGCAGTAAAACCAGACGTTATCAGGCTTGACGTGAAATAATTAGGTCATAACAAAGGACCGGCTACTCTTAACTTTCCCCTGGTAACTTCATCGACCAGGTGCTATATTTTATAAGCAATAACTGGGATTTTAACTAGTGGCGTCAATAGGTCGAGTGTCACACTGTTCGTTAACTGAGGGTGTCACCCCCCTTCCCCCACCCTCCAACTTTTTAGGTTTGGTGTCAGTCTCTTCTTCTACTATTTTGTTACATAACTTGATAAAACATTGTTCTGACAGTAATTTTACGATTTTTAATCGTGGTGTCACCCCTAAATGGTGTCAAACGGTGCGGAGTGTGTGTGTCCCCCCCCCCTCCTCATTCCGCCTTGTGACGCATCTGGTGTGACCTAAACCCCTTTACGTCATCGCCTACTAATTGATAACTAATCTTTATAAGGACAGAAACAGCTGTTAAAACTATATTGTTACACAGGTTAAGAAATATAACAATAAGAAATCTTGAACCTTCTCCTCCAAGCTCCCCAACTCCCAGAATGCCAACAGTTAATTCAGTCAACATCCGGTATGGCGGTGCGCATTTCCTGGAAGAGGGAATAATACAACTTTTTATAGAGGGAGACATAGATATGTACCGGGAGTGGGGGACATTACCACCGCCCCCGGAATTTTCACACTACATACACAGGCCTCAACACGACAAACTAATTTAAACTAGAGTCTGCTAATTCGTGAGTTGATTAGAGGTAAGGTAAGGTAAGATGAGGTAAGATGAGGTAAGATGAGGTAAGATGAGTTAAGGTGAGGTGAGGTGAGGTGAGGTGAGGTGAGGTGAGGTGAGGTGAGGTGAGGTGAGGTAAGGTAAGGTAAGGTAAGGTAAGGTAAGGTAAGGTAAGGTAAGGTAAGGTAAGTTAAAGTAAGGTAAGGTAAGGTAAGGTAAGGTAAGGTAAGGTGAGGTGAGGTAAGGTAAGGTAAGGTAAGGTAAGGTAAGGTAAGGTAAGGTGAGGTGAGGTGAGGTGAGGTGAGGTGAGGTGAGGCGAGGTGAGGTGAGGTGAGGTGAGCTGAGGTAAGGTGAGGTGAGGTGAGGTAAGTTGAGGTGAGGTGAGGTGAGGTACGAAGTGTTTAGACATGACACTCACTTGTCATATGAACATTTTTTCTGAGCCTCCCACGAAGCCTGGAAGTTCCTCTCACGTGACAGAATCTGACCAATCACGTACTCGGCCATCATCTGACCTCTCTGGATGAAATTGGTTCTCGTGTGTTGAAACCCTGGCGCCAACTGAAATACCCGTCACGTGACCTCATGAAAATTGTGTTTGATGATTAATACATTTTAATTGTGTCGGATTCGATATATTGGCAAAAGCAAAATTAAAATCACAGCTAAAGTAGGCTATTTACCTGAAGTTTGTCAATGTTTTTAAAGAAATAATCGACCCCTGAAATTAAAAAAAATTCACTTGCTAATAAGAATAAACACGGTTTATTATATAAAGTGTAATACAAATTGTTCCCTAGTTCGTCATTATCTCTATCTATAATGTATTCGTCGGTTTGTATGTTGTATTCGTCGGTTTGTATGTTGTATTCGTCGGTTTGTATGTTGTATTCGTCGGTTTGTATATTGTATTCGTCGGTTTGTATGTTGTATTCGTCGGTTTGTATGTTGTATTCGTCGGTTTGTATGTTGTATTCGTCGGTTTGTATGTTGTATTCGTCTTCCTATAAAATGGATTTGTTTCTTTTTTTTTTAAACTACTGTTAACTGTTAATGTACTAGTGTGCTGTACGTTCAAAAGCCACCGTTTTCAACCTATACACACCAAGAGCCCTCGCTAAACACCCCACATCCAAACAACCAGTGGCGTAGGCAGGGGGGGGGGGGGGGGTTGGGGGGGGGGGGGGTCATAACCCCCCCCCCCATAGACCCCTCGGTATATATATATATATATAAAGTATGAGGGGGGTGCAAATCGAAAGTTTGTCCCCGGGTAAAAATTGGACCCCCCTTGAGACGATCCTGGCTACGCCACTGCAAACAACCCACATCCAAACAAACACACCACATGACGGGTATAAGTGGGTTAATGTGGCGTACCTGCTGACCTGGAAAGTGTCTCTTTAATTAAGTACGAACAACGGTGGTACTAACTGTGGACATGAGTATTCACAACAACCACATAAAAACATACTTAAAAACACAACACACCGAGACACACCACATATCTAGAAAAAACAAGACACCACACACCAATACACCACACACCTAGAAGCCTCTCACCTAGACACCACACACCAATACATCACACACCTAGACACCACACACATACACCACACACCTAGACACCACACACCAATACACCACACATCTAGACACCACACACCAATACATCACACACCTAGACACCACACACCAATACACCACACACCTAGACACCACACACCAATACACCACACACCTAGACACCACACACCAATACACCACACACGTAGACACCACACACCAATACATCACACACCTAGACACCACACACATACACCACATACCTAGACACCACACACCAATACACCACACACCTAGACACCACACACCAATACATCACACACCTAGACACCACACACATACACCACACACCTAGACACCACACACCAATACACCACACACCTAGACACCACACACCAATACATCACACACCTAGACACCACACCAAACCCACATCTCCCCTGGTTAGGGTGTCCCATAATGCAGTAGGTTAGGGTGTCCTGACTGCCCAAGCTCCTCTCAAGGTCAGACTAACCTGCTGACGTCGTCTGTGCCCATCTGACCTTGTTACCAGGGCATGAAAGAAACTCTACGACGTTTCTGATCCAGCCGACCAGGTACTCGATGACGTCACCTTCTTCATCTGTACAGGAATTAATTGTACCGTTATAAGCTCGTCTACCAATTATTTTTTTTATTAACTTGCTACACCGGTCTAAGAAAAGAGTTTGAGAAGTTGTAATTAATTAGCCCGTAATTAAAATCTGATTACGATGTATCGTGTCAACACGTCCATTTAACAAGACCCACCTTCTGGATACGCCAATGGCAAAATTGACTTGACAAGACCCACCTTTTTGGCACGCCAATGACAAGATTGATTTGACAAGATCCAGCTTCTGGGCACGCCCATGGTTAGATTTTGACAGGCCCACCTTCTGGACACGCCCATGGTAAGATTTTGACAGGCCCACCTTCTGGACACGCCCATGGTAAGATTTTGACAGGCCCACCTTCTGGACACGCCCATGGTAAGATTTTGACAGGCCCACCTTCTGGACACGCCCATGGTAAGATTTTGACAGGCCCACCTTCTGGACACGCCCATGGTAAGATTTTGACAGGCCCACCTTCTGGACACGCCCATGGTAAGATTTTGACAGGCCCACCTTCTGGACACGCCCATGACCCAATTTTGACACGCCCCACCTTCTAGAAACGCCTGTGACAAGGTACTATCAAGACCCACTTTCTAAACTCACCCATGATAAGATTCTGACAAGACCCGACTTCTAAACATGTCCCTAACACAGTTTTGACAAGACCCACCTAGTAGACACGCCCATGACAAGATTTTGACACGACCCACCTTCTGGACACGCCCATGATGTAGGCAGAGTTTTCACCTGGACGTCCAGCCCATTGAGTTGACCTTTGATCTTCTCACTCAGGCCAATCAGCGGTGACATGACGTGGATAACTCGGACCCTGTTGGACATCTGGGGTAGGGAGGGATTGTGTGAATTAGAATGGACACCATGGGCGTATACGGGTAAATAACTTTTTTAATTGATACGCCTGGGCAAATATACATGCACAAGTGGACATGACTTAACTAGCAGGGAGCAAACATTGATAAACAGGAACTCGAAAAAAACTGAGAGCCGCTGACATTCACAATATACAAACTATAGACAGCACAAACGCTGATGTAACCAGAGGCGTAGCGAGGGGGGTACATATGTCCCCGGGCGCCGACCCTAGGGGCGCCAAAATGGGTTGGAAAAAAAATTAAAAGCTCATTTTAGCTGCAGTTATGCATTATAAATATAGAATATGTGGGTGGGGGCGCCGAATTGAAAGTTTGTCCCCGGGCGCCGGGAAGGGTCGCTACGCCTCTGCAGGTAACTATAGAAAGAGACAGGTGTATCTGCTAACTATTACTGTTTTTAGATGTTCATAGAATGGCAATACGTGATCGTCTAGTGGGCCTATGTATTGCATGCAACGCTAGACCATATCTTAACTCTTCTAATGAGCACTAAGCGTAGATTTTAACCTAAAGTTATCTCTATATCTAATCTCAATTGTAGGTATTAAATATCGTTGTCAATTATTTCAATAAGCGTGCGTACGCTAATCGATAACAGCTGATATTTTTCTTAGTTGATGATTGTAGTTTTGTTACGATGGACTCTCCTTCATAAACAATATTATCTTTTTAGATCGATAATTGTCCGAATCACGATCTATTCAAATGTACATGATCTAGTGCTATACAAACACAACTATAAATGCATGCTTTGGATCAGTGGATCCTGCAGCCTTTTGATTCAGCTAAAGATGATATCCTAAGAAGTCTCTAAGTCTACCAATTCACCATCAGCAAGGCGTGTACTATGTAAAGTTATTCTGGCGGTAAAAGAAAAGCTGACACCGTGTCCATGTGTCACATTTGTCAAGCCGCTTATCATGAGCTGAACCATGAACGGTATTACAATGAAAGGACTGTATCTATTATAGTCAATTCAAAGAGGTGCTTAAAAAAAAATACATAAATGTGCAAAATTACAGTATGTTGTATAGAAAGTTTCAAACTTACTTCAGCTTAAAGTTGTGTAAACTTGCAACACTAAGAGATTAAATGAAGCGACACCTTTTGTTTATATTACATACCCTGAGTTCTGAAGAGTCATTACCACTATGTTAGAGGGCCGAAGTACTTTAATAACTGAACAAATTTTATCAGGAGCTATACCTGTAAGTGTGTAGTCATTGTAAGAAGAATGTGTGTATGTATACATATATATGTCTGTGTTTATATATGGACATATCAACATCGCAGGGGCGCCGCGTACGCCCCCTGCTGCGTTTAGTATCGAATGTAATGCTCCACCCCTCCCACCCACGTGTCCCTATTTTAGGGTGCTCTTTAAAACTAATGTAGGCGTCATAGTGTTCACGGGGGTGCTCCAGGACACCTGACCGCCAGGGCGCCGGAGACACCCTTTGTTCCACTTTGACAGTAGAATCAAGTAGTACCCCTCCCGCCACATCCCCACTCAAGTGCAGGATGTTTAATCGACATAGCTGGGATATTTAACATAACTGGGATATCTAACGTAGCTGGGATATACAACAAAGCTGGGATATACAACAAAGATGGGATATCCAACATAACTGGGATATACAACATAGCTGGGATATACAACAAAGATGGGATATCCAACATAACTGGGATATACAACAAAGCTGGGATATACAACAAAGATGGGATATCCAACATAACTGGGATATACAACATAGCTTGGATATCAACATGTTTTAAACCTAATCGGCTGTTAAAGTAAGATATGTATTTTTATGGCCTGAACAGGGCCTGGCGGGAACGGCCAGTATCAAATGAAACCAATGTCCATAAAAATATTTTTTATTTTTTTCAAAACATAATCAAAGTACAAAATGCATTCTATGTTACATAAAAAAAAACAAATATGTAATACAGCATGACACCACATAATTGCCGAACACCTCCCTATACAATGTGCCTCTAGTATCCTTTGGAAAAGTCGAGTTTGTTAAGTAATTCTTCGCCTTTGATGTACCTGGTCAAGTTTTCTACATAGTTCTCTGCCACAAACTGCAGAATATAATACAACGAGATTAGAGTTACATTTGCTGAGTAGTAGTTTAACTAATTAAAATTAAAGCTAATTAAAGTGGTTAATGATTAAATGATTAAATGGAAATCCAAAGACGATTCCCGTAACGAATACTGTTCAAAGAAAAACAAAAACTTTAACCAATAGTTTCTCTGGTAGTTAGCAATAACATTAAGTAGTTGTTTTTTTTCTTAAGAGTGATCAGTCGTAGTTTAACCACAGCATCACCTTACATCACCACCTTACATCACCACCTTACAGCAGCATCTTACATCACCGCCTTACATCACCGCCTTACAGCAGCATCTTACAGCTTCACATTACATCACCAGCTTACATCACCGCCTTACATCACCGCCTTACATCACCGCCTTACATCACCGCCTTACAGCAGCATCTTACAGCTTCACATTACATCACCGCCTTACATCACCGCCTTACATCACCGCCTTACATCACCGCCTTACATCACCACCTTACATCACCACCTTACATCACCACCTTACATCACCACCTTACATCACCACCTTACATCACCACCTTACATCACCACCTTACATCACCACCTTACATCACCACCTTACATCACCACCTTACATCACCACCTTACATCACCACCTTACATCACCACCTTACATCACCACCTTACATCACCACCTTACATCACCACCTTACATCACCACCTTACAGCACCACCTTACATCACCACCTTACATCACCACCTTACAGCACCACCTTACAGCACCACCTTACATCACCACCTTACAGCACCACCTTACAGCACCACCTTACATCACCACCTTACAGCAGCATTTGCATGCCCACGTCACTACCCGACAGTTACATAAAACAGCCAACAGCAGCTGTTATCTGACTACTAACCGTGGCAGCGTTCTTGGCGATGCAGCTGTTGTGGGGGGTGATGATCACCCCGGGGAGGGTCCACAGACGGCTCGTGGGTGGCAGCGGCTCCTGGCTATGTACGTCCAACACGGCTCCACCTAGCCAGTCTTGGCTGGAGGACAGGCGAGACACAAGATTTGAGACACGAGACTTGAGACACGAGATTTGAGACACGAGATTTGAGACACGCACGAGACTTGAGAAACTTGAGACACGAAACTTGAGACACGAGATCTGAGACAACAGACTTGAGACACGAGATTTGAGACACGAGATTTGAGACACGGATTTGAGACACGCACGAGACTTGAGACACGATGTTTTGAGATACGAGACATCAGACGTACGACACAAAACTAATTCCAAAACTCAAGATTTAAAAAATGAGACATTTTGTACATAAATTAAAATCCATGAGAAAATACAGCAAGACAAAGCGAGCCCACGGTGAGCTATTGTTGTATAGACTGCTATGTTTACACCTGTCATTAATGGACCAGTTTATATTTACCTAATTGCTTGCACAAGACTGTCTTCGTCTATCAGGTCACCGCGACCTAGATTTATGAGCACCGTTTTCTAAAGAGGAAAAGGTATATATATATATATTTATATATATATATATATATATATATATATATATATATATATATATATATATATATATATATATATATACTTATCTATGTAAATGTGCATGTATAAGTATAGATGATTTAATAAGATGACGTGACGTCAACAAATGATGAGGTGGGAGCGGTTTGAGTTACGTCATACGACTAAGTTAACTCTACAAGACATTGCCCCAAGGTTAAAAACAAAACGTGTTGTTCCGGTAATCGAATTGAAAGTGACGTCTGGGCAATTACCAACTGGGCAATTACCAACTGGGCGATTATTAACTGGGCGATTACTAAGTGGTCGATTAATTGTGGTTGCTAAAGGTATTTTTTGTGTTATTAATCAGTCTTTTTGAACAAGGCTCAAATAATCGCTACCTAACAGCTACCTACCCTCTACCTACCCTCTACCTACCAGCTACCTACCCGCTACCTACCCTCTACCTACCATCTACCTACCAGCTACCTACCAGCTACCTACCAGCTACCTACCAGCTACCTACCCTCTACCTACCCTCTACCTACCCTCTACCTACCCGCTACCTACCAGCTACCTACCAGCTACCTACCCGCAGACGACACGGCTGCAAGACGTCACCAGACAAAAGTCCCCGGGTCTCGGGTGTGGAGGGTAGGACCGTCACCAGGTAGTCGGATTGTTCTAGAACCTCGGGGAGTCGAGACATGGGTCTGTATGGGGTGGGGGGCGTCATTTTAAATAGCGGTAAATACAACGAAACAATAAAAACAAAGAACACATTTGTATCTTTCTTAAAATGGTGAGATTCATCTCTTAAGAGCGGACAATTAAAAAGTTAACAAAACAAATCATTCACATTTTTTCTGATGTATTATGTTAAACTTTTAAGCAGTGACTTTATTAAATTTTTAAAAAAATGAATGATTAACCAAACACAAGCCAGCTGATCAGCTCGAAATGACAAACATACTGACAAACATACTGACAAACAACTGGCGGACAAACAATGGCCAACAGTTTAATAGCCAACAATTTTATGGCCAACAATTAAATGGCCAACAATTTAATGGCCAAAAATTTAATGCAACAATTTAATGGCCGATAATTTAATGGCCAACAATTTAATGACCAACAATTTAATGGCCAACAATTTAATGACCAACAATTTAATGGCCAATAATTTAATGGCCAACAATTTAATGACCAACAATTTAATGGCCAACAATTTAATGACCAACAATTTAAAGACCAACAATTTAATGGCCAACAATTTAATGGCCAACAACCAACTGACCAACAACTAACTGACCAACAACTAACTGACCAACAACCAACTGACCAACACCAACTGACCAACAACCAACTGACCAACAACCAACTGACCAACAACCAACTGACCAACACCAACTGACCAACAACCAACTGACCAACACCAACTGACCAACAACCAACTGACCAACAACCAACTGACCAACAACCAACTGACCAACAACCAACTGACCAACAACCAACTGACCAACACCAATGACCTCTCTAAAATCACGTGACACCGCACCTACCTGACATGATCGACATATGGGCTGGGGGATTCACCAGACTGGAACCTCCTGTCTGTGACACCTGCCCACACCTGCATGCCAAAAGACTTGCAGACACGCGCCACTGGGGAGTGAGCAGTAAAACCAGACGTTAGCGTGCATGTCGTCACAGGTTGGGGTTCACGACAAGGGGTAGGTTACTCTCTCAACCTCCACCTTCTAACTTCACTGACCGGGTAATTAATGTATAAAAAAATGACTGGAGTTCAAACTCAGGCCCTTCACGTTCATCTACCACTTGATCCCTCCACCACTCCGCCCCTAGAAGCTCGAAAACAGTTGTCAAAATTCCATTGCTATGCAGGTCAAAATGTATAACAAAAACAATTCTTCTACCTTCACGCCCAAGTTCACCAACTCCCAGAATACCAACAGTTAATTCGGTCAACATCCTGTATGGTGGCGCGCACTTCCTATAAAAGGAAATAAAACAATATGGCGTAATTTAAGAGAGGAACATACCAAGAGATTGTCAAACCGTTGGGATTAGCTGAAGGTGCTGACCTCAAATTATCGAGTTCGGGTCCGTAAATGACTCGAGAAAGGAAAAAAAAGTTCTATGTAGGGATAGAAACAAATGAACTCTGTATATCAGTTTTTCTTGCAAACATTTTTCTCCGGGCGGGGGCCTTGAAACTTTCTGGAGGGGGGATATAAATTTTCGGGGGGGGGGGGGGGAATCGGGGACGTTAGATGTCTTCGTGGCGATGCATGAAAGAAACTCTGCTTTTTTGTGTATATCGTCAGACGAGAGGTAAATTGGTAGATTGACAATCTTGTAATTAGCTGATGCTATATGTAATTAGCTGATGCTAGCTGTAATTAGCTGATGCTAGCTGTAATTAGCTGATGCTAGCTGTAATTAGCTGATGCTAGCTATAATTAGTTAGTGCTGGCTGTAATTAGCTAGCTGTAATTAGCTGATGCTAGCTGTAATTAGCTAGCTGTAATTAGCTGATGCCAACTGTAATTAGCTAGCTGTAATTAGCTGATGCTAGCTGTAATTAGCTGATTAGAAGTAAGGTTAAAACATAAGACATGACACTCACTTGTCATAAGAACATTTTTTCTGAGCCTCCCACGAAGCTAGGAAGTTCCGCTCACGTGACAAGATCTGACCAATCACGTACTCGGCCATCATCTGACCTCTCTGGATAAAATTGGTCCTCGTCTGCTGAAACCCTGGCGCCAACTGAAATATCAGTCTGATGACGTCATTGCTCATCGGAAATTGTATTTCGTAATCAGTCTGTAACGATACCCAACTGGCTACATTTTGGAAACGTAAAATAAAACGTAACTGACTATTTACCTTAAGTCTGTCAATGTTCTTAAAGAAATAATCAACCCCTGAAATAGAAACACTCGTTAATAAGAATAGGCAAGTTGTATTGTATACACATTGTAAGAGTAAAATGTTCCCCACTAAGTAGTTATGTCTAGATTGAATATTTTGGTCTGTATGCGCTTTACGTCTTACAGTCTAATGTATTTGTCTGTTTCTATGTTGTTTTTGTTTATGATGTATGTGTATGTTTGTATTGGTGGGCGAAGTGTCAGAGCTATACATTGTTGAGTACTACAAGTGTTGTGAGGGGTCATCAGGTACATCTTCTATTCGCCAAGACCACACATCCTGTGTATGGGTATGAGTGGGTTCATGAGGTGTGTGTGTTGATCCGGTGTGTGTCTTTTTCATTCAGAACGTGGTGCTAAATGTGGAAATGCGTGCTCACGGCTAACACACTCTAAGAGATCACATAACAAAACATCACATACCCAGACACCCCTCACATCAAGGCAACACACACATCAAGACACCAAACACATCAAGACTCCCCACACTACATCGCACACATCAAGAAACCACACACAGCAATACACCCACACATCAAGGCACCACATACATCAAGACACTCCACACATCAAGACACCACGCACCTAGAGGCACCAAGACACTGACTCCACACATCAAAACACTTAGGCATCACACACCACAAACCAAGACACCACACACAAAACACCTTATTCAAATACACCAGACACAAATAAACCACACACAGACACCACATCAAAAACACCCAGACACCACACACATCTCTCCCTTCTCCAGGTCCCGACTGCCCCAATTCCTTACAAGGTCAGACTAACCTGCTGACGTCGTCTGTGCCCATTTGACCTTGTTGTCCGGCCTTGAAAGAAACTCCACGACATTTTTGATCTGGCCCACCATATACTCTATGACCTCACCATCTTCATCTGTCCAAGAAATAATTTTTACCGTCAGAAGATCGACTAATTACCAAATTTTATTTAATTATCTCGCTAAACCGGTCCAAGTTAAGAGTTTGAGTTTGTACTTAATTAGCCCGTAATTAAACGTCTTTGAAAACGATTCACCGAATGAACACAGTTGGGGGAGAAGATAAACTCTCCCTTCCGAAAGGTCGGACTATTTTATTGGTTCCTGTTACTACATATTTTAAATTCTTCACAAATGGTTACCTACCAAATTCCTACACAATTCTACATTTTTTCTTGACCTATTTCTAATGTTGCCGAAATTGGCGTGATCACAGACACGTACATTTAAGGTGTTGACAAGGCCCACCTTCTAGGCAAGCCCATGGCAATATTTTGAAAGAACCCACCTCATGGACACGCCCCACCTTTATATACGCCCATGACAAGATTTTGATACGACCCACCTTCTGGACACGCCCATGATGTAGGCAGAGTTTTCACCTGGACGTCCAGCCCATTGAGTTGACCTTTGATCTTCTCACTCAGACCAATCATCGGTGACATGACGTGGATAACTCGGACCTGGTTTGACATCTGGGGGAGGGAGGGGGGGGGGGGGAGGGGGAGGGGATTGTTTGTATTAGACTGGTCTCGCTGAATCTAATTGGGCGAATATCCACATAAAGATGGACACAAACTTAAAAATGGATATGACTTTGCAAATATGAAAACGACTGGAGAAATATAAGGTGAAAAATGAACACGCACGATTAAACTCTTATTTTTAAAAATGGACATAACTCTGCTAGCATAGAAAATAAATACAAGTTAGAATTCGACAAGATATGTTTGTGGACCTCTAAACAGTCTAGTTTGCATCATACGCTCAGCCAAAATATTTCTTTAGAAATTAATTAAGCATCAAATTAAGTCAAATTCGATGCCAGATTGCATTGATATGGTTATTGACCCACGTACCTAGTTTCAGAAAAATTGGTTTGTTAGTAGTGGTCGAAATTTCACTCGGCAGTTTCAATCCATGGCGAAGTGCGACTAAAGTACGACATGGGAAGCAACTTAAATAAAAACTTGTAAAAACAACCTCTAAACGTAGATTTTTTATCTAAACACATCTCGAACTCTAATGTTAACGGTAAGTGAAGGAATCTAATAAACGTGGTACTGCTTATCGATGACAACTGATATTTTACATTTGTCCGTTCATGATTGTAATTTGATATGATCGATTCTACTTCATATACAATATTTTCTTTCCTTTAAATCGATCACTTACCATTCACCCGTCGCTCTACTGTTCTATAAACACAACTATAAAAGCATGCTTTGGATCAGTTAATCCAGCATCATTTTGATTCAACTAAAGATGATATCCTATGAAGTCTCTAAGTCCACCAATTCACCATCAGCACAGCGTGTACTAAGTAAAATTATTCTAGCGGTAAAAGGAAAGCTGACACCGTGTCAATGTGTCACATTTGTCAGGCCGCTTATCATGAGCTAAAAGCTGAACGATGAACAGTATTACAATGTAAGGACTGTGTTTATTATAGTTAATTCAAAGAGAGGTTAAAAAACACAATAAATAAATGAGCAAAATTAATGTATGCTGTGTAGAAAGTTTCAAACAACTTACTTCAGCTTAAAGTTGTGTAGACTTGCAACACTGGGAGATGGAATGAAGCGACACCTTTTGTTTATATTACATACCCAGAGTTCTGAAGAGTCATTACCACTATGTTAGAGGGCCGAAGTACTTAAACAACTGAACAAATTTTATCAGGAGCTATACCTGTAAGTGTGTAGTCATTGTAAGAAGAATGCGTGCATGCATACATATATATGTATATGTTTATATATGGACATATAGACTCTATATGTCAATAGCGGTGTCTATATATTTTATGGGTTTTATCAACACGTCGTTATTGAATCTTAGTTGTCGGGGCGCGGATTTGTCCATACCGTGACGCCCCTGGGTGTGATGTTTGAACGCCTTAAGTGTATCTTTATCACCCTCCGCAAGGGTGAGGTAGAATACACGTCTGCGTCCGCCCAGAGGTCAGGGGCGTTGTGTGGTGCTCTGTGGGTTACACTCTCTCAGGGGCGTCGTGTGGCGTTCTCAAAAGCTACAGCCTACACCATCTTAGGGGCGCGGGTGCGTCACCTTCAGTGGTTTAGTATCAAATACAACATAGCTGGGATATACAACATAGCTTGGATATACAACATAGCTGGGATATTTAACAGCTGGGAAATCTAACAGCTGAGATATACAACATAACTGGGATATCTAACATAACTGGGATATCTAACATAGCTGGGATATCTAACATAACTGGGATATCTAACATAGCTGGGATATCTAACATAGCTGGGATATCTAACATAGCTGGGATATGTAACACAGCTGGGATATATAAAACATAGCTGGGATGTCTAACATAGCTCGGATATCTGACATAGCTGGGATATCTAACATAGCTGGGATATGTAACACAGCTGGGATATATAAAACATAGCTGGGATGTCTAACATAGCTCGGATATCTGACATAGCTAGGATATGTAACATAGCTGGGAAATGTAACACGGCTGGGATATATAAAAACATAGCTGGGATGTCTAACATAGATGCCATATCTAACATAGCTTAGATATGCAACATAGCTGGGCAGCCTTACGCCCCTTGAAGCAGCCCTCAAACATGTAACAAAAGCCCTCACTGACAGAAGGACAGATAACATTGACAAGTTGATCACGGTCGAGTGTCCAGTGGTTCTCAAAGTTTACCAGAATATGCCCGAGAGGGCAAAAAGTGCTTAAAATCATCAGATAAAGTTTAGCTGTTGTTAGTAAAGAATTAAAAAACAAAACAAAAAAAATTTAATGATGTATTGCCGTGGTGTTTATATATAGGCTATTACAAACATACAGTACAACATTGACTTATGTAACGATGGCGTGTGCTATGTGGGGGTGTAGCTAATGTTTTGTGATAGGGATGGTTTCCCCCGGGCCTTATTGTAGGTGGGGGAAGACAAAGTTGGGTGCCCACCACCGGAAACAGATGTGTGTCAACGCCACTATAAACCAGAGTGTGTGGAAAATGTAAACCGGTTGCTAGGCAACAAGTGTGAAACAATGTCAAATGTTAGGTTTAGCAAAAACCTTCAGAAAATATGAAAATAAAATAAAAACAAAGCGGAACATGGAGTTGTTTTTGTATCTTTTAGTTTTATTGAGAGTTCAGAATTAAAATAATGTGTTAGTATGTGTAGCCGTCAAGCTGTGCAGCCGTCAAGCTGTGCAGCCGTGCTCGGCTTGAGCCATCACAGCTAGTCCAGTTGTATGCAAGCCATCTGGGTGCAGATCAAATTTCCGGTATCTGAACATCTGCAGGTGTTGCAGTCACCTGACGGCACTGCCTCACCTGCCCGGTACACCTGGTTAAAGAATACAAACAGGTGTATCATACAGACAGGTGTATCATACAGACAGGTGTATCATACAGACAGGTTTATCATACAGGCATGTGTATGATACAGACAGGTGTATAATACGTACAGGTGTATCATACAGACAGGTGTATCATACAGGCAGGTGTATCATACAGACAGGTGTATCATACAGGCAGGTGTATCATACAGACAGGTGTATCATACAGACAGGTGTATCATACAGCCATGTGTATGATACAGACAGGTGTATCATACAGCCTGGTGTATCATAGAGACAGGTGTATCATACAGCCAGGTGTATCATACAGGCAGGTGTATCATACAGGCAGGTGTATCATAGAGACAGGTGTATCATACAGCCAGGTGTATCATAGAGACAGGTCTATCATACAGGCAGGTGTATCATAGAGACAGGTGTATCATACAGGCAGGTGTATCATAGAGACAGGTGTATCATACAGCCAGGTGTATCATAGAGACAGGTGTATCATACAGCCAGGTGTAGAGACAGGTGTATTAAATTAACAGGTGTATCTTAAATACAGCTGTACACCGCTTAATAGGCTGGTGGCGTTATGGGGTTGGTATAAAAGTGACCTTCACAGTGCTCGGCCTAACAACCTTGACCTAACAGAGCTGGTCTCTAGGTCACTATGTTGACTGACAACCCAAACAGATGAGCCAGAGTTCTTCCCAAGTGGTGATCGGCGTGTTTGAATACGGAGCGTTCTGGCGTTCATAAGACGAGTTTTTTGTAATGTAACGCCCTGTGCTTGCTGACGCCCTGACTTAGTGACGCCCTGTGCTTGCTGACGCCCTGACTTAGTGACGCCCTGTGCTTGCTGACGCCCTGACTTAGTGACGCACTGTGCTTGCTGACGTCCGGACTTAGTGACGCACTGTGCTTGCTGACGCCCTGTCCTTAGTGACGCCCTGTACTTGCTGACGCCATGTCAGTAAAGTGAAGCCCTGTTTTTGGTGGCTAAGTGAGCCTGGTGACGCCTATTTTAATGTTAACTTTCACATTTCCCCAGGCGTTTGAACTTTACAACTGTAACTCCTCTCCCCCACCTCCTCAACCAAAAAACTATCATTAATGAATCCACATTTTTATTTTTTGGGTCACATCTACTTTCTAATGAATGAAAACTCAGATGAAAATATTCTCAAAGCTAACTATTGTACGTTGTTCGCCTTCCCGTTGTTCTCACAAGTCGGCTCCTCCACCACCAGTCTCAGGCACGCCATTAAGGTGCACATAACAATCCCGGGGCTTGCACATCTGCAGGTGTTGCAGTCTCCTGATGGCACGGCATCACCTACCTGGTACACCTGCATTAGAGAGACGGAGAAGCACGTCAGAAATCACATTCTGAGGTTGACCCTTTATACAATGTATAGATGTCAAATATCACATTCTGAGGCTGGCCCTTTATACAATGTATAGGAAAACTATCAAATCGTCCGCTTGATTTCTTCCACAGATGTTGCAAAGGTTGATTCGTGCTATGTCACGATTTACTGTTTACAAAAATCACGGCGACTAACTAGTTGAGAGATTAATAATAGTTAGATCGATACCTTATTGATCACAAGGCTATTTTAGTGAGTATTTTTTAAATAATATACATTGTTGTTTTTTTTTTCATTAATATCATACAAACATATGCACTGTACTTAACATGCCAACTGGATGTCAATTTAAAATGTTGCTTTACTTTTAAATTTTACAACGAAGTGGATTATTTGTAAGGGACTTGATCGAAAAAGGAAAAAAACAGTGATCAGAAACTAGATAATAATAAAAGTGAGTACCTTCCCTCCTTTGGTGCACGTCACTCGTTTAGATTGTTTATCGCTGATTGATAAACCCGAAGTCACGCAGTTCACAATGAAGATGATGATTAGAGTTGACATTAGATTCATGATGACGGGGCTCTAAGAAATCTTTCTGCTGCAAGTGTTGATGTGGTCTGTAGAAAGAACAAGACAAATCCGTTTTTACATCTAGTGGTCAAGAAAGTAAATCTCATCAGTGAAACTCGTTGAAATTAATCGGCAAAACGGAAAGCAAGGCAATGAAAAAATTAACGGTTTATCACTATTACGTCCCTAAAAAAACATCCTTAAATTTTTATTATGGCAAATCAGCAAAGGATAATTAAATTCAATCGGAAAAATGATAATTAAGTCACAGTCAATTGTAACTACGTCCAGTCAGAAAAAAATCATCTAATTAGTCAGTAAAACATATTTAAAGTCAATCATAAAATTTACAAATAAACATACACAGGTAAATTAATTATGGTATGACCCTCTTTACACTAATTACCTTAAAGGTAGCTTAAGAATACCTTACCACAAATATGTTTCACTGAGCTTAATCTGCCTATGTATCACCACTGTATGTTCATACACGGCACTTTTATACAAGTAAAGGCAGACTTTTTAAGGCGAGGTTTGAAATCACACGCTAGACACATATACTGGGAGCAAAATATACCGTTTCAATTTGTTTTTCTCTAATTAAAAATCACAGCTTAGTAAAACAAAAATAGTATTAGCTAAAGACTGGAATAGAAAACTTTGATTGTCCAGGGATTTTTTACAAGCAACATGTGTCTAACGCATACAATACTTGAGAGGTAATATTTGAGAAGGTTATTTTTTAATTAAAATATGTTTTTAACTTACATGCACTGGCGGAGCGAGGTCGGGTGTCATATAGTGCGGTAGGTTAGGGTGTCACATGGTGTGGTAGGTTAGGGTGTCACCTGGTGTGGTAGGTTAGGGTGTCATATGGTGCTAGGGTGTCTGATGGTGTGGTAGGTTAGGGTGTCATATGGTGTGGTAGGTTAGGGTGTCACCTGGTGCTAGGGTGTCTGATGGTGCGGTAGGTTAGGGTGTCATGTGGTGATGCGGTAGGTTAGGGTGACACATGGTGTGGTAGGTTAGGGTGGCACATGAAGTTAGGGAGTCACGTGGTGTTAGGGTGTCACATGGTGTGGTAGGTTAGGGTGTCATGTGGTGGTGCGGTAGGTTAGGGTGACACATTGTGTTAGGGTGTCACATGGTGCGGTAGGTAGGGTGACACATGGTGTTAGGGTGTCACATGGTGTTAGGGTGTCACATGGTGTGGTAGGTTAGGGTGTCATGTGGTGGAGCGGTACGTTAGGGTGACACATGGTGTTAGGGTGTCACATGGTGTGGTAGGTTAGGGTGACACATGGTGTGGTAGGTTAGGGTGACACATGGTGTTATGATGTCACATGATGTGGTAGGTTAGGCTTTGGTTTATGAATACTACACTATTAATTTCAAGATATTTTATTTTTCGTTAGAGATGCCTCAATTAAAAGCAAATTGTTTACATCAAACCGTTTATAATTGTTATTGTTAAATTATTATGTACTGTTCTTTAACCAGCCCACCTCTGATCACGTGACCTATGCACTCACAGTGGCACCTATATAGGGCCTGCTCATTGGGCCCCGAACTCGCCCTAGATTTCCCACAATTTATTTTTAGATTGAACGCGTATTAAACATGTCCAACGCATGCGCAAACACATGCCCCAAGTTTAGTTGGCACGTGCTGCCATCTGCATGTTAAGGTCGGAAACTTTTCAGACCACCCATGTGGGTTATGTGACCCTGAATTACTGCACCGGAATATAACGTCACTACACTCTACATAATGACGCGACTAGTTTGCCTAAAACTTTTTTTTTCTATCAGCAATGATCCCAAAAATTCCTATATGACTACGAAAGTATTTGACAGCTTTTAACAAAATCGATGTAAATTTAAATTTTGTGGACGAAACAAATAATTTCTTTTGTATTAGCCACGGTAGAAGATGGACGCGGTGGTTTTCTGTTTGTCTGTCCGCGCCTATGAACAATTTGGATACCTGGCGATTCACCGGGTGCTAATGGACTTGCCCAATTTAAACATCGCTCACCGTTCGTTCAACCCAGCATTGGCTAAACTGGGTTCGAAAGTTACAGACGGAAATCGTGATATCAAAAATCGCTAGCTTGCTATTGTAGAGTTGACCATGATGAAGATGATGCTAGTCCTGATCAGTTGTGTCTGCTCACTGTTGACTTCCGCTGCTGCGCGCGCACCGGAGACGACGTTTTTGGCATATGAACAGCTCAGGCGGGACGTGCTGAATCGGACAACCGTTGTGAACCAGATCCCTGCCGGGTTCATGAACACAACAGGTCGCCCCTACCCGATGTCCATCGGGCTTTTACCCATTGACGTCATCGAAGTCGATGACATTAAGCAGGTAACTCTCTCATTGTCTCATCATCCAGGTAACTATCAACTTTCCTCAACTTTCAATGGACACCAGCGAGAAAAGTCTCAAAGGTATTTGAGAGGTCCATAAATTAATTTTAAAATCTTGCACGGCGTAGTTACAATTAATATGGTTATAAAATCCTGTCTGTCTGGGTTTTTTTTCGGACTTTACTAAAGATTGGATGTATTTGATGTTTTTAATATTTTCGGTAAACTAAATAATTTTTAAAAAAAAAAAGCAGAAACAATTTAGTTTTCACGTGTAATGGCGACATAAACAATAGCATCCTGCTATTCGATAGGCCGCCACAAATTTTATAGTACACATTGTAAGCTAAAAATAGAAAAACTAGGTCATGGTGTTTAAATTTGCATTGTTATTTAAAAACCTGATCTGCAAAGTTTTGTAAACAAAAAAACTATAAAGTGGGGCTGTCAGAATTCGATCACGGAGTTCCTGTACAGCCAATCAATATTTGTCTTACGAAAGTGAAACATCGGGTTATAACTTAGGCTTGATGAAAATAAATAGAAATGTAGCCTTAAACTCAACAAATTATTTTCAAGTTCTCTGGATCTGCAACTTGTATAGCATTGATTCTAAAAATATTAAATTTCTGAATTAATTTTAGGCTTAAGTTTTTAATAAAATTTTATCTTTTATTATTTGTATGGTCCTAAATCTAAAAAAGCACATTTTTATTCCATGTCAACAACGTTACGGAAGGATTTTCGTCAACTCACAGGTGTCCATTTCCTCAAACCCTGACGCTTTTCTACCGGACCAAATCGTTTTTCCAAACCCCAAAGTAAATGTTTTCTTACACCACGACTTGAAAAGTGCCATTAACGCGACAAAACTAAAATAAAATCTATCATCTAGCAAACGCATTTTTACAAGCGTGTATTGAACTTAACTCATATCATTGTCTTTTATATACGTACTCGCTTCGTCGTGTGTCGAAACATGCTAACTATCCCCAGTTGTAACCCATCTTTCTTGTGCTAGTTTCTCCAACTGTCAACCCATCTTTGTTGTGCTAGTTTCTCCAACTGTCCCCAGTGGTAACCCATCTTTCTTGTGCTAGTTTCTCCAACTGTCCCCAGTGGTAACCCGTCTTTCTTGTGCTAGTTTCTCCAACTGTCCCCAGTGGTAGCCCATCTTTCTTGTGCTAGTTTCTCTAAATGTCCCTTGTGGTAACCCATCTTTCTTCTCATGCTATACTCTAGATCACCTGTCTTTTTAAGTCTCTTTTCATCTTGGTAATTCTCGATGATATCCCTCTTGTAACTATCCATAACGTATAGTAAATAATTTCAGTTTCTGACCGTTGTCGTCTACATAAACCTGACCTGGGCCGAACCCACCTTGCAATGGACACCAGCTGACCACGAGGACATAGACACCTTGTACCTGCCCAGCAACCTCCTGTGGACGCCGGAAATCACCGTCGCCATCGGAGACACCCAGACCCTCAATCTGGAACTGGACGACACGCTGATAGTCAGCTCCAGTGGTACGGTATCCTCCCAGCGCCAGCAGTACCTGACCTTCCGGTGTGAGATCAACTTCCTTAAATACCCCTTCGACTCACAGGCCTGCTACATCGGGTTTTATCCCAGTAAAACGCACCCCAGTCCGTACTTTACCATCACGACACTCCCATTGAACTTTAAGCGCCTGTACAATGTGCCAGGAGAATGGGAACTTGTCGACTACGGTCATGAAATGGTCGACACGAACTCATCCCTCCCTCTCACCGTGTACCCTCGGTACAACTTCATCCTACGGCGTCGGTATCTCTACTACGTCATCACCATCATCTTCCCCCTGGTACTGACCTCCCTCATGATACCCCTGGTCTTTCTCATCCCGACCCGGACGGGGGAGAAAATTTCATACCTGGTGGCTATTTTTACATCGACGGCCATCTTTCTCAACTTTATCAGGTGAGATTTCATTCCGGTAATTTGTTACGTGACGGTATCTTTTAGTATAATTTGTGTGACGCTGGGTCTACTCTTGTGTCGCAATATGTATTTCATGTAAATAACATATTATGTATATCATGTAAACCCTCTGCTGTTGTCAGTGTGGTCATGCCGAGAGGACTGACCTCTCTACCCTACCTGGCCGTTCTGCTGGTTGAGGTCATGTTTGAAGGACTGGCCGCCATTTTCGCTGCGCTGGCTGTGGTCACCAAGTTTGATGAAGAGGAGCACGTAAGTTACATTGTTTTAGTGTCACGTGATCAGCTGGTTATCGTTTGCATTTTGGTATTGAGTTGGGAAAATGTGTCTGCTTAATGAAGCTTTTTTTTTACTATTAATTTTTTATTATTAGAATTATTAACAAATGGTGTGCGTTTGTTTCTGCGTGCGTGCGTCCATGCTTGTTTGCGTATGCTTGTGTGTACATACTTGCGTGTATGCGTGTTTATATGAATACTAACTGTATACCCGTGCTCCGCCACGGTAAATCTTTTTTAAATGTACCAACTTGGGAACATAATTAAAATAAACACAATACAAACACAACACAAACGCAACACAAATGAAACACAAACACAACCGCAAACAAAACACAAACACAAACACAACAAAAATACAACACAAACACAACACAAACACAACACAAATACAACACAACGCAAACACAACACAAACAAACACAAATATAAACACAATAGTAAACACAAAAGAAAACACAAACACCACACAAACACAAAAGAAAACACAGACACAATGCAAACAAACACAATGCAAACACAAACGAAAACACAAACGCAACACACAAACACAACACACAAACACAAAAGACAACACTCTTAAATTTGCATTCACATTTTGCTAATTACATTATTGCAACAATAATTCCCTCATGGAGGTCTTCAGAATTTGCATTCACATTTTGCTAATTATATTATTGCAACAATAATTCCTTCTAGGAGATCTGTAGATTTTGCATTCACATTTTTTATTACGTGAGTTGAATTTATTTTTAAATTACCTCCCTTGGAAAATTATAAAACAGTTTAATTAATTCGTTTTTTCGACCCTATTATTAAAATGTATCCATTTTTTTTTTTAGAAATCTTAACGAAAATGATATTTGACATTGTTCCTTTTAATATGTTTTAGCAATGTGCGAGTTTCTTATATTTTGTTTACGTTATGCAAAAGAGTAAAAACAGTGGCAACTATAAAATTAATTTAACTCGTTATTTAAACAAACCCTACTCTCTTCTTTATTATAAGTCACTGCGATGCAAGTAAAAAGCACGACATGTGATTTGTTTACTTTTATGGTTCCAAAATCTATAGCTTATATTATAGATGGGGTGCAAATTCTACTAAGGTATTATTAATACAAGCAACTGATTTGTAAGAATGTATACAAAAACCTATTGTTTTGGTTTCCAAAAGCACCACTAGGTCTAGATTTAAAACAAAAAAAACACCTGATCTATTTCAATTCTTTCAGCACTACAAAGAGAAGAAACTCACTAGCACGCTGCAAGCAGTGAAAGTAAGGAAAGTAGACGTCGCACCACTGGGACTTCCCAAAAAAACACCAGATGAACACAACTCAGACAAAGTCACAACAAAAAACAAACGACCGACCCTCACATCTAGACAACTGGATCGGGTTTTCCTCTACGTGTTCTTTGGCGTGCAACTTGTGTTTTTAGCTTGCTTGTTTGGTTGCACAGGCTGGATTTGAAAATTTAAGTAGTAACAGAGGATAGGGATATAGAATGGCATCGTTTAATGGTAGTTTGAGCAACGGAAAACATACTGTCAGTCACATAGAAATAGTTTTTTAAAAATATTTTAATGAAACTTTTATTTTATGGCAGTTAAAATAATTTTAATGACATTCGTCGCGATTATAGATCTACCTATTTTATTTATTTATTTTTATGTATCATTATTTATTGAATTTTAATTAAACAATGGTATTTGGCTCTTTTTTGTGTTTTTGTTGTGAGGCAACAAGACCACGCAACCCATATTTTTTTTTATTAAGCCAAATGTAATATACCCTAGAATCATGCATTGCAAACTTTATTTCTTTGTGCAGTGGTCATTTTGATCAGTAAAACTAATATTTAATATTTTTTTTATTATTATTAGAAGTATAGTATTAATAAAGAAAAAGTAATTCAAACAAACACAAAATTTTAAAAAGTAGCTATTGTATTATTATGTTTATTAAGATATATTTGTTGGTGAAGTTTATACAAAGTCGAAAATCATACACATACAAATGTCATTCATTGTTCACTTAAAGTTGTAAAATCTTTCCCGGTATCCCCAGTGTATAATTAAACGGATTATTATTTTATTTGAAAACTGTTTGAAAGTGGTCAACCTCTGTAAATCTTAAATAAATAGGGCTCTCTGGACATTTTTCCCCTCTACTCAAAGGAACACAAGCTGTACTGTTTTTTGTCCTTAATGCTATAATTTATATATAGTGAACCAACGCGTAACTACCGCCTTGCTAAAAGACAACGGGACTCCTAATGTGAGCCGAACCAAATATAATAGCTGGACGCATGAAACAGAGTATGTTTAATGTAAACAAGGAATATTTTAATTACAATAATAAATATACTTATTCCAAGAGTAAAATAATAAAATATACAGAAGTTTTAGGATTATATTTTTACTTTCTCGTATATATGAAGTATACAGAATGTCTTGTAATCGTGCAAAAAAATCGAGATTTTTGCAAATCTCGACGTTTTACACCTCCCTGAGTTGGAAAAACATAGTTTTGCAATCTTGTCCGTATGTCTGTGTGTGTGTGTCTGTGTGTCTGTGTATATGTGTGTCTGTAAACACGATAACTTGAGTACCGTTACAGCTAGGTTGATAGAATTTTATATATAAGTATTATTAATATCAAAATCGTAGATCCGTGTCAACTTTTGAGCGATTTCCGATAACCGAAAGTTGAACTTTTTCTACTTTGAATTTTTCAAAAGCCTTTAACTTGAGTACTATTTCAGATAGATAAATAAAATTTCACATGTTAGTAAAGGATCTAATTCTCTGCCTTCTGTCAAATTTTGAATAATTTCCGTTGACCGGAAGTAGTAATTTTCGTTTTATCCGATTAATCAAACAACGCATGAGAATTTATAATGTACTTATAATATTCCGCACTTTTATACACATTTTGCTTGGCGTTCGCTTTGTGCGCAATTCTTTTTTCTAAGGGATTATATATTTAAAAAGTTCAAGTAATTAAAAATCATGTCTATATCCCGAGTTGCCAGCCCCCGTAGTGTTATTTAAGAATATTCGAGAAAGTTTAGGGGAGATCACTCCCGGTTTCTTTTAAGCTACTTTGATGTCTCAAACAAAGCTGTCGTGTCAACAGGGCTGTGCGTGTTGCTGGGGTCCACATGTCGATAGAGTGGAAAGGGGCTGTAGGTGTTGCTGGGGTCCACATGTCGATAGAGTGAAAAGGGACTGTACGTGTTGCTGGGGGCGCTAAATTGAAAGTTTGTCCCCGGGCGCCGGGAAGGGTCGCTACGCCTCTGGCTACGCCTCTGGGTTCAAAACTTTTTGGCGGGCTTATTTGGACAACATCCTGTAGTTTTATACACTTTAGGCCTAATATATCATGTTGTTTCAGGTCCAAAAGTATACCCAAAAACAATAAAGAAATAAAATAATTTATTTTGTAAAATACGTTTTAATCAAAGCATAACTCAAATGTAGCTTGGAATAACGTAAATCTATTGTGTGTTTAAATTATATTAAATAAGTCTATATATTTACTGTTTTCAGCCAACAAAGCCTTAGAACACTTCGAACTCGAGGTTTAAATGAATTATTCAACAAATTCTTTTTTCGCATCAAAATCATGTTTTTGTATTTGTTAGCTTGCCTTGCTCCACCAAATCTAAGGCCCAGCTGAACCATTCTTGCTTACTTAATAAAGCACGAAAACTCCTTTGTGCAGTCAAAAGTTAAGGCAGCACCATATTTTTAAAACAACTGGTGAATTATCATTATGCCACTGGTGTCAACAGTTTATGCATGTGTTATTTGATTGAGCAGTTGAGAGAAGATCGCTAACCTTCTTATGAAAGAGACATTGCGTTGTTCAAAGTGGCTTGTTATCTCTAAAGTTTAAATTTGGGTAACTTTGTCATCCATAAATGACGTCACGCTATTTGACGATTTTTACATCCCCTCCCCTCCCCTCCGTCACAAATCCTCACAAAAAGCAAGACCCTCCCCCTCCCCACCCCCCTAAAAAGACGTCACACATCAGCCTACAACCCCCCTCAAAATTGCAGTTGAATTTTTCTTAAAAACATCGATATTTTTCCAAAATCTTGTCTGAACTCTGTCGAAATAGAGTAGTTTATTCAATTCCTATTGTAATTTATTAAAAAAGTTTTCTAAAACGCGAAATAACGACAAAAATTGTGTTTTCTAACATTGCTTTTTTATAATGCAAAAGTGTGACGTCGCACCATCTGAACCCCCCTCCCACACCCTCATCACTCACCGTCACAAAATTACCGACCCCCCCCCCCCCCTTTACGAGTGTGACGTCATTTATAGACGACCCCCAAGTAGGCTACACATAATAGATCAAGAACTTCAGTTTTGTCATTATGAATCATTCATTAAATTCATATGTCAAAGCTTGGAGATTTTCCTTCGACCATCGTAATCTCAAGTGACCCTTCCTTTTATTTCTACCAAAACAAAAAATTAAGGGAAGGGAAGGATAACTTGTTACTTCGGTCGGGGTGAATTATAATTATTGCTGAAGTTTGCATATTTTGATACTTTGGCTAATTTTCGATTTGCACCCCCCCCCCCCCTCAAACTTTCAATTTGTTTTTCCAACCCATTTTGGCGCCCCCCCCCCCCCGCGCTACGCCTCTGATCAATAGGACTGGCTGGTAAGTAGGTCACCAACCAGTTCTACGGCTCAATAAAAACTGCATGAGCCATAGAACTGGTTGGTGACCTACTTACTAGCCCTATTGCGATAGAGATCACTTTTAAAAAATTGAAATTTTAGCCAGTTAGGCCTACGTTTTATTCCATTGTATAACTTTAATTTTCCTTTCTGATCCATATTGTTTAAAAGGATTTTTTTTAAATGATGCGTTGCCCAAAGCTTTGTTTTTGTGGACCTTCGCCTTCAGCCTTCATCAAAATAATAAATTTTGCTATTTTTATTTTTGGCAACATTTCTGTACGAATATCCTGGTCCAAAATACAAAAATAAATTCGGCATTTTTTGACAGGAGAGTTGAGCTTAGATCTTCTTATAAAAGTAATAGAATCTAGACTAGAATCTAGATCTAGATCTAGAATAATCTTATTAGTAATTAGCGATTAGGCCTAAAATATTAATAAATCATATCAGCCCTTAACTCTGGCCTTAACACTGCCCCTTAACTCTTCTTAATCTGAGTAGGCCTACTTGTGTGTACTAAAGCCTTTAGTCTAAAGGACTTAAGCTAAATTAAAATTAAACTAGAATCTAGATCTAGACTAAATTTTCTTATAGGAAGTTGTTAGTGTTAGAGTGTTACTGTTAGTATACTAATAATTAGATTATCATTATATAATATATAGTAGGCCTTTTTTTTATTCACTAGACCTCTAAATATACTATCATCACGATATGTTTAAAATGATAATTTTAAGATTGACCAAGTTTTTGTCTGTCAAAATAACACTCAGTTTCTACTGTTTCAAAACATGATCCATTACATCGTTTTTACTTTTGACAATTTAGGTTCCCATGAATTAAGTTTACATCCTGTGTGTATGATGGCAGCATGGATGATCTACTGCATGTTCAGCCTTTTGCTCCCCACTTGTACTCACCAAACTGGGGTGGACAAGATCAAGTTTGAAGAAGGGAAGATGCAATATGAAGTTCTTCAGAGACAATCCGAGATGCCTAAATATGGTCATTGCTGGAGAAATGCCATGGTGCTCATCAAAAAAGAATGCAAACGGCTAACAGATGTAGCACAAACAAGACTAGCTTTAGCCTATTTAAATTGTTTCCTAGGGGTAAGCGTGTTCTAATTTTTGTGCTTTTGAACTTTGCATTCAAACCATTATTTTAGTTCATGTGTGTTTGGTTAAAAAATGTAATAGTTATAAAAATGAAGGACAAAGTAAGAAACTAATTCATAATACATTAATAACTAGTTGCCAACTGGTCAGATAAAACTAGTTTGTTCAATTCTGATTAAAACTGTGTTCAGGCAATAAAGTATAATAATGTGTGTTTTCTTCTCAGGGTTAGTTCAGGGTATACAAACACCTGTTTGATACTTGCATATTTGTAATGCGTATCTGTTGTTAAAAAAGTTTTTTTTTTCCAATGAACAGATCCAGGGCAGGCCGGGCTATGAGTGTGATGAAACCGAGGATGTATCCACTTGTGTAAGGCATATGAATGAAGTGGATCGAAGTTCATTGACCACATTCTTTACTCACACCCAAAATATTTGCTACTTCCTTCAAGCTCAAGTTTGGCAAGAAGAAACAGACATGACCATTAATAGGCTCAGTGCCACTAGCTCACAGGTTAGCTTGAATCAACATCATACTCAATGTATGTGTTTGTGTGTCTTTTTACTACTTAGAAATCGGTCTACTACATAGAAATCGGTCTACTACATAGAAATCAGTCTACTACATAGAAATCAGTCTACTACATAGAAATCACTCTACTACATAGAAATCACTCTACTACATAGAAATCACTCTACTACATAGAAATCACTCTACTACATAATAATCATTCTACTACATAGAAATCATTCTACTACATAGAAATCAGTCTACTACATAGAAATCACTCTACTACATAATAATCACTCTACTACATAGAAATCAGTCTACTACATAGAAATCACTTTGTTACATAAAAATCTGTTTACTGCAAAGAAATCACTTTACTACATAGAAATCTGTTTACCACATAGAAATCTGTTGACCTCATAGATATCTTATTACGTAATATAAATTTGTCTAAATTTGTAGGTTGCAGAACAGCTGGAGCAGTCAGAGCAGGTGCAGAGAGACATTCTTCAATCACAAAACCAGAGTCTACACACCCAGCATCAATTGCTTGTACAGACTCACAACTTGAGCAGCATTATCAACGTATCATCTCAAAGTGTGCGCTTACTGTTTGAAGACTTGAAGGTGTGCTACTCAGATTAGCTTTAAAAAGACTATCCTATAAAATTGTATAAGAATAGATTTTCTAAAATATTTTTCGTAATGTGGAAATACTTTGTTTTGTAAAAAAAAAAAAATCATTAAGAATAGTAACCATCCAATATGCTCTTAACAAATTTTGATGTTTAGTGTGTAAAGCTAGTAGACAATGTGAAAAAGTCCTGAATTTGGACATTTAAAAGACAATAAGCCACACAACATTAATACAGCAACAGTGTCTAATGTTCTCTATTTACCATCAGTATTTTTTTAATCTGTCTTTCTAGCAGTACATTTTTTTCTGTTTTTTGCAGCAGTAGATTTTTTTCTGCTTTTCCTGCAGTTGGTTTTCTGTTTTTATTTCTAAACTTTCTCTTAGGAATCAACCAAAGAACAGAAACAGATAATGGGTGCATTGTTTGATCAGCTGACCAAATTACAGAGCACCATACTGGGGGAAGTTTCTGGATTCTACTCGCTGTTCTATTATTTGTTGTCTGTACTAGTGTGTTACTTGTTGACTTCAACATCCCGCACTTCAGGTAGTAGTTTGTTTATTTTATACTTTTTTTTCAAATCTATGAAATATACAGCTCATGTATTTTAAGCAGGTTTTCTTACATACGTTTCTAGAGAATGGGGGGGGGGGGGGGGGGGGGGAAGCAGTTAAAGTATATATTTTCTACATAAATTATGTATCTTTTTTTTTTTCTGAGGTGGGGGTAATCCCCTCCAAAAGATACTTAATACAACTAGTTTCTAGAAAATTTTCAAAAATATTCTAAGTTATCCTGGAACAAGTTGCACATTTTACCCACTATCTGAATGTATGTTGGAAGTAAATCTGATTCTACCCATATAACATGGTGGGTTGAGGGAATGGGGATTATGTCTGTCACCATGTGTAACTTTCTCGTTGGACTTCAATCCTTTGATAACTAGAAGATATATTTTCTTTCTTGGTTTAATTTAAAACTAACACTTTTTTTTTCTAGTAACTGGAAACTCCACGATGTTAACTTATAAGTGGAGTTCACATTCTTTAATAAGTATTGCATCTGCAGCTTATGAAAAGAATTTTGATTGTTGAAACCAAATCGTTTGCAACTTGAGCTGGATATGTTCTGCAAGTTGTACTTCTTTAGATTCATGTTTAAAAAGTACTCATATATGTTTGTTATTGTAGGAGCTAGAATCTGGCTGTTCTTAATATGGACTGTGAATGTTATACTGGAGCAATCTCTGCTAAGATGGATTGCAAGTGTCTATCTGTCCAGTGGCACTGATAATGTAAGTTCATACAACTTACAATTTATTTCATTTATTCTATACATTGCACGTTTTATGAAGCAAGCACAGTATTAGCCATTTGTAGACAAAATATTTCGCCAAATACAAAAGGTTAACTTCTAGTGAAATAAATTTTAATGTAACCTAATAGCCTAGTCATTTATGTTTTACAATTATTTTTACGTCTATATTTGACTAGTCTAGTAACAGGTCGAATTTTTGAAAATTTCATTATAAAACAATGTTTAACTGTTAACATAGTCTCTATTAAATTTATTTGATGAATTTTAAGTAATATCACTGGGATGATTTTTTAACAGGAACAGGTTTATTGGCTTCAGAAACAGAGTCGTCGAGTCAGTTTGATTCCATCAGCTATTGTCCTCGCTGTCTGCTTCTACAACTATAAAGATATAAATATGCTGAATAACCAACTTTTGATGGAGATAAGAAAGCAGAACTCTGAGCTTTGCAAGTTTTTAAGTGGTACGCATTTTATTTAGTTTATCTGCTTTTTAAATTGGTTGATTTGCCTTTGTTAAATTTATATACTTCTTTTTTATGATGCCTTCAGTTATACTTGGTCAGAAAAAATTAACAATATTAAACACCCATTCCCTAAAGTATATTGTTCAGTTCACTGGCTCAATTCCATAGGACATGCATATCCACTTAGCTATTTTGGGTACCTGTATTGCGTCTTTGAAAAGTAAAGCGTTAGTGTTACTTGTGTTTACCTTTTTTTTTAAACCATACACTATTAAATGTGCCTATAATATTGCCACTTTTAGAATAAATATCTGCTAAGCGGATGGGGATTAGAAAGAGTTCAGTGTTTACCTTTAAATTTTTTTTCTAATATATATATATATATAGGTTCAAGTGCAATTTTACATGGGCAGCCAGCCACTGAAGCTGTTGGGACATCTAAAGTAACTGAAGGTTTGTTGAAAGTTACACCTGCTAATCTTATTTTAGAAATACCTGTTTTATAAAATTGAATGGTGCTAGCTGGCATATATAATGACTTTTTAGCCTAGAAAAATCTCAAAATCAGGGGTCTTCTATTTACATTGGGTATCATACTATAATGCAGGTATTTCTAAAACTATATTTTAATTGTAAAATTTAGGAATAGTTATACATTTTAGTGGGAAATACAGTAAATCTCACTACTTATCCCTATTTACCTAAAGATATTGGCATTAAAGTTAGATTTTATTATAGGAACCCACAAACTGAACTTTAACCACATGTATATATTTGATAAACTTATGTTTCTGTGTGTCAGCTGTGGATTCCTCTGATAGTGACTACACAAGTGACAATGGTGATGACAGTGATGATGAGTCTGACAAGACTTTCATACTGCCAGAGAACAGAGACACGGACGCAGAAAGTTTTCTCACACTAACTGATGTAATTAAATCTTAATCATCTATAATTTTTATTGTGCTTTTTTTTTCTAAATTAAACTTAGTGAAAGTAAATGTAAAATTTTAAAGCAACAAAACAAGCAGAAATAGAAATATTTTGTTATGACTCATGTTTCATATAAAATTGATGTTATATTTATATGAAAATGTAATTAGATTGCTGCATTTTACCATGTAGTCTCTAATATATTCCTTGTTAAACTTTTCAGAATGATTCAACTGTAACAGATCTTTCTTCCTTACACTCAGAGTTGAATGATTTAAATACAACCCTGTCCAGTCAAGATCAGTTCACCAACATCAGGTCATGGCTGGACAGGTCACATGGTCTAGATGGTGAGTTAATGTTGAGCTAAATTTATTGACTACACATTTCCCATGGTCAAGTTGCCAAACTAAATGTGGTCCTGATTTGGTTAAATAGTGTATTGATAAAGTTACATTGTCGAGTTGGTGATCTGTTGTTCCCAAGCTACAAATGTCTAAATTTTAAGTTTGTTCCATGTCAAGTCAAAGACAAAAGAAACTATGTTTTCTATTCACCGAATCTTAAATTCTCATCCCCGTAAAGAGTGTCACTTTTGTCAATTTTTTATGAACTTGATTAAGACTAATGAATACATTTTTTCATTAGATAAAGAGGATGTGAAACCACCTAAACATAGCTCAATTGAAGTGGGTGAAGCAATTAAGGTAAAAACATTTTTAGCATCACTTAGTATTTCACCAGTAAATTTTTATTATTGGATGATTTTAGCGCACCAGATAACCTCTGTTATGTATTTGATAATAAGCTGTTGATAGAAAAAGTATGCAGGAAATCACCACAACCCTTCCAAATTACTAAGTTCAAAGGGGTCGGCGTGGTCGAGTCGGTAAAGCTCATGGTTGCTAAGCCGAAAAGTCTCAAGTTCGAACCCTCGGGCAGATGAGGCTCGTTAGCTGGTGACAGCCATTCTTCTAGGAGAGACAACTCCAAAATCAAACAACTGCTGCCTTGTAGTTTGTTCTTGGTTGGACAAAGGCTATGGAAGCAAATCCAAAAAGAAAAGCAGGCTGAAATCGGAGTCAATGGCCTCAATGGCGCATAACCAGTTGACACGTAATCCTTCATTATGATGGAAGCATGGTCGAGTCGGTAAAAGCTCATGGTTGATAAATTCGGAAAAAAAGTCGAGTTCAAACCCTCTGGCAGATAAAGCTCCATCCCTTCCAACACTAAAAATTAAGAACGAAGAAGAAGAAGAAGACTAAGTTCAAAGTTCTCCTGTAAGAAACATCAATAACTATATGTTGTAGTACAAGACATCGTAAATTGGAAGCTATAAAGGTGTTATTGATTGTAAGCTGTAGTATAAGACTATAGTAAATATAGTAGATGAAATCTGATACCCTGTTTATTTTTATCCAAACCTTGGAAGCCATCGTTGATCAAAATTTTAAAATATGTTTTTCTGTTAGCAAAGTTGCCTAAAGGAAACTTTTGAACCTCACATTGCAAGGGGCAGTTGAAGTAAAGTTTACCAGCTTCAGTGACCTGAGTATATGAAGGGATAGTGTGGTCAATATTATGCCCAGCCACCTTTACTTTCCCTAATGTGAATCAGGTACCCATCAGAGCTGGGTTTTAAGCAACAGACTCAGGCATCTCCTATGGACTTGAGCCCCGGGTCTGAACTCAACCTTTTGGGTTAGCAGTCAAACACTACCTTTTGACCCTTTACATGTCTGCCAATCAATCCTCTGTTGGTTTGTCATAACTAGAGCACATCTTCCCTCACCCTCCACGTTTTAAGTGCCCCCCCCCTTCCAAGCTCACGAGTCAAATGCTTGCTCTATTATTCTACCTTTTTTTCTGTCTAAAAACTGTAAATATTAAATCTGTTTATTAATGCTGTATTTTTTGCTGATTTTCAGTCTACAGACGTATGAATTATCTCCCTTATTATTCAAATCCTATCCTTTCAGACATCCCCATACAATTTACGACCTCGGAAAACAGGTGCCAGCCCTAACATTAGCCCAGCCTCACGTGTTGAGTCTGCAAAAAGCTTCTCAAAAACTGTGCATCATATGCAACAAATCACAGAGAAAAACAGTCGCTTAATCAGAGCTTACATACAAAATGCTGCACAGTGTTCCTCACCTGATTCAACTATAACAGGGCCAAGAGAGAGAAATTCTATTCTTACTCTTAATGCAAGATTGACAAGGAGTAGCCCAGCTAGTTCAAGAAAATAAAATACATTGACTTTCTTTACTGTAATAATTCAACTACAACCTGAGATATTCTATTTAAGCTAGTCTATATAATTTATTTAACTCCTATTGTACAAAGTGTTATTTTTTGTATTTAATTCTGCCTAAGTGTTCAAATTATTTATGTCAACAGAATAAATCTCAAAGTTCTTACAAGTAAACTCATTCTTTTATGTAATTATTTTTAACAATGAAACTAAATTTTCTCATGTTAACTCATGCCTTAACTAACATAGCATTCACCTACGTCAAGTTTTGATAGAAGCATACACTATTTTTTACAGTTTAATTTTATACGATAGTGCTGCTGATGAATTGGTATTTTAAAAATCTTAAATTTCATGAATAGTGAATGTAATTTTTTTAACTGGCATTGCTATTTAATTTATGAAATATTCAATGTATTTGCCAATTTAATTGTAACATAATGAAGTATTACCTCAAGAAAATATTGCGCTTTGAAAATGGTGTTGTTATTACTAGGTTATTGTGCATGATTCGTGTGAATTTGAAGCTTTTTTTTTTGTTATGTGTTCTACTTCTTCTTGCCAAATAAGTGTCACTGTATCAATCATATTTAAGTTTGAGAAACATATTTCTTGAACAAAATTTCAATCACATGATGAAATGTATTTTTTAATTGTATATATGATGAAATGATGTTTATTAGTTTACAATAAAGTTTATATTTTTATAACATATTTTTTTAACTTTTTTTTTTATACTAAAATTTTTTTATATTTGTCATGAACATACATTTCTTAACATGCATCCAGTAAAAATGTGTAGGGTTATTAATACAAATATAGTTTTAAACTTTAAGTAAAGGGATAATTACTAATTTTTTTTATTTCTTATTTAGCTTAAATATATCTTATTTTATTTAAAACTTTTTTAAAGGAATTATTCAATCTCATTCTTTTCTAGTTGAGGTTTTATCTTCTAAATGTCTAACCATTGATTAGTGAATTACGAATTAATTATGAACATCCTAATTCAGGGTTAAGCTTAAGTTACCTGTGGTATGTAGCCTGAGTCAATAACTTCAGTTTTTCAACAACAAAAAATTCTTATGGTTTTATAAGATTCAACTGAAATGTTGCATACACCAGCTTGACCTAAAGAAAGTACAATAACTTAAAGCTACACAAGAACCAATGTACTGAATTCTAACTGATGACTACTACATAGTTATGGAGGAATTTCAAGAAATCGGAAGTTAAAAAAGAATCAGGTATTTTAAGAAACAGTGTTCAATTTTAAACCCTACCACCAGAGCAATACACAAACCACAAATGTCAACACTAATATACATTATATATATATATATATATATATATATATATATATATATATATATATATATATATATATATATATATATATATATATATATCTAATTAACAGCTTCTCCTTTTTTTAAAAGATCAAGTCCTAAAAATTGTTTTTTAGATCAAAGTGTAAACTTTTTCCTCTTGCACACATGTAACATTTTTTGCCAGCTCTACCTCCTCAAAGAAGACTAATGGTGAATTAGTTACTTTAACAAAATTTAGATTCTATGCATCTATATATAATTCTCTTCTTCGAGCCGTTAGAAAACAAGCTGCAAACGCTCTCCCTACCTCCCCACCCCTACATGGTTTTAGTGAGCTGTGTTCACTCTAAATGTTTACAAGCAGAGCCAACGATTTTAAACGTAGGGGGGGAGGAGGGGGGAGGGAAGGAAGGGGGGGGGGGGTTATGATCCTTAACGAGCTACTTATAGTGTTTTAAAGAAATATTTTCAGTGTCAGCGTTGGTACTGTCGAATTCACAAATTATGAATTATTGAAAATTAGAAACAACTAAATAGCGGCGTATGTTATGCCGCGGGCCGGCTCGTTTATAATAAATTGTCAAATAAACACTAAAGTAGGGCTTTTTTTTAATCTACCACCCCAGGCGTAAATAAATGATGGCAAGATTTTTTGTGGACATTTCCCCCTCCCCTACCTTAAAATGTTACAAACAGTCATACCCACACACACATACACACTCACTTTACTCTTACATACAAAATGAACTCACGATTCGACACTCATGCACACCTTACCAAATTAGCATTAAGTAATATTCTTTTTTGAAATGGCACTTTTGTTGTATAAAGTAAAAGGGATACAACTACAACCAATAACAATTTTAATATTTTGCTAGTTTGGCAGATATTTTGCCACCAGTAGTCGATAAGCTGAAAATCTTTTTAAAAGACATAGATCTAGGTCTAATTTGATTTTATTTAGTTTAAAACGCAGAAATGTGACGCCCAGTTCCCCTTTTCACACATTAATTTACACGAAAGTCCGACCTAGGCTAGGAGTGTAGCCCCCCCCCCCCATAAGATTTATATAAATTAACGCGACCATATTATTATACTATAGCAATTATTTGTTACACACCTTAGTAAATAACATATTTCATAATACTTTTTAACTGTTGATTTTTAATTTACTATAACTAAGTAATAGTAAGTAATAATTATTTTATAATGAATAATGCTTTTTTTTTTAGCCTAACTCATTTATTTAAGAAACAATGTTTAACAAGAGGAAAAGCTTTTTCACAACAGTTGATATTCCAATCACAAGGGTTGTCTTGAAGAATCAAGTCAACATTAATGACATTTCTACATGAAATTATAATACATTTAAAAAATTAAAATGTTTGATGGCATAAGTACTTTTGCCTTAATAATTTATGTTATTCTTTTGCTGATTGCACTGTTGGTGCTTACTTTCGTAGTGTTGCTTGTTCACTCTGGTCTTTTCACATCTGTTGATGATGTCGGGACGGGAAAACCACCCATAGGGCAGGCTATTATTGCTTACAGATTTCAGAAAGGACCCTACAATCAAGCAGGTCAAATATTCACAGAAGCAGCTTTGATTGCACCCGATAATAAAGCTTTGGGAATATATTATGATGATCCAAATAAGGTAGGCTGACTGGTAGATCTAGATTCTAGAATCTAGTCACTTCACTAGGCTAGGAGTAGGATTAGGATAGATCATTAGGACAGGAATTACTTTATTTTTTAGATACAAGCTGTCTAGCTAGCGATAGATATATTTTTTCAAATAACCTGCAGTGAGGTAATCAGGGTGAAAAAGGCAGAGACCAGTGAAGGGAAGAGCAGTAAAGAAAAATAAGTGAAGTAGGCTAATCACTAAGTAATAAGGTTCCCCTTCCAAGCCTGGCGGTCTATGGGGCAAGTGAAGTAGAGTTCACCTGTTTCTGTGACCTCTGTATGTGAAGGGATAGTGTGATCAGCACTATGCCCAGCCGCCTTTACTTTCCCTAAAGTGAGTTAGGTACTTATCAGAGCTGGGTGTACTCAGGGACGGTCTTTTGACTTGAAATTGGATTTGAACTAGAGACCTATGGGTAAGGCCACTCCATCCCTAAATTAAGTGAAAGTACCAAAAAGTTTACAGTAGAGCGGGCCTAGTCCTAGCATTTTGTACAATTAAGTTCAGTTAAGTTTACTTAATTTCCAATAGATTTTGGGATAAAGTGTAGCATTCATATAGGCCTAGTGTAACAAGTAACTAAGTGAAATAAAGTGACAGAAAGGTTAAGTATTAGCAGTTTAGCTAAGCTTTTGATTCAAAAATTTTCCTTACAAATACATTTTCTCATTCATAAACATGTAAGCTAACAAATAGAACTGGGGTGGCATCTTCTTAGTCTTAGGGGCTAGAATGGATTAAGTGCATTTCAGTATAATTGGGAAAAAATGCTTTAAGAGATGGGCAAATACTCAAATAGGTTTATGAGCCAGGTTACAGAACAAATTAAATTTGTATCTCAAAGTAGAACTGTTGACAGAACTAATCTAGATCTATAGCATAGCAAGCCTTAGCTTAACTAGAGTGTAGACTGTCTTGTTGTAACTTATAATTTAAGAAAGGAAAGCATGCTGTGAAGTCTGAGTCAACGGATCATATGGCACATATGTATGGGGCCTATACATATTTTTACATATACTGGCTGCAAACGGGGCAATATCAAAGTTTTTCTTTGTCAGTATAATTACCTTTACATATTAACAGTGATTCAACCAAAAGAGAAACCTTAAAATTCTATATACAGCAGCATTAGAGCTTGTGTGCTGCAGTGTGGGCCTACTTTTATGTAATTTAGGCCATAAACAAATTTATTTCTGTTGAAAAATGTGATAGATAGGAGGATTATGCAAAGGAAAAAAATATTTTGAAGCAATAAAACAAATAGTGATAAAAACTAGAATGCTGTTTATTAGTACTCTTTTGCAAGAGTTGAAACTTTACAATGAATATTTATTACTTGCATAATATTTTAATATTTATTATTATATTACACAATGAAAATGAAATCTAAGTCTTATTTACCAATCCTTTGATTTTTTAGTAACAATCTTGGTTTTAATTCCACTCAGGTTGACTCCTATAACCTGCGCTATGTTGTTGGATCTATTCTGAGTGAAGGAAATGCACCAGTGGATGAAGAGATGGTCAAGAAATTCACTGACAAAGAATTCAAAATTCTCCATCTGCCTGAGGTTGTGTAAACAAATTTTCCTTCTTGTTTTTCTGTTTAATATACACATTTAATTGTTGTTTATTTTTTAAAGAACTCCACACATATCCAGTTTGTGTATTTTAAACATTTGCTTATTTGCTTGCTATCAGGTATCGTATGCTGTTCACACCCAGTTTCCACATATAACGACATTGTCTATTCTTATTGCAACAAACAAAGCGTATCCTAGGCTTAAAGAATATATTGAGGTAAGATATATCTTCATTTTTATTTAACTTATTTGATTTCATCTGTAGGTCTACTAATCTTGTATGCATAGTGCAAAGTTCGTTGAGAAAAACATAACTATAAGCTCTGTATAGATAAATCCCTTGTATATGCCAGAATTACAAACACTTATTTTTTTAGGGTAATATTTTACAATAATCAAAACATGATTAATCAGATTTTTGCCTTTTTGAATTTGATAGTAGTGAGTTGAATGTGTCACCATATGATGTTTGAATAATCTATAATTTTATATGAAAACATATTCTTACAAAATTACTAGTTTAAAATAATTATTTGAAAAATAAAATTCTTTTAATTCTGTTTTTTTACACCTTTTTACTTTCTCGTATATACGAAGTATAGAGAAAGTCTTGTAATCGTGCAAAAAAAAAAAAAAAAAATCGAGATTTTTACAAATCTCGACGTTTCACACCTCACTGATACGGAAAAACATAATTTTGCAATCTTGTCCGTATGTCTGTCTGTGTGTCTGTGTGTCTGTCTGTCCGTGTGTAAACACGATAACTTGAGAACCGTTACAGCTAGGTTGATGAAATTTCGTATATAAGTATTTTATCAAAATCGTAGATCCGTATCAACTTTTGAGCGATTTCCGATAACCGGAAGTGGTACTTTTCCTACTTAGAATTTTTCAAAAGCCTATAACTTGAGTACTATTTCAGATAGATAAATGAAATTTCATATGTAAGTAAAAGATCTAATTCTCTACCTTCTATCAAATTTTGATTCATTTCCGTTGACTGAAAGTAGTACTTTACGCTACTTCCGATTTCTCAAAAAACTAATGTAAATTTTAAAAGTAATAATAATATTGCGCACCATTATGCGCTTTTTTATTTGGCGTTCACTTGGTGTGCAATTAATTTGTCTACGAGATTTTATTCTATTTTTAAAACTTTAAGTATTTAAAATGGATTAAAAATCATGTCTATAGCCCGAGTTCCCATCCCCTGTTATTTTATATAAGAATATTCGAGAAAGTTTAGGGGAGATCACTCCCGGTTTATTTATATTTGCTTAGGTATGCAATAATTAGTACATGTATCGATCTTTTATTCTAAATTTTTTTCAAATGTTTATCATTCATAATAGGAACGCAAACTGTGTGCCTATCCGTTTATTGAGTATTATGATGGCAAAGTAATTCATTTCATGGCGCCCCTGTCCAAACAAGAGGAGTTCTTTGTGCCTGAGTGTGAGCAGGAAGCTGGAGGAGACCAGCCATCTACTGAGTGTGAGTCTACGATGCTAAGCACTAGTCAGTCCAGCGAGGAGGATTACAACCAGCAGGACGTGACCCAAACTTCCGTTGATGACGATTCAGAGAAAAATGAGGAGGCTGAGCCAGTTCAGGAGCAGGCCAATGGTGATGCCGAGTGTATCCAGAAGGTAGCAGATTGTAATGCTGAAGCTGCTGGGAATGAAAACAACAGCTGCCTGAAGGCTACTGAAGATGATCAAGGATCTGATGATTCATCCTCGTCTTTTGAACTGCTGAAACATGACATTGCTGAATAAGTACTGCGCGTCAGCTCTTCTGCTTGATGAGCTTAAGTGCTGACATTTCAGCAGTTGTATGTGCTTGATAAAGTTTTTTATTTTTATCTTGCTACAATAGAAAAGAGCAAAAGGTGTGTTTTGCTTGTAAAAAGCATGTTAAGTACTTGAGTAAATTATTGGTCATGCAGTCATATTGTCTTTCAGTAAAGCCATATTTGATATGTTTCAGAGAAAGTTTAGAATATTACTTGTAAAAGTTTTTTTATAGATAAGATACTTTTTTGAAAATTCCGTTGTTTTAAATTTAAATGATCATTGAGATACCCAGAGAGTAGAAGGGATGTCGGACATTTATTTTCTTTTTTTTTAATTGATTACCTTAAAAAAAACTGTACTTTTTATGCAAGTTATTGCGGTAAAAATTATATTCTTAGTCAAAGTTTTAAGCACCATCTACACATGATTAATAGAATGTTGGAATACTTCCTAATGTTTACAGTCAATCTCTGTCTATCAAAGCTGATGTTGCTGTTTGTCAAGGCTTTACAATTGTTTGGTGCACACATTTAAATGTTGTCTAAATACAGACTAGTATCTACTGTAACTGTGTATAATTATGACAAGCATTCCATACATACAAAATTTTATTTCATTTCAAACTCAAGTAGAAGTTGTGACATTTTATTTTATTTTGCTCCATACTATTGATATAGCACAAGATTTGGTCAGTCTATTTGTTTAATCAGAGTTTTGGTGGATTTTAGATACATTTTTATTATTTTAAACTATGGTGCTGCCCATAAGTTTCTATTGAATTTCTAAATTAGGATCACACTTTTACTGAGATTAAATAGAAAAAAAAAATTTTTTCGGATCCTTGCTAAAAACAACTAGGCTGACATTGATGTCTTTATGTTGTACTTTCCACTTAAATCCACTTCATCATCAGTGTGTTTTACCTCAGGTCTCATTTCTAGATTTTCTCCCTTTGACAATTTTGTTTGGAGAAATCAATACTGTTGATATTCACTGCACTCACAAAAATTAGATTATCACTACCTAATCAAGGGAGATCACTATAAATTAAATATAAAATTCAGAGAGTAGTTTTTACTTTTTGTTAGCTGTAACGAAAGGGGAAAAAAAAGTTTTTTTTTAACTGTAAGACTTGAAATAAAATAATATGTGATTCAAATTTCCAATGTTTAAAACCCTGTAACCAAGGGTTGCAGTATGTATACCTACACTAACCCAGTGAGATTTGTTTGTTGCCATTGTAGAAATTTGCTTCTCACTTTGTATTGTCCCAGAGTGCTGCTGTTAATAAGATTTGTTGGTACTGTTTTGTTTACTGCCATTATGCTGCAAAATAATCTCAACAAATTCTATTCTCATCTTGTCTATGATTAAAAAAAAATTTGAAAATTGTGTTTGCAAATACAATAATATTTTGGATTAGCAGTGTGTGTTTTTCAAATTTAAAACTACTTGTCATTGTTTATCTAGTGCCTGTATCACTAGAGCTCATCTACTTAATTTAATGACACTGGATGTAAACATCAAGCAAATATTTAATCCAGACCAAATTAGTAAGGTAAATATCTAACATTGGCTAATATCACATGCGTTCATATTTTAATGCACCCAACTTGTGTTTCAGTGTTTAGACAGACCAACATCCCATCATTTTAAATTACAAGAAAACTTGTCTTTCAGTTTTTTTTTGTTTTTTTTAAATACCGTAATGCTTTTTAAAAATCATTTTAGATTACTATTTATTTTATGTGCATTTCTAAGTGGATATTAAAATTATTTGATTACAGTTGTACTGTTGTCCTATTTTTGTATTGGTGTATTTGTTTTAAAACGTACAATTTTAGATGTGACTAAAGATGAAGTGGAGTTCATCTGTTGCTTTGACCTTGGCATATGATAGGATTGCTTGGCCAACACTTGGCCTTTACTTTCATCATCATCTTTTCCTTGATGTCCATGACACATAGGGCAGATGAAGTAGAGTTCATCTGTTTCAGTAACCTCGGAATTCAAAGGGATAATGTGGTCAGCTATGTGCCCCGCTGCATTAGCTCTCCTTTCATGTCAGGTACTCATCAGAGCTGGGTGGACTCAGGGATGCCTTACAGACTTGATTCTGGGATCCTAACTTGAGACTTGCTGGTTATGGGTTGTAAACTCTACCATCTAACCATGCTGTCACTTTGACCATTACTTTTCTCAAATCAGAGCAGGGAGGATTCAGGGATGTCTTGCTATAATGAGCTCAGGAACCAAAGTTGAGTCTATTAGTTATTGTGTGCTACAGGCCTACCACCAGTGTTTCTTCCAGACTTTTTTCGCCGGGGGGGGGGGGGGCACTGTAAAAAGTATACATTTTCTGTATGAATTCGATTTCGTTCAGGGGGGGGGGGGGGGGGCGAGAAGAAATTCTGCCAACCGCTAGACCATGCAGTCTCAGTGGACAAGGGCTACTCGTTTTATAAACCTATATATGTCAGCTTAAATAATTCAGTGCTACAGTTAATGTTCAATGGTAGTCCATAATTAAATGATTAATTTTGTAGTACTACTAAAAATATCTCAACAGGTCAGTATTAAATAATTCAGTGCTATGGGTAATGCTCAAAGCATAACCAGCATGATATACGACAGCTTAAAATATAGGAGCCTACTTTAAAGATAAAAAAAATTCTTTTTACAATGTATTTAATCATGTGGAGAATTTTCAATTAAACGTTTAATATTAATCAAAGCTAATATATGGACGTAGAGCGCCACTTCAAAAAGGGGAGATAACTGAATAGTATGAGAGACCATTGGTACATTTTGGACTAAAAGCCTGAAATTTAAAAGTTACAGAACCTGATTAAAGTTTAGATTTATTGCATCCGTGAACTATTTTGTACCTTATATTTCAAAGTTAATGGGATGAAGTGGTCGTATGGTAGAGTGGCGACTACTAGCCCGAAAGTCTCGAGTTCGGGTTCCTGGTCCGTAGAAGCTCCCCGAGTCCACACAGCTCTACTGGTAGGTACCAGAGTTTCTTTCAGGCATCTCTTCGGGATTTATATAGAATTTATATAGAAAGAATATACTTTTAACAGTGCCAGCCCCCCTCCAAAAATTTTAGTCCGACCCCCCCCCCCCTGAAAATTTTACGTGCCCCCTTCCTCTTCCCCCCCCCCCCCCCCCCGGGAAAAAAGTCTGGAAGAAACACTGGTAGGTACCTGGCACATGTGAGGGAACGTAAAGCGGCTGGACATAGGGCTGACCAGAGGCGTAGCGAGGGGGGGAGGGGTGACACCATTTAGGGGGTGACACCATTAGGTGCCGCACCCAACTCTACTCCATCTGCCCTGTGGATGATTAGGTCTGAAAGGATAACTTTTCTTTTATTGCAAAGCTGTACAAGTTCTATAAACGTTTTCAAGAAATGTATTTTTTTTAAACATGGGCATTTAGAAATCTGTCATGCAAAAAAAAATAAACCGGGAGTGATCTCCCAAAATTTTTTTGGAATATTCTTATATAACTTGGAATATAGACATGAGTTTTAATTACTTTAAAAAATAGAATCTCATAGAAAAAATAATTGCGCACCAAGCGAACGCCAAAACAAAATGTGCATAATAGTGCGCAATATTATTAATACTTTATAAATTTACATGCTTTTTTTTAGAAATAGGAAATAGCGTAAATTAGTACTTCCGGTCAACGGAAATTACTCAAAATTTGATAGAAGGTAGAGAATTAGATCTTTTACTTGCAAATTAAATTTCATTTATCTATCATAAATAGTACTCACGTTATAGACTTTTGAAAAATTCAAAGTAGAAAAAGTACCACTTCCGGTTATCAGAAATCGCTCAAAAATCTACGATTTTGATAAAATACTTATATATGAAATTTCATCAACCTAGCTGTAACGGTACTCAAGTTATCGTGTTTACACACAGACAGACAGACACACACACAGACATACGGACAAGATTGCAAAATTATGTTTTTCCGTATCAGTGAGGTGTAAAACGTCGAGATTTTTTGTAAAAATCTCGATTTTTTTTTTTGCACGATTACAAGACTCTCTATACTTCGTATATAAGAGAAAGTTAAAAAAAAAAAAAAATTAGAAGCGCGATCGTAGGTTTAAAGTATCTGTGGAGCCTGGCCCAAAACATGAGAACCTCTGAAATATGACATCACTACCCCGCTCCTTGTTGTTGACAAACCATGATGAAATGATACTGCAGTCAGCCCGCATCACGTGAATCAGACATTAACTTACCCACCATATGACGATACATACGGTTTCAACAGATCACACACAAATACACACACACACACACACACACCATCTATATAAAACAAAATTTAAAACACACATTACGGCAACCTCGTGAGCATAACATTTATACAGACCACCAAACACCATATATACATCTCTATTACCCCCCCCCCCCCCACACACACACACACACTCACACACAAACACACACACCGTCTATTTTAAAAAAAATATTTTAAAACATAGGCTCGTCAAAATGTGTACCAAGTGGTGTGAATGTATTGGAGCAACCAAGTTTAAAAGCATACATTATGCAAAAAACGAGAATAAAGAATCTCTCACCCCTACCTCATATAACAAGGTAAAACACCCCTACCTTTTTATGTCATAGGCTATAACTGGTGCACGGTCTTTCAGTAGACCTACAATATTTTTACCTTAAGTCTGCCAATCCCCCCACCACCCCCCCCCCCCCCCCACACACACACACCAAATATTGACTAACACAACTTTCCAAATATAAACCACTTTAGGCTACCTTGTCCATGAATGTTGTCCATTTATTTTTACGATAACGTTTACTTGGTCTGTCGAAACAATGAATGACGTCACAAGTGGATGCACCAACCCCACTCCCCTCCACCACTACAGCCAATTGAAAACCTCTCGTCATTACGCGTCAGCAGGGTCTACTCTAAGGCTGACCTTTGACCTTCGCTCATTACCAAACACTGTCCGACAGATACAACTATCTGCGTTACGTAAGCAGAGTGTAATCTAGTTGGGGCTAAAAATAGATCGTTCAGTCAAGGGACAATTGCAGTGATGAAATCCTAACACAAACAGTCAAGTCACTGGTGTTTGTATGTGGTACTGTAAGTCACTGGTGTTTATATGTGATACTGTAAGTCACTGGTGTTTGTATGTGGTACTGTAAGTCACTGGTGTTTGTATGTGTGAAGTCACTGGTGTTTGTATGTGGGATGGTATGTCATTGGTGTTTGTATGTGGGATGGTAAGTCACTGGTGTTTGTATGTAGTAAGTCACTTGTGTTTGTATGTGGGATGTTAAGTCACTGGTGTTTGTAGGTGGGATGGTAAGTCACTTGTGTTTGTGTGTGGGATGGTAAGTCACTGGTGTTTGTATGTGGGATAATAAGTCACTGGTGTTTGTATGTTGAAAGTCACTGGTGTTTGTATGTGGGATGGTAAGTCACTGGTGTTTGTATGTGTGAAGTCACTGGTGTTTGTATGTGGTACTGTAAGTCACTGGTGTTTGTATGTGGGATGTTAAGTCACTGGTGTTTGTATGTGGTACTGTAAGTCACTGGTGTTTGTATGTGGGATGTTAAGTCACTGGTGTTTGTATGTGGGATAATAAGTCACTGGTGTTTGTATGTTGAAAGTCACTGGTGTTTGTATGTGGGATGGTAAGTCACTGGTGTTTGTATGTGTGAAGTCACTGGTGTTTGTATGTGGTACTGTAAGTCACTGGTGTTTGTATGTGGGATGTTAAGTCACTGGTGTTTGTATGTGGTACTGTAAGTCACTGGTGTTTGTATGTGGGATGGTAAGTCACTGGTGTTTGTATGTGGTACTGTAAGTCACTGGTGTTTGTATGTTGAAAGTCACTGGTGTTTGTATGTGGGATGGTAAGTCACTGGTGTTTGTATGTGGGAAGGTAAGTCACTGGTGTTTGTATGTTTGACGTCAGTCATTGGTGTTTGTATGTTTGCAGAAGTCAGTCACTGGTGTCCCTTAGCTAGTAAAGATAGACCTAGTATGGTACTCAATATTGTGGAAGTATAATGAGACATGGGTTTAAATACAAAGGCTACCTTAATACACAACTGTTGGGACAAAGTGGGTATTGGCGTGATTAATAAAATTACAGGGTAATTGAATTGGTGTATATGAATTTAAATCCTTGCGCACATGTATATATATATATATATATATATATATATATATATATATATATATATATATATATATATATATATATATATATATATATATATATATATATATATATATAATCCTATATGCCTGTATAATGATGTATATCAGCCTATTGCCTGTATGATGCTGTATATCAGCCTATTGCCTGCATAATGCTGTATATCAGCCTATTGCCTGTATAATGATGTATATCAGCCTATTGCCTGTATGATGCTGTATATCAGCCTATTGCCTGTATAATGATGTATATCAGCCTATTGCCTGTATATTGCTGTATATCAGCCTATTGCCTGTATAATGCTGTATATCAGCCTATTGCCTGTATCAGCCTATTGCCTGTATAATGCAATGTATCAGCCTATTGCCTGACTATTGCCCTATTCCTGTCGGATGTTGTACGCTTGTGTGCTATATTTAGAACTGCGGCCAATTTAATTACGAAACACCCTATTAATTACTTGTGTCGCTTTCTACCCCACCCATGGCCGAGCTAGCCACATAAAAGTAGTTTGCACTGGAAGTAATTAAGTTTCTAATTTAATTGAATACTTGAAACCTAA